ATCTCTGGGATAGTTTTCGCCTTTTGATATTACATGGAGCTTGGAGGTCTCTGGTGGGCCAATGTCCTGAACTCAGCTCTCCCACGTCAGAGGCCCAGGCCTGACGCCCGGCCCGCGCCCAAAGTCCCTGTCAGCCACACCACTCAGAAGTAAAGGGAGAAAGAAAGAAATAAAGAAAAAAAATAGAATAAAGTTATTAAAATAAAAAAATATATTTAAAATAAAAAAAGTTAAATGTAATAAAAAATAAAGAACGAAAGAAAGAAGACAGCAACCATACCAAAAAAAAAATCCACCAATGGTAACCAGCACTAAAAACTATACTAAAGGGCTTCCCTGGTGGCGCCGTGGTTAAGAATCCACCTGCCAATGCAAGGGACACGGGTTCGAACCCTGGTCCAGGAAGATCCCACATGCCACGGAGCAACTAAGCCCGTGTACCACAACTATTGAGCCTGCGCTCTAGAGCCCGTGAGCCACAGCTACTGAGCCCGCATGCCACAACTACTGCAGCCCGTGCGCCTAGAGCCCGTGCTCCACAACAAGAGAAGCCACCGCAATGAGAAGTCCACGCACCGTGACAAAGAGTAGCCCCCATTTGCCGCAACTAGAGAAAGCCTGCGTGCAACAACGAACACCCAAGGCAGCCAAAAATAAATAAAAAAAGAAAAAAAAACTGTACTAAAAAAAAAGCAATGGAAAGACAGAACCCTAGGAAAAATGGTAAAAGCAAAGCTATACAGACAAAATGACACAAAGAAGCATACACATACACACTCACAGAAAGAGAAAAAGTAAAAAAAAATCTATATATATATATGAAAAAGGAAGCAAGCAGCCAAATCAATAAACAAATCTACCATTGATAATAAACTCTAAATACTAAACTAAGGTAAACATGAAAACAAATTAGATGCAGAAAGCAAATCCCAAGCCTATAGTTGCTCCCAAAGTCCACCTCCTCAATTTTGGGATGATTTGCTGTCTATTCAGGTATTCCACAGATGCAGGTACATCAAGTTGATTGTGGAGATTTAATCCGCTGCTCCTGAGGCTGCTGGGAGGGATTTCCCTTTCTCTTCTTTGTTCTCACAGCTCGCAGGGCTCAGCTTTGGATTTGGCCCCGCCTCTGCGTGTAGATTGCCGGAGGGCGTCTGTTCTTCGCTCAGATAGTGCGGGGTTAAAGGAGCAGCTGCTTCGGGGGCTATGGCTCACTCAGGCCGGGGTTGGGGAGGGAGGGGTACGGAATGCGAGGCGAGCCTGCGGCGGCAGAGGTCAGCGTGACTTTGCACCGGCCTGAGGCGCGCCGTGCGTTCTCCCAGGGAAGTTGTCCCTGGATCTCGGGACCCTGGCAGTGGCGGGCTGCACAGGCTCCCCGGAAGGGGGGTGTGGATAGTGACCTGTGCTTGCTCACAGGCTTCTTGGTGTCGGCAGCAGCAGCCTCAGCGTTTCATGCCCATCTCTGGGGTCCGCGCTGATAGCCGTGGCTCGCACCCGTCTCTGGAGCTCCTTTAGGTGGTGCTCTGAATGCCTCTCCTCGCGCACCCCGAAATAATGGTCTCTTGCCTCTTAGGCCGGTCCAGACTTTTCCCCAGACTCCCTCCTGGCTAGCCGTGGCGCAGTAGCCCCCTTCAGGCTGTGTTCACACCGCCAACCCCAGTCCTCTCCCTGCGCTCCGACCGAAGCCGGAGCCTCAGCTCCCAGCCCCTCCCGCCCCGGTGGGTGAGCAGACAAGCCTCTCGGGCTGGTGAGTGCTGGTCGGCACCGATCCTCTGTGCGGGAATCTCTCCGCTTTGCCCTTCGCACCCCTGTTGTGCTCTCCTCCATGGCTCGGAAGCTTCCCCACCGCCACCCTCCGTCTCCGCCAGTGAAGTTCAGCTCCCTCCCAGAGGTGCAGGTCCCGTCCTAATTCTTTTGTCTCTGTTTTTTCTTTTGCCCTACCCAGGTATGTGGGGAGTTTCTTACCTTTTAGGAAGTCTGAGGCCTTCTGCCAGCGTTCAGTAGGTGTTCCGTAGGAGTTGTTCCACATGTAGATGTGTTTTTGATGTATTTGTGGGGAGGAAGGTGATCTCCACCATCTTGGAGGTCTCCTATTTTGCTGATTTTTAACAGAGGCTGTAACCTCCAAATGTATCTCCAAATTGTATTTCTAAGTGTAGATGATCAGATGACCAGGTTTTATTGCAAAGGCGATCCGTGTTACTTACCTGTTGACAAAAATGACCTGACTCTTCTTTTTCTTTTATGTCTGAGGGGCATGATACCTTACCCAGGTGTGGTGTGGCCAGCTCTTTGATTGACTTCTTTCAGCCAGGTTATGCCCTCTGCAGAAGAGAATGGCTTATTGCTCATGAGGCAGTTGCCAAACGGCTTCCCTTTTCTTAAGGAATGTACAAAGGTTACTACCGAAGAACAGACTTCACCTGACCACGGCTATAGCAATTCCCAGTAACTTACTTAACCTGTGGCTGTTGGTGCCTGCTATGCCCTTGTGAGAGCCTTTTCTCAGGAAGAAAATGGGGAAATTTCTGTACCCCCTGAATGATAGTGCTGGGCTCTACAGGCCAGTTTTTCTCCTGTCCCTAATATAGTAATTTTACATGTGATTCACGTAATTCACTTGTGATTCACGTAAGTATTGACAGGTCAGCTGTCTCTCAGCTGTTTTCTATTGACCTTGTTAACTGTACACTGCCTTATTAGAGGCAGCTTTCCTTGGGGAAAATACAGGGGGAGCCTACCTCAGGAAAGCTCAGAATCAGTTGTGTCCTGCAGTGCATCATCAGTTAAAAGGATTTGAAAAACTGTTCTTAATAGTGCAATCATAATAAGGTTTCATAATATAATTGTACAGTAATCGACATTTCTGATTACTAATCCACTTGCATCTAACTGTGCATTGATTTTTGTTTGTTTTAGTTGGCAAGAAAACTGTCCTCCAATCCTTTTTGGAAGCTGACTCTCATAGAACTCTTTATGTAATTTTTCCCTTAATTGTTCATCTTCTTCCTTTTGCTTTTATGTTTGTTTATAATCATCCTCATTTACTCATTTTTTTATCCATTCAACAGATCTTTATCAGTTGCCCATACTTTGCTATGCCCCAAAGAGAATATGTTCTGTGTACTAACATTGCTTACTGTCTAGTGAGGGAAACAGGAAATAAATATACAATTACCCCAGACGGTGGGGATGCTGGGAAAGGGGAATACAGGGTTCTTTGAGAGAATAAAAAGGGAACTCCTCCTGTTTTTCTGGGGTGGTGTGCATGTGTCAAGGAAGCCATCTGAGAGTAGGGATGGCTAAGCTGAGAGGGGAAAGATGAGTGAGGTGTTTGGTGTCTGGTGAGACAGAAGGGTAAGACCACTGTAGGTGTGAGGAATAGCTTGTGGGAAGGCCAAGGGGGAATATGGTACATTTAGGAAAACTGAAAACATGTTTAGACAGATCTGATCACTAATACGTTTTATGCTTAGCATTAGGCTCCTGTTACATCCTCTGTGCCTGAATGCATTTTATTTGATCTCTCAGAAGAGGCTACCCTTCTATTTCAGCCTGGAATTGCACTTCACGTTTAGCATGCACAGCAGGAGAGCTTGGGAGAGCTGGTTACTCATCCCCTCTGCTGCATTTCCCTTTCTAGTTGTTATCCCTCCCACCTCCTTCCACAGAGGTTTGGAGGTGAGTTATGATAAAGGAGGAGGAGGGGAAAGAGAGAGTCATAAAACCTTAGCACCGGCTTCAGCTGGCCTTTGGAAGAAAAGAGTCTAGTGCTGATAATTTAGTTGATCAAGGTGTTATCCTGAAATCTCAAGAAGTATCTTCTAGGACTAAAAGGACTTATAACTGAAAGGGAGGACTACCTGGGAGAAAGAACTGAGAGAGAGAGAAGGAGAACTAAACCAGAGCTGCCTCCTCTGCCCTTATTCATCATTCGGGGCAACATGAACCCTTTCACAAAGGTCAACTTGTATTTTTCCTACTCTTTGAATATGTGATAAAGCCGTGGCAACTCAGTTTTCTCACTTGTAAACTGAATCCTAGTTACCCTTAGATTCTTTCTACTACATCCTGTGATGGCTGCACCATCCTCATGTCAGAAATTCTAATATTTTAATTATGAAATAAAGGGATTCTGTTTTAAGAATTTCAAAGACGAACACAATTGTTTTAAATCACTATCACATTCTGGAGGACAATGTGATAATTCCTATTTGCATATCTATGGCGATCTCTACCTGTGGTTATTTTTGCTATAGTTTTATAAACTCATGGTTTCCTATGGTCCTTATCCTATAAATCCGACTTATTCTTGCTGTTGGTTGGCTCACACTCATCTCAATATGATTTTATCAGTCTGTATGTGGCTGCATTGGCTGGGAAAAGAAAGCCAGCCATACACTATAATCTTGGGCAAAATGCAAAATGGTTCTGGAGCTGCCTGATTTCCGTCTTTTCTTTTGGTTACACTGACTCTCTTATGAAAAGTTTTTATTTTGGAAAAGAAGTTTTTAGAGAGCTGATATATATAGGAAATGGTTAGAATGTAAAATTTAAAATAAATGAACATGCTTCTGGATCTTAATTTAAATTATGCAAATATGTGAAATGGTCCAGTAAATTAAAAGCCATAGCATTTATGAGAAAACCTCATTTCACTTATTTCTAAAACTTTTTTTAAATGGGTTTTCTGGCATAGTGATTTTTGCCAGTTTGAAGTATTTCTGCCTTACCTCAGACCTTCCAGAGGACATTGGTAGACTAACCCTGAAAACCACAGGAAGCCTTCCTATGGTGACTTGTAATTCTCAGAAGGAACTTAAAGGGGGTGTGGGGTCTTTTCAAAGTAAATATTTCCATTATATGAAGATGAACTTTTAAAGAGATCCTAGACATTTTCTTTCAAGTTTTGGCATTTCAGTTGCCCTGCTGTGTGCTTACTGCGACGTGGCAGGTATTTTCCACTATTTTATGTATATGTGTATATGCATATCTTCCAGTATATTAGAACTTCTTATGACACAAAGTTGGATCATCTATTACATTTAATGTTGAAAGAGTGGAAGATGGAACTGCCAAAGCTGGTGATCTCTGTCCACGGGGGCATCCAGAACTTCAAGATGCCCTCCAAACTTAAAGAGATCTTCAGCCAAGGTTTGGTCAAAGCTGCAGAGACAACGGGAGCATGGATAATAACTGAAGGCATTAATACCGGTAAGGCACATTCCCTGTTTCAGTCTGTTTTTTTTTTTAATTCCTTCTTTTTAACTGTGAATCAGGCAGTATAGCACCTAACCTCTGCTCTGCAGTGCTCCCAGGACATGTGGTAGCGTGAGAAAGACTGGAAGTGTAGTGACTGGAAAAGAAACGCAGAAGAATCCTAGACCTTTCCTGGAATGTATTTTTACCATTGTTAAAATATGCTATTTTAATATAACTTTGGGTAAACGTCTGGCAAAGAAAATAGGTTTTCATGAGCTTTGGACTGTGGTGAGGTAGTGTGTGGGCATAGACGTGAGCTAAACTCACCATGGTCAGGTTCTCAGGAATTGGAAATCAGTGACATGTGCAACAACTGCATTGAGTGTATGGGGCATGAGGAGATAATTAACTACATAACTGGCACTTGTTTCTGTCACTGACTCTTTCATACTTCTTGAAATCTGACATTCAAGGACTTCATTTAGTAGCCCCTGAACCTCTAACCCTGCTCTTTTGCATCAGTGTTTATGAACTGTATGCATGTTAGAGAATCATCTGGGGGCTTTGCAAAAATACAGATGCACAAGTTCTACCCCAGATTAATTAGAGTTTTTCAGGGTGAAGCTTCTGAAGGGTATCTAATGTGCAGCCAGGGTTGAGGATTACTGACTTCACAAACTCCTCTCTTACTAATCTGTTACTGATATGTTACAGTTCTGACACCAGTTCTCATGTGTGGGTTCTTTCCCAGCACACCACAGTTCTGCACCAGCTGAGTGTCTTACAGTTCAGCTCAATTCTGAATTACTGTCTACCAGGAAATAGCGACAGATTCCACAGGTTAAGGGCTCAGTCCCACAAGACTGTCCCCACTTCAGATGTCAGTCTCAAGTCCAGGGTGTTACCCGTGCTTTTGACTGGCTGGCTATAAATCAGAGGTTCCCACCATCCCCTCCTTGGGTTTGATGAATTTGCTAGAGCAGCTCACAGAATGCAGGAAACCAGTTTACTCACTAGATTACCAGTTTATTATAAAAGGATGTAACTCAGGAACAGGTAGATTGAAGAGATGCATGGGGCAAGGCATGTGGGAAGGGGCACAGAACTTTCATGCCCTCCTCCCATTTCCACGTGTTTACCCACTTGGAAGCTCTCTGAACCCTGTTTCTTTTTTTTTTTTTTTTTTTTTTTATGGAGGCCTCATTACATGGGCACGATTGATTAAGTCATTGGCTATTGATAATTGAACTCAATCTCCAGTTCCTCTCCCCTCCCCAATGGTTGAGGGTGAGACTGAAATTTCCTACCCTCTAGTCACGTGGTTGGTTGGTTCCCTTGGCAACCAGCCCCCATCAGTATGTCCAAAAGTTGCCTCATTAACATAACAGAAGGCACCTCTGTCACTCTCACCACTTAGGAAATTCCAAGGTTTTAAGGAGCTCTGTGTCACTAACAGACCAAATATATATTATTATAAGTCACAGTATCACACCTGTGGCTTTCCATCTTCCCTTTACTTCTTCCTCTTTTGATTTGGGATATCCTAGCCAATGTTTCCTATTAAGTTCTGCTTGACCTTTAGGATCTACATTAGATGCCAACATACCCAGGAAGCATTCTCTATCTCAACTCGCTCTTGTTTCTTAATTTCTATAGCGTTTATTGCCTGTAGCACTTGTAGCACGTTTATATTTTGCCTTACAGGTTAGGTTAGGATGAGTCTACCTGATTGTGAGGTAGAGGCTAGGGCCTATACATACGTCTAAGAACTAAGCAACGGGTACTAATGTAATGAATAATTTCTTTTGATTAAAAAGGAATGAAGGAAGCAAGTGATTGAAAAAACAAAATAAAAATAAAACCAAGGGATTCGTCTTGTCACTAATGGGTAACCTGGTAGTTTCTCTGGTACATTTCATTGAGATAATTAACTGTTTCACATTCTTAGAAAAAAGCAAAGGTTGCAGAGTTCTAAGTCCAATGTGTAGTACTTACTTTATTTCCAGTAAAAAAAAAAAAGAGGGTGGATGGGGAAGTTTTGTAGAGTTAAGAAAAAGGTGAACTTGGGCATGGTTTTTTTCTTTTAATAACTAATTGTGTTACATGCTTTATTTTACTTATTGCTTTTTTAAGAAAAAAATATTTTAGATTAGGGCCAGTTAAAGAACACAAATATAATGGTGTGAAGACTATTGAAATAGTTCATATGAACAAAAAAATTGAGAAATGAGGTATACTTGGAGCTTCCTTAAACAATAATCAGGGTCTGACCTGATTCAGCCTCAGCTCCTTAGGTCCTGACTACTCAAGAAGTGGTCCCTGGACCAGCAACATCAGCATCACCTAGGAGCTTGTTGGGAAGGCAGATATCGGGCTCCTCAGACCGGTGGGATCAGAATCTGCATTTTGATGACCTCCCCAGGTGATTCTTATGCACATTTAAATTTGAGAAGCTTTGCTTACCAGCTTCAACCTATGCTTGAGATGCTTCTCAGCTGTAGTTGAACATTATTTGGCATGAATTTTTTACATTTATTTAAATTGAATGCCCCAAGCCTTTAAGAATCTATTGTGTATAAAGCATTTGGATAGATGCTGTGGATGAAAGATGAGTAAGATATGGACTCCGGGTTTAGTGATGAGGTGGGTGACTGTAACAAACAGAGAGTAAGCAACTAACCAAAAATCGATGCTGAATGGGTCATAGTTGAGATACAAAGGAAGTGTTTGGGAGTAAAAGGGAGAGGAAGAGGAAAACAAATTCCAGTTCCAACTGAGGGAACCTGAGAAGAAAGCTTGGTGAAGGATATAGCACTTAATGTTGGCCTTGAGAGAAGGGTAGGAAAAAGCATTCTAGGCAGAGGTGGCAGTTCAGGGCAAGGTACACAGCTGGAGACTAAGGCATGTGTAGAAAGAGGTGATAAGGCTGCTAGCTGGATGTGCCGTGTGGCAGAGGACAGGGGCAGCAAGGGAGACTGGAGCCAGATTGGGTGCCATGTTATTTAGGCTGAGGTTTTATTCTCTATGTAGCAGAGAGCCCTCAAAGAATTTTGAACAGAAGAATGAATAGGGAATGATATTGTCAGATCTGGTTTTACAGAGAGTCTTAGCAGATAATATGTCTTAAGATCACATGTGGGCTGCTGACAAACGATCACCACCACATGCTGGTAACGCGTGCCAAACCTATGGATCTGAATCTCTATTGGTATTGATGTGTGTTCTGTGGTCCAGAACCCCAATTTTAGAAAATGACTGGGAAAAGTGCAAAAGATGGCTGGAGGGGAGGATTCCAGAGAGAAGGAAGTGATTTAGGTGCTATGCATTAGATGCATGCAATATGCAGGGCTTTGTTGTTTTTTTTTTCCTGTGCTAATGACACATACAGAGTCAGACTGTACATAGAAAGAGTAAGTGGCGTAATGTAGTGTTTGTGATTAAAAGGCAAATTTTTTTTTAATTAATTTTTATTGGAGTAGAGTCACTTTACAATGTTGTGTTGGTTTCTTGCTGTACAGCAAAGTGAATCAGTCATACGTATATTTATATATCCACTCTATTTTAGCTTTCCTTCCCATCTAGGTTGCCACAGAGCATTGAGAAGAGTTCCCTGTGCTATACAGTAGGTTCTCATCAGTTATCTATTTAATACATAGTAGTGTATGTATGTCAGTCCCAATCTCCCAATTCATCCTACCCACCACCTCCCCGCTTGGTAACCATAAGTTTGTTCTCTATGTCTGTGACTCTATTTCTGCTAAAAGGCAGATTAAGCCAATCTCAAAAGGCTACATATTGCATAATTCCAACTATATGACATACTGTAAAAGGCAAAATTATAGAGATAATAAAAAGATCAGTGGTTATCAAGGATTGGGGGAATGAGGGATGAATAGACAGAGTACAGAGGACTTTTAAGGCAGGGAAACTCTTCTGTATGATGCTTTAATGGTGCATACATGTTATTATACATTTGTCCAAACTCATAGAATGTACACCACCAAGAGTGAACTCTAATGTAATGTAAACTGTGGACTTTGGATGATTATGATGTGTCAGTGTAGGTTCATCAGTTGTACAAATGTTCCACTTTGGTAGGGGATGTTGACAGTGGGGAGGTTGTAAGTGTGTAGGGAAGAAGGTATATGGGAAATCTCTGTACCTTTGGCTCAATTTTGCTGTGAATCTAATACTGCTCTAAAAAAGTAAAGTCTATTTTCGTTCCTTTTTATGGCTGAGTAATATTCTGTTGTATATATGTGCCACGTCTTCTTTATCCATTCAAAATTGGGCCATTTGTAGAGATGTGGATGGATCTAGAGACTGTCATACAGAGTGAAGTAAGTCAGAAAGAGAAAAACAAATATCATATATTAACGCATACATGTGGAACCTAGAAAAATGGTACAGATGAACCAGTTTGCAGGGCAGAAATAGAGACACAGATGTAGAGAACAAACTTATGGACACCAAGGGGGGAAAGCGGCGGGGCAGGGGTGGTGGTGGTGGTGGTGGTGGGATGAACTGGGTGATTGGGATTGACATGTATACACTGATGTGTATAAAATAGATAACTAATAAGAACCTGCTGTATAAAAAATAATAAAATAAAATTTTTAAAAAAGTAAAGTCTGTTGAAAAAAGAAAAGTCAGATCCTGGATTGGAATCCAAACTGTACAAACTACCAGCTCTATAACCTTGGGCAAATTATTTAACTTCCTTGTGCCTCAATTTTTGCCTATAAAATAGACTTAAAAAATTCCTACTTAAAGTGTAAATGCGTGTAAAACTTAAAAAAGCACCTGGTGTGTAGTTAAGAGTTCAGTAAGTGTTGGCTATTATTGTTATTATTATTAGTCCCAGAAAGGCAAACACTAATATATTAGTTCTGGAATATTTATGAATATAAAGCTGTTAAATTAATTTGCCTCAATGAAGCAAGGACCTTCAGGATGTTTTACTGGGACAGTCAAGAAGGTTAAAGAAAAAAATACTTAGAACATTCATGATGTCAGGGGTGGGTTTACAGGATGTTCTGGTCAGGCAAGAATAGGGGCATAACTGAGGTTGTAAGCAGAAATTTCTCAAAGGGAGAGGAGAATTGTTCAGGTAGAAAGGTTAGTGATAGGAGAAGGAGGTGTCAAGAGGGAGTAGAGCAAGTCAAAGTATCAGAAATTAATTCCACTGTGCCAGCAACTTTCCCTGATAACGGTCTTTTGCATATGCTTGTCTACTTGTCTCTTTCTGGCAGTCGCAGTGTTTTGCATGATTTGTGAGTTAAAGTTTGACCTCTAAACTGATTGTTCATAGGTGTGTCCAAACATGTTGGGGATGCCCTGAAAGCCCATTCGTCCCAGTCCTTGAGAAAAATCTGGACAGTTGGAATCCCTCCTTGGGGTGTCATTGAGAACCGGACAGATCTTATTGGAAGAGATGTAAGTAGACAATCCTTTCACAACAGAAGGAGATAAACACGTATCCAGTTGCCAGCTTAGCACTATATCCGGATATCTAGTAGGCATCTTGAATGTAATACACCCCAAATAAACTCCTGACTTCCTGCTGCCTCCCTTACCCTATCTTAGAAAGTGACAATCTTGTCCTGCAGTTCTCAAGCCAAAACCCTGAACTTATCCTGGAATGATCTCCATCTCGTGCCTCAAACCCGATCCACCAGTAAATTATCTTAGCTTCACTTTAAAAATATATCTGGGAGCTTCGCTGGTGGCGCAGTGGTTAAGAATATGCCTGCCAATGCAGGGGACACGGCTTCGAGCCCTAGTCTGGGAGGATCACACATGCCGTGGAGCAACTAAGCCCGTGCGCCACAACTACTGAGCCTGCGCTCTAGAGCCCACGAGCCACAACTACTGAGCCTGTGTGCCACAATTACTGAAGCCTGTGCGCCTAGAGCCCGTGCTCCGCAACAAGAAAAGCCACCACGATGAGAAGCCCGCACACCGCAACAAAGAGTAGCCCTGCTCGCTGCAACTAGAGAAAGCCCACATGCAGCAACGAAGGCCTAACACAGCCAAAAATAAAAATAAACAAATAAATTTATTAAAAATATATATATATATCTATCTGGAATCTGACCTCTTCTTATTACCTCCACTGTTACTGAGCAGGTTTAAGCCACTATTTTCTGTCACCTGGATGATTGTAATAGCCTTCCCTACTCTCATCCATGTCTCTTATTAAGGTCTGATCCCAACACAGTAGCCAGAATGATTCTAAAGGGACGGACTTGTCTAAGTTTGTTTATAAGACTAATGTATACTTTTGGTAGGTATCTCAAGTGTTACAAAAGGTATGAAGAAGAAAGATAACCACTGTTAATATTTTGGTGTGTATCATTCCAGAATTTTTTTCTATGTGTGCGTACGTATGTATAGTAAAAAAAAGGTTTTGTGTTAAAAAAGTAACAACAGAAACCTATTGTTGTGAATCTGTTTTTCAGCTTAACTATTTAACATAATTAATTCTCTATGTCAGTTAATATAGACAGGCTTATGGTTTGTTTTAACTTTCATTTTGGAAAATTTCGAACACATTAAAGAGTAGAGAGATTAGAATAATCATCTCCTTCGTACCCTTCTCCCGGTTTCAACAGTTATGAACCCATAGCCAATTTTGTTTAGTTTAGTCCCTCATCCATTCTCCATCTCCTCCCTCCATTATTTTGAAGCAAATTCCAGACATCAAATAATTTCATTGGTAAATATTTTAGTAGTTATTTCTAAAGTATATGGACAATTAAAAAATATAACCACATTGCCATATTCGTACCTAAAAAATTAACAATAATTTCTGAATACCATCAAATATCCAGTCTGTGTTCAAGCTTCTGATTGTCTCAATTTTTCAGTTGTTTGATTTCATTATCCAAAAAATTCCCCTACATTGTGATGGGTTGATTTGTCTCTTCATTCACTTAGTTTTTTTCCTTGAGTCGCTTTTGATCTCTGGATTTTCCCACCATCTCCTTTTTTGTTTTCTGTTTGTTTGTTTCAATGTATTTGTTGAAGAAACTGGGTCATTCCTAAAGAGTTTCCCACAGTTTGGATTTTGCAGATTTAAGCTCTTGTAGCAACATTTAGCCTATTTCTCTGTCTTTTGTCTTTCTTGTAAATTGGTAGTTTGATCCAAAGGTATGATCAGATTCAGGTTCTTTTTGTACAGGTTTATGCCCTAGGAGGAGATGTGTCCATCCCTTGTGACATAACATCCTCTCTCTTTTTATGATGTCATTGCCTAGATTTATTATTTCAACAGGGTTGCAAAAATGCTAATATTTAATTATAGTGTTCTTTCTTCATTTATTAGCTTAAATACTCTATAAAGAGAAACATTTTCTCCTCAATTGCTTGGTTTACCTTGTGGTACAGTTGTATGGGAAAGGGTAGAATAAATATTTGATTCTCTTTCTTTATTTGCCAGTTTTCAAAGCATAGAGTTGGTTATCTACCATCCCCCAAGGTGAACAGTGAGTTGTTGTTGTTGTTTTTTTTTCTGATTCATGAAGTTAAACATATTTGGTATGTTTTAATCCGTTATTCTAATATAGTTATTATTCTTTATCATGCTCATATTGTCCCATTGTGGCCAGTGGAGCCTTTCAGGTTGTCTCCTGAGTCCTTTTAACACAATTCTAGTCATTTATCATTGCTTCCTTGTGTTTCAGTATGAAAAAAAATGTTCTTGGCTCATTATATATAATTTTTGCTCCTAGAGAAATGGCTGGTTGCTTTTAGTGGGAAATAGTATTAAGAGACCACATTCTGAGAGCCAAGGGTGCAGTTTTATTTTTCATGCCTGATAAAGTTCTATTGTACTAAAGTACCATAATTTATTTAACCATCCCTCTGTATTGTACATTTATGTTTTCTATTTTTAACTTTTACAAAAAATGATATTAATGTTGTGATAAGACACATATATTTTTGAAACTAGCTGAAAACACTTATTTCCTTAGAAGTTATTCTCAAAGTAGAATGTTTGGACCAGTTGGTATGTAACTTTTAAAATGTGACTAATTGTCTTCCACAAAGGTGGTAACAATTTACATTCCTACCAACAGGGTATGAGGGTGCCCATTTCCTTGTACCATTTCCAGCTTCGGGTATTCTGGCTTTTTTTAAACTTTGCCATTCTGATAGGTATAAAATAACACCTAATTTTTCTTAAGTACGTTTCTCTGATTACTAGTGAGGTTCAACATCTTTCCATGTGGTTTTTATGCATTTTTAAGCATAGTTTTTATATTTTGAAAGACCTTTTGTATTATAATTCATTCTATTAACATTCTTGTTTGCCATGTGTGCTGCATTTCCCAGATTTTAATTTGTATCATTTATGAACATCTTTCCATGTGTAAAAAATATGTGTTAAATCTATCAATCATTTTCTTTTTGGTTTCTGGCCTCAGTGTCATGCTTAGGGATTATAAAGGTAACTTTTAAATACTAATGTTTGTAACATTTGTAGTGCTTTTTACATCCATTATTTCTTCTTTTTTTTTAATTTCTTTCTTTTTTTTTTGGCTGTGTTGGGCCTTCGTTGCTGCACGCGGACTTTCTCTAGTTGTGGCGAGTGGGGCTACTCTTTGTTGCCGTGCATGGGCTTCTCATTGCAGTGGCTTTAGAGCCACCCGTGCAGAGCACGGGCTCTAGGTGTGCAGGCTTCAGTAGTTGTGGCTGACGGGCTCTAGAGCGCAGGCTCAGTAGTTGTGGCGCACGGGCTTAGTTGCTCCATGGCATGTGGGATCTTCCCAGACCAGAGCTTAAACCTGTGTCCCCTGCATTGGCAGGCAGATTCTTAACCACTGCACCACCAGGGAAGCCCCCATTATTTCTTTAAAGCCTCACAGCAACCCTCTGCTATAGGAATTATCATCACTTATACATGAGGAAAATAAGCCTGAGAAAGGAAGCAGGTGTTACCCAGAGTTAAAGTTAGAAGGTAGAAGAGCCTAGCCTTAAACTTGGGCCCTTTGACTCCAAACACAGTTGGCCTTCCCTATTTGTGGATTCCGTATCTGAGGAGTCAAGTGACAGTGGATCCTAAGGATTCAGCCGACCGCGGATCCAGCGGATACTGAGGGCCGACTATACTGTGCCATTTTATATAAGGGACTAGAGCATCCGTGGATTGTGGTATCCGCGAGTGGTCCTGGAACGAATCCCCCACAGGTACCAATGACTGTACTGTTCTCTCTAAAATGAGAATTGGAGTAGCTTATAGAAGAATCAGCAAATATTAATAAAGATCTGGATATTTTATATTGAATGAATGCATCTCCATTTACTTTTCGCTTCATTTGGAATACGAGAAAAAATAATCAGTGTCCAAATATTATTCTGGAATAGATCTATTAAAAGGCATAGTTTCTGGATAGTGATGCAGTCTGTGTACCAGTGCAGATCCTTGAACTGTTTTTTAATGATCTGAGACAAGGTAAGTACAGAAATTGAAAATTAATATATGGAACCGTTTTTAGCCATGTGACGGTGCTGTGACATCCAAGCATATGGTAAGCGTGCTTATCTTGCTGTGTGTGTGAGTGTTGTTGAACTTGTGAGTCTCGTGTCGTACAAGCCGCATACTAGTCATGCGTTAGGGGACTACCTATCTGTCCATAAAAAAATAAGAAATAAGAAAACTGAAATTGATTCTTCACCGCAGATGGCTTGAGAAGCACTGCTCTTGGTAGCAAGTACTACTTTTTGACCTGGACAGGAACTCTGTAGTACATAGACAGGCCTTTGGAGCAGTCGGCCTGGGAAGGATCTCAAGCTCTGACCGTCTCTTGTCCTCGCTGTCTCGCAGGTGGTGTGCCTGTACCAGACTCTGGGCAACCCCCTCAGCAAACTCACCACACTCAACTGCATGCACTCCCACTTCATCCTGTCCGATGATGGCACTGTGGGCAAGTATGGCAATGAGATGAAGCTCAGGAGGAACCTGGAAAAGTACCTCTCTCTGCAGAAAATACACAGCCGTGAGTACCACAGGGGCTCAACCAACAGGTCCTGGCTGGGGCCTTGCTGTGGAGCAAAGTGCTCCATTGCCATCTGTACAGGGTAGAGAGGTCCAAGCCGGCCCATGCCTTAAGTTAACACCTGTGAACCCTCAGTGAGAAGAAAGCAGGATACGAAATTGTGGGTGACAGAAGAGAGGAAGGGATCTTGCGGGACAGCAGAGGGGAGGTGTCAGAGTGGAGACTTTAGCAGAGTCTCTGGGAGTCCTTAGGCTTGGATGGATAGAGGGAAAAAGTAGAGAAAGAATTGATTTGGGAATGTGGATGGCTGAAAAGCCGAGAAGAGACTAGCCTGAGAAGAGCGGGCTGTGAGCCTTGATAGTCAGGGAAGATGACATTTCTAGGAGGGTGTGGCGGCTTCAGTCAGGGAAGGGGTTGAAATCAGGACTTTTAGAAATAGGGACCTTTGAAGGTTTGCTGTGACATGCTGGCAGTGGTGCTTTGGTAGTGCCTAAGGAGGAGGAGTTGGGGGCAAAATCAGTGAGTGTCCTTGGGTGGAGAGGTGGGAATCCTTAAAGGGAGGAAGAGGGCTGGACGCTGCCTGGAGAAATGGAGACTCTGCCTCCAGGGCAGCGGAAGGTGGCCCCTGCCTCTTTTGGTGAGTTAAATCTTCCGCAGACTACTGCCCTTTAAGTGGAGATGCCAGGGAATAGGAAGATTCTCAGGAGGCTCGGTCTTCTTCAAACCTTTGACTTTGGGCTGGAAAATGCTGAACATCCTTTGAGTTTTTGGCCCAGATTCCCTGAAGCAGCAGATGTAGTGAGGTCAGATGGATCAAAGCCCTATTTACTGCCTGTGACCTTGGGCAATGAAATTAACATCTGTCAAATGGTTCTCTTAATACAAGACAGAAGAAACTGTCTACCTGTACCTTTTGTTGTGAGAATTAGAGGAGATAAAATATGTTAGGTGTGCTCAGAATAGTATTGGGTACACAACATGTCCTCAACAAATGTGTTTCTTTCTTTCCTTTTATTCTCCTTTGGTACAGGGGGTTGTCTGCTGGTTGGGGTGGGGGTAGAGAGAGGGACTCTGGGAATTGTTGCCAGTCATTTAGAGCTTAGTGTGAATGAAGTTTGGAGGCTTATTTAGGTCAGGAAGGGGGAGAGAGGAGCAGGTATGTGGTCCTCTACAGGGTGGGGGTGGCTAGTGGGGAGGGACACCCACAGAGGAGCGGAGAAGGAGGGCAGGTCAGAGATTGCCCTGAAGGAGAATCCCTGAAGCGAGGGCCCTGCAGGGCTCTGAAATGCCAGTTACCTGAAATGTCCTGTTGCCTTTGATGACCTGGGCTCACCACCTGTGCTCAGGGATTCTGTGCAGCGCTATGATGTGTGTCCCAGGAGAGCAAAGTCTTTCTTAGTCTTTCTTATTTCCTGCTGATTCTCCATTTGTGAAAACAGCCCTGATGAATGAAAAGAGCCCCGAGCTTGCATATCGCCATATGCCATTCTACATTTCTACTTTCAAAGTCCTTAAAATTTAGGATTTATTAGGAGGGTTTTGCTGTCCATGGAGAGAGAATGTGGAGTCAATTTCAGTGGATTGGTAATATTTATTATTCTCTGGAGAACTGACAGGAAAACAGCAAAAACAATAAACCACTTACACACATGCACACACATACACACACGCATGCATGCACACGCACAAGAAAGAAAGAAGGAAGGAAGGAAAGAAGAAAGGAAGAATAAAAGATAGAAAGGAAAGACAAATGAAAACAGACCCCAACAAGCCCAAAATTCTTAGGTATCAAAGCTGATCTTCATACCTCCTGTGCTCACTAGGGAGGCTTTCTGCCATTTTTGTGTTTGTCTTTGATGTGGTTATAAATGGATTTACTTGGATGGAATGACAATAATTAAATATTTTCTTGATTTCTTTCATTTCTTTTCAACCGGGCTTCTTGGAGTCCCTGGCAAATCCTTGATGTTCGCAGAAAGCACTTACCAAAAATAAGAAAAAAAAAAGGATGACTTCATAAAGTTGCTGTAGAAATCCCTTTGAAATGTGGCCAGTGTCAGTTCCTGTTCTGTAAGCCTCTGAGGATGGAAAGAATAGGATCAGCTCTGTATGTCTTCGTAATGCAAGTCTTGGTGGAGAAGAGAGCCCTTTCCTGGGATGCCTATTCTAAGAGCCTTTCATTGGAGCTGTAATGTTGTATTCCTGCCTAAACTGGGAGCCAGGAGTAGAGGCAGCTCTCTCATGAGATTTGTCAGCAAAGAACTTCACGATTTTTTTTAAACAAATTTAATTAGTAGCATCAGTAAGATCCTTTTTGTAGAAAACAATCATAAATATATTTATATTTATTTTTGTGAGGATTAGTTATTGCTTTAAAAAGATGTATCTAACAGAAATTGAATTATTTTCCCCTCTCCTGCAGAATACCCTTACTGATTTCTTTTTCTGATGATAAAAGTGTTACATATTCTCATATTCAGATAAAGAAAGAAAACATAGAAGAGAAGGAAGAGATAGCTTTCTGTAATCTTACTATAAAAAATTACCATTGTTAACTTTTTCACCTGTATGCTTTCAGAAATTTTCTATGTACACACAGAGCAACATTTAAAAATGAACACTGGGATCATATAATATCTTTTGTAGCCTTCCCTCCTCTTCCACTAAACATGGATGTATTTCCATATCAGTAAGCATATCTGAGCACATATTTAATGACTGCATAGTATGTCATTATATAGGATATGAGATTCTCTTTAAAAATTGTTTTTTCCATCCGTTTCAATAATTCTATAATTAATGGCATTTTCATCTAAATTTTCTTCTATTACTTTTATGCCTTAATAAACCATTGTCACCATTTCATTTAGCTTTTACAGGACTATGTTGTTAAAAGAACCCTATGACTATCAATTGGTGTATCTTACATCTGATTTTTAGTGATAGGGAGAAAATAATAAGGAAGTGGAGATATGTGGAAAAGGAAAGAAGTATAATGTCAAAGCCATTAAATAGACTGAATGAGATATTTGGGTGCCTGCTAAGAGGCCCAGCCTTAACATTTGTGGAGTCAGGACAAAGGTTACACATGGAAACCCACATACTATTTGTTTAAATATTTAAAAGCTTTAAATCAAGCTAACCAGCAAAAATAACAAGAGAATAATGTTCAATCCTTTTACTTTTGTACATGTAGCAGGAAGCCAGGTTTGAGGTCAGAGTCCTGGATTTTTGGGAGTACTGAGCCAGAACGTGGAGATGAAACAGAACTAGCACCTTGGCCCCTGGCCTACAGGTCACTCTCTGCTTCTCTTCCCACCTTTGGCTCAATCTCACGATGTCCAGGCTTCACACACGTCAACTGGACACCCTAGCCTGTATGTCCAAGCTCTATCCACTTGTCTCCTACTCCCCAAAGCTGCCTCTGACTTTGACAAGTATATTCCTGGGGCGGAGGTTCAAGCAGCCCCTGGAAGCAAGAATTTTGGGGTCCTGGGCAATCTAGTAAGTAGGAGAGGGAGCACAGGCTTTCCTTGGACCTTGACCCTATAGACTCCTCACTGTGAGGGGAAGGACATGGCCAGAGGAGGGCTTTGTAGAACATGGGGCCCAGAGTAAGGTCCAATGTCGCTCAGGTGTGAGCATGGTGTTGCCTGCCAATTTTCCTTCTCTTGGAAAAAAAAAAAATTGATTTAAATATATCAATACACATGTCGTGTAAAAATTAAGTAAAGTAATAAATCTATAGACTAAACAGTCAACATTTCCCCAAATCTTCCCCTCTCTTCTTTACTATTAATAATTTGATATATATCTTTCCAGAGTTTTCTGGTTATTTATGTAACATGTTATAGATATGTGCATATGTATATATAAAATATATACCCATATATATGGTTTTAACATTTTAAATAGGATTTTAAATAGGATCATACTGGGCATATCTTTCTGTAACTTTTGTTCACTTAGTATCTTTTTAAAAAGAGTGCAATGAATCCATGGTCTTTCCTTTTTTATTGTCTTCCTCACTTTAATAAAGTAATATGTAGTCTTATAAGAAAGCCAAATAGTGAAAAATGGAATAAATTGAAATATAAAAGTCTTTGAGGTTTACCCATCCCATCTTGTTCTTAGAAATAACCACTATTCAAAGTTGATTGAACTGGCAAAAGTTTGATCATTTTTGGAGATGAGTGACGGATACATTGGGATCCATTATATCATTCTGTTTTCTTTTAGATATGTTTGAAAATTTCCAAGATAAAACGTTAGTTTCTTGAAGACTACTACTTATTATTATTTTTTAATTACCAAAAGCCTTTAGGTAACTTTTTAACTGGGAGAGGATGCTCTCACCATATTTATGTTACTTTTATTTAAAGTCCAAGCTTCTGGCTTGGCCTTGAACTAAGCAAGCCTGAGTCAAAGAAGAGAGAATGGCTAGTGCAAGTAACAAATGTATGTGGTAATTGAAAGACTTGTGTCTGGTAATCAGAATTGCTGATGGGGTTCCTTTGTAACAATTTGATATTGTTTGTCATCTGAAATAGGCTCAAGACAAGGAGTGCCTGTGGTGGGGCTGGTGGTGGAAGGTGGTCCCAATGTCATCCTCTCAGTGTGGGAGACTGTGAAAGACAAAGATCCAGTGGTGGTGTGTGAAGGCACAGGCAGGGCTGCCGACCTCCTGGCCTTCACCCACAAACACTTTGCAGATGAAGGGTGAGTTGTTGAGTCTTCATTTCTGAAAGTATGCTCTTTATTGTTCCATTTTAGTTCTTTAATTTCTGCTTTCATGTAGGCCGGATATCCTTAGAGGACGGAGACTGGAATTCTCTGGATATCTTAGAGGACAGAGGTTGAGACTGGAATTCATTTTTCAGTGGTTTTTGTATTTATTAAGCAACACCAAAATGCCCTCTAGTGATGCAAGTTGCTATTAGCTTAGCTGAAGAATGGCCGGCCTCTAACAAGGACCTTGAGCCCTGTCTGAGCTTAGGGAAAAAGGATTTCCAGGGGGAGTGAGGGAGTAGACCACTGTGGCCCCAGATCACCTTTAAATTCAATTGCTGTTAGTAAAAATAGCAGAAATTGGGGAAATCAACATACTGACATTTTTGTCGCATATATTGTACTTAGTTGAAGTTTTAACTCTTTTTCCTTTTTAAACAAGGAGTTTCAAACAAGTTTCAAACAAGTTGAAATTCTATCTTTATGAGACCTTAGAGATTATTTAGTGGTTTCTCTGTCCATCCCTATACACATTGTGATTCTTCCAATTTCAAAAGCGTGATATTTCTGCCAGGTGAGTAAATACAGTGCGTACAAACTGAAATGTGGACCCCACTCATTTACTTAATAAATATTCATTCACTGCTTATAATTTCTCTCTGACAACTCTTCTCTTAAGTTTCTCTCCCCTTTCAGCCCTGCTTCCACCCCGTACCCGCTTCCTCTTCTATTACACCTCTCTCTTTCGTTTTACAGTGTCAGATTCTTTAAGTATATTATGCCCGTAATTTCTGGAGATTCACAACCCCTTGGAAATCTGTCAGCTCGAGAACCCTGCCCCAAGTGCATTCTTCCCAGGAGCATGGCAGATTAGTCCATTCTCTCTTTCAATTCAGCCTTCTCCTGGTGCTGCTGCTTCGCTTTCCTTCCCATTCATTTATCTCTTGACAGTACTGTCCATAGAAACCTTCTCCATCACATGGGACAGACGCAGGGATGTTGTACTTGTGCTGATGTTTCTGGCTTGTCCCCTTCTCTGCACTGGGTCAAGTCACGACCATTTCTCTCTCCCAGGACCCTGCGTCCTCAGGTGAAGGAGGAGATCATCTGCATGATTCAGAACACTTTCAACTTTAGTCTTAAACAGTCCAAGCACCTTTTTCAAATTCTGATGGAGTGTATGGTGCACAGGGATTCTGTGAGTATGATGAGTTGATGACTCAACTGACTTAAAAAACGCTAATGTTCAACAATTGTGATATTTATTCTCACAATTTTATTTTTCATTTCTTACTTGATTATATATAGCTCTACAGAACTTGATCTTTAAGTTGAGTAAATGTGACTTCTTGTTTCCTCCCGCCCTCCAACCATATGTCATATTCCTGACCGTACCTGGGAAAAAGCACTTAGATAATATAACAGTATTACAGAAAAGTGATTGAATTTAGTGAAAATTACATGTAAATATTTTCAGAGGGTAAAGGAACAGCTCCATGTCTTAAATAAACTCAAGTCTGCTGGCTTAGATGACTCTATCACAGTATCCTCAGTATGTCCTATAGGAGATCATTGGGGATGCACTGGACAATGGAAATATGTGAATAAACTCTCAGGTGAAAAATAGAGGCCACGAACTTTGGGCTATGAACGTAATATAGATTAAGGAAAAGATTTCAGTGTTTTAGGGTAGTTCGATCAAAATTTTTATCAGTGATTTGGATAGTATGTTGCTGACAGTTACATTAAATATGCAGATATGTCATAACATAGTGATCTTTCCAGAATTTGAAGGCTGGACCAAATCATACAAGATTTTGGTAATATTAAAGCACCTTCCCTCAAAAAACCAATTGAACAAGTTCAGTCTAGACTAAGCATGGCTAAACAGATGTGAAAAACCCTTTGGGATTTTGGTTGACCTAGTACCAACGAAAATAACAACCATGTCTGCAATTAACGGTGTGCTTTCCAGTATATTTTTTCATGTGAAATAGCCCCATGAGTGAGTTCAATATGGCAGTGATTGTTTATTTCAGTTTCAGAGATAACGAAGCTGAAGCCTAGAGAATTTAAGTGATTTGCCCAGAGTCATGCAGTTATGAACTAGTAGAACTAAAACTGGAGCTCAGAGTTGAAATCTTGTGCATGGTCTATTACATTTTATATTCCCCACAATAGTCAGTAGGTTAAGAAAAGGACATATTAAAGGGATCACCCTTATATTTGTCTCCTCCTGTCATCAAGGAGAGTAACCAAGGAGCGGTGTAATAGTCAAGAGGGAACTAGAGAAGGCAGCTAAGGGTTTGCATGTTACAGAAAGGTTCTCAGCTCCTGCACAGTTGAGGGTTGATTTTATTCATGCACATGGGGGGTGCTGTTAGGTAGAGGGGCTATTAGCGTGAATTGTAGAAGAATTCTATCTTTATGAGACCATAGAGATTATTTAGTGGGTTCCTCTCATCTTGTGGGTGAGGAACCTGAGATGCAGTGGTTTTAAGATATTTACCCAAGACTGACTTACTTAGTGGTATATCTGGGGCTAGAACTTGGCAATCTTGGCTCTTTTCTGTTGAACAGGTCCCTTTACTATATATTTTCATCTGCAAAGATTGAGATACATTCATTAACAGGAGAAGACCTTTTATAATCATAAATAATGTCCTTATTTGTCTTAAAAAAAAATCAGTCACGTGCCAGGATGCACCGGAGGCTTTGACGTTGTGAAGGCTTTCTTCACTGTCCATTGTGCTTGCTCACTGGGTGCGTTGTAATTGCCTCACTTGTTTTATGACAAATCCTTGAGGATTCATTTCTCGTTAAAAAGCAAACGTCTTAGTTTCTAAAGCTAGGTGAACAGAAGGATCTCATTTCGTATTCTTTCAAAATGAGGAATGGTTTTCTTTACATGAGGAATTGACACTGAGTTTCTTTCTATTATAGCATGTGAATAGTAAATTAATGCAGTAATGTTCTTTCATGCATGTTTCCTCTAAGATAATTGGAATTTTTCAGTTTTTTTTTAATCCCCTGAATGTGTACAATTCGCCATTACCCTACTTAAAAGTTTTCTCTCTTATTAGTAAAAAAAAGAAGAATTTTTTTAACTCTGTGATTTTTGACGTTAATGATGAATGTTTCACTTAATTCATTAGCTCAAGAGCAAATCTTGTGGGTACTTTTGAAAGCATTTCTTTGCTAGTCCCCAAAATGTATGGCTTTCTGTTTTTCAACTGTTACAGATTACCATTTTTGATGCTGATTCTGAAGAGTCACAGGACCTTGATTTAGCAATCCTAACAGCTCTGCTAAAGGGTGAGTGTCTAAATAAGGTTACAATTGTTCCTCCTTTCCTCTTTTCACATTCTGTGGCACTGTGTGCTTTTTATGTTGATATTATAAACAGAATATGTGATTCCTTTCTTTTACCCTAGGCACAAATTTATCAGCATCAGAACAATTAAATCTGGCAATGGCTTGGGACAGGATGGACATTGCCAAGAAACATATCCTAATTTATGGACAACATTGGAAGGTATAATGAAGATGAAGTTATTTGGAAGACCTGTGTCTTGTGTTGGTTTGTTAGGGAGGGACAAAAGAGAGAATTGGAGGAGAGATAGGTTGCTTTGGGGACGGGTGTGGGAGTAGGGTAGCATCTCTGATGCTGGGTACACACCATTGCTAAGACATTTCTCTCATCTACTTTGCCTCCCTGAAAACATTTTTTCCTCTTGCTCTGCAGCCTAATTGAAGCTGACAAAGGAAGTCGGGGGAAAGACAGATGGAAGGATTTTTAATTTACTTTTTCAATGGGCAGATTTTTATATTGTTATTCAAAACTTAAAGTTTATCTTATTTTTTTGCATTACAGTGTAATGCATGCTCACAATAGGAATGAGTGAAAACAGAGAAAAGCAGGAAGAAGAAATATTACTCATAGTGCTAATGCTAATCACTGTTAACATTTCATTTTAAAACAATTACAGTTGTGACCAGACCATAGGTCTATTAGTTTGGGGTTGAACTAATTTGTGCACATTGTTTAAAACATCAAATGGTACTAAAAAGCTACCAAAAAGACAGTAGTTCCCTGCCCTGCTTATCACTAGAGCCAAGCACTTTTGACATTTTTGGACTGTTCTGACGTTTATAAATCTCCATATTTCTAAATAATAAGTCATATTGCTGTTTTCTGATTAATTTTAGAGAGCTCTTAACATTTCTGTCTGTGCCCTCCCTGCTGCAATCTGGACTGGTTGCCTGCTATTCCTGGTGCTGAGCTGTCATCCTTCATCATCTTAGAGATTTCCTCCTTTGTTAGAACGCCTGTTTTCTGTATCCCCTGTTTTCCTCTTTCTTGGTTTACTCCTTTATTTGATGATGTGTATCTTGCAGTAACTTCCTGAGGAAGGGAGTATGGGAGATAAAAATTTTGAGGCTTTATATGTTTGGATATATTTTAATTCAAGGTGGAACTAATTTTCCTAGAGAATTTTGAATGCTTAGCTTCCAGCACCCAGCAGTACTGTTGAGAAGTAAAAAATCGTTCTCTTTTCTCATCCTTTGTTTATGACCATTTCTTTCTTCTCTGGGAGTTTAAAAAAATCTTCTCTTGTTCCAGTGTTCTGAGATTTCACAATGATGTGTGTCGTTATGAGTCTTTATATCCATTACACTGGGCACTTGCTTTCAACTTGGCAATCATGTATTTCCTTGCTGGGGAGTTTCCTCCCCTGCTTTCTCTGCTCTCATTCAGGAATTCTATCATTTAAATGTTAGACCTGTGGACTGCTCCTCTAATCTTATCTTTCCCTCTTATCTTCTGTATCTTTTCTTTGGTAGATTTCCTCAAGTTTAATTTTTCACACCTTGTATGTAGCTTTTTGTTTCTGGTAGCATATTATTAATTCCTGAGAGCAAATTTGTTGTCTTTTTATTTTTTTTAATTTTTATTTATTTTCTTTTTGTGGACATATGTTTTTATTTCTCTACAAGTGAATTGCTGGGTCATAGGGAAGGTGTACATGTGCTTTTTTTGTTTTTAATAGATCTTTATTGGAGTATAATTGCTTCTCAATACTGTGTTAGTTTCTGTTGCACAACAAAGCGAACCAGCCATAGGCATATACATGCCCCCATATCCCCTCCCTCTTGAGCCTCCCTCCCACCCTCCCTATCCCACCCCTCTAGGTTATTGCAGAGCTCCGAGCCTATCTCCCTGTGCTACGCTGCTGCTTCCCACCAGCCAACTATTTTACATTCGGTAGTGTATATATGTCGATGCTACTCTCACTTCGCCCCAGCTTCGCCCTCCCACCCCGTGTCCTCAAGTCCATTTTCTATGTCTACCTCTTTATTCCTGCTCTGCAACTAGGTTCATCAGTACCATCGTTTGTTTTTAAATTCCATATATATGCGTTAGCATAAGGTATTTGTTTTTCTCTTTCTGACTTACTTCACTCTGTATGACAGACCCTAGGTCTTAGCATCCTGAATATAATATCTTCTTTTGTTTTTCTGAAGCTACTAATGATAGTTCTTTTGAAGTTTTCTTCTTCCTGTATTGTCTGATTCCTCCTGGTTGACGTTTTTTGGTCTGTTTGTCCTGGACTCTTTGTTTAAATGTGGAGGAAAGAAAGCTCATTAGAAATTCTGAGGCTGTAGATTTGGGCTCCACAGTAGGGTGATCTGGCTGCCCCCATTTGTTGGGGAACCTGAAGTGTTAGCATATTCATATATTTTCTCTTGTATTCATCACAATATCAGAAAGAAATCCTCCAATCTCCTGCTTACAAGGTAAAGCCTTGTTCCTATTGTTACGGAAATCAATAGGGGAAGATGAGTGGGAAGGTCCCAGTGTTAGCAATTTATGCTGCCAGAATTCTGTGGCATAGATTTTGTTTGGTTCTTGACTTTTTTTCCAATTTCTAGGGACTTCCATTTTTTGGCTTTCTGGGAACTGCTAAGTCAATTACCATTTGACCATCTGCTTTTCAACTTCTAAAACGTTTCACTCTTGACCTCCTTGTTCTTGTGGATTCACTTCTTTAAAATAAAACACAAAAAGACAAAAAAACCCTTTACTATAATTTTAGTGGGGTTTTAGGTAGGAGTAAAAGTAGATGAGTGTGTTTAATTTGCCATTATACCCAGAAGTCGGATATAGTTTAAATGGGAACATGCCAAGTTACCAAAAAACAAAAAAGAAAAAGGAAAAGAAGCAGAAGGAAAAGAAGGAAGGGAAAAAAACCTTGGATTTTTATTAGAATTGCATTAAATTCAAACATTAATTTGGGAAGCATTGAGATCTTTACCACAGTCAATTTTCTCATCCAAGAACACGTTTATTCAGGAGGTCTTTTATGCCTTCAGTTTACCTTTTGTTATTTCTTCACTTAGGTCCTGAACATTTCTTAGTAAGAATGTATTTTATGATTGTTTTGTCTGTATAGTTTTGAGTTCAAATACGTGTAATTCTTTAGTTATTTCTACTTTCTTGATTTCTCTGTATCTCTTATTTATTTCTGCCCTCTGAAGCCTGGCTCGCTAGAACAAGCAATGTTAGATGCTTTGGTGATGGATCGAGTGGATTTCGTGAAGCTCTTAATAGAATATGGCATGAACCTCCATCGCTTTCTTACCATCTCCCGACTGGAAGAGCTCTATAATACAGTGAGTACTGGAACATTTCATTAGTCACCTCCTTAAGATTTATTTATTAATTAGCTTAACACTTAGCTTAAACTATATCTTGAATGTTCAAGTCTCCTTCAATGTTCATGTACAAAGATAGCTTATAGAGAGACAGACTTTTCAAGCAAAGAAGAAACTTTCTTACCAAATCCATTATATCCTATAGTCATTTCTGTGTTTCCCATTTTAATTAATTATACAGAACAGAAGCATAAACTAATTTAAGAAAATAGGATAGTAAGACCATAATTAAAGCCAAAGATGAGAATAAGAACAAATTGCTTTTATTGAGTAATGAGAAGCATTTCAACCTAAGGACACTTAAAATTTTGTTCCTGCAATTTTCCTACGTAAACCTTTTATTGAAATGAGACTGGCTTACTCCTTGTAAAGACACCAGTTGCTTAAGCCAAGCACCCTTCTTGAGATGTCCTTCCTTGCCTTTGAATCTTACCCTTTCTTTAAAGCCCTGTTCAAGTCCTATCTTCTTGATTATTCCAATTCACATATTATAGTGCCCCTATAATACAGATTATTTGCCACTCTTTTGAACATACCTATCTTCATATTGTTGGTTATTTTTAGTGTAAGTCCCACTCTCTTATATTAGATTGTAAAAATTCTATGAAGAAAGTAATTTTATTCTTCATTGAATCCCTCAGTAGCTTGAATGAACGTAGTAAGTGTTCAATAAATATTTGTTGGTAGAATATAATTGTGTGATGAAATTTGTAATTGTGTGATTTATATATAATAAAGGATAGTTACACATTAGTTAAAATTTATTTCTGCCTCTTGCCACACAAAGTTAATTAAGGCCTTACTTCCTAGATACATACATCTTGCATTGAAAAATATTTTAATCTAATCACATCTTCTCTTGGGAAATACCTTCCTTAGAATTAATTTGGCTTAAGCTTCATTACTAAAGATGTTGAAGAAAGTTTTCAGTATTCTGGATAATTTATGAATTCTGAAATAAAGGTTTTTTATTTCTCCCTAGCACATGGTAATTAAAAGGTAGTTAAAATTCTTCCTTTTGTTCTTCATTACAGAAACAAGGACCAACCAATATGCTCTTGCATCATCTTGTCCGAGATGTAAAACAGGTAACCTAATTATGAAGGTGTACAAATTTCTTCTGGTATTGTCTTAGCTTTTTGGTGAAGTGTTACCAGATTTTGCTTTGTAAAATGTAGACTTGGATTTTCTAGCGAATCACCTACCTTCTTTACCTGTGACTCTGAACAATTTCATAACCAAACCACACTCATATTTTTTCTTGTAATTTGTGTTTTAAAAGATTTGACCCACCAAGTAAGTGGCATTAGCTAATAATTATTTTCTCTTATAAAACGTGAATTGGAGACATAGAAACTTCCAAGCAGAATTTCAGCTTAACATGATACAACAATATTGCCAATGATGATAATAATACCTGCTGAAAATAGAGAAACTTCCTGGTTCTGTTATCTTTATTGAAGGACTGGTATGTGATTCCCTTGTTTCTGTTCTTGTTTTGTCTGTTAGTGATAACTCTGGGGCTCTCACTTCCTTGGTGAGTCTAAGCATTGTTCTAGGGAACCAGGATGGATCCCACTGGTCTATACCTTTGCTAATATTTTGCTCATGGTATTCTCATTGAACTTTGAGTTAAGTCAGACTTAAAATCATCTCTGATCCCCCATTAATTACCAGAACTTTCCAGCTTTAACAGACTTTTTTTTTGCCTTAATTCTGAAGTCTAGTATCTTGATGGAGAGAGTGTGGGCTTTCTGATTATGTTGACTTGGTGGGAGTAAAAGGTGGAGGAAGACATTTAGTTGGCAGATTAGCAGTAAGCAAAAGTGTCCATGGGGATGTAAATTTACTTTGCATTGATTTATGTTGGGTCAAAATGATGTTCCTTAGATTATCTCCTTAAACTCTGATTCTGTCATGGTAAACTGAAGAAAAGGGAGAGAAATAGTTAGATATGTGTTTAACTAGCAGCAAAATGAGAGCATGATTTGTGTTCCTTGGAAAAAGTGAATTATGAATGTGAAAGAGAGAAATTAAATTATTTGCATTTATTTATATCTGTAACCGTATTTGTTGTTCAAAGCTTTGGGAACATTGTTCACAATCTGTTCATTTCAAAGATATTGTTCAGCACTCTGTGCCTTTAAAAGTGTGCTATGAATGACAGTTCAGAAGTAACACTTATGAAGAGGCACTGTGGTGGCCTTTAAGGGGTCAGAGCAGTTTTCATTTGGCCCAAGGCCCATGTGCTTGGAAACCTGCTACTCAGGCCCCTAGCAGCCATGACGCTGGTCTTGGCACAGCCTCGTGTTTTGAAATCTCATTTTGCTCTGCCGCTTCATGTTCCTTATTTCTATTTGTTCTGCTTCCTTTCCTATTCTTGTTTTGTGTATGATTTGGTCAACACGGTGCAAAGTGTTACAGCCATTTCAATAGAGAAGCTTAAGATTTAACTTAGTGTTACTTTTGGACCCTCCAGCATATCCTCCAGTGATTATACTTTTGTTGTAGTGGTTCTGTCATTTCCAGCTAAAAACAATCTTTTGTACTCTCTTTAAATGTATTTTATTCTAAAGTGTGTATATGCATGAGAGAGAAAAAGAGAGGAAATGAGCTCTTAAAAGCAGACATTCCATGTCTATGAAACTAAAAACATCTTAAGGCTAAGTATTTTTTCCCATTTGAACAACCAGGTTGTATCAGTAGCTGCCATATTAAGTGATCAGTTGTTTTTGTTCTTGTTTTAGTTATTAGTGATAACTCAGGGGCTCTTCCTTCATTTGTGAGTCTTAAGCATTGTTCTAGGGCTGAAGAGTGTGAGTCTCCCTCTTTGCAGTTTATTTGGTTATGTTCTAGTGACGTGGCAAAAGGGATAGAAAAAGAAAACTGACAGTTACGTGTTACATGTTTTTGTTTCAGCATGCCGTTCTCTCAGGCTACAGAATAACGCTGATTGACATTGGACTGGTGATAGAATACCTTATTGGTAGAGCATATCGCAGCAGCTATACCAGAAAAAATTTCAGAGCCCTCTACAGCAACCTCTACAGAAAACATAAGGTAGCATAATTGAAAAGTATCCTAGTAAAATTAAGGATTCCTAGGAGTTATACTTTTAGAAAAATGGCTCGGGAAGTTTAGATGGGAAGAGCTTCCAAAATGGACATGCTGTTTATCGACATTTATTGAATGTCTGCTGCATGTAAATTACTGTGCTAAGTGCTGGCATGCTGGCCTGGGATGGACATAAAGATCAGGAGTTTAGAAACTTTTACAGGAAACAGATTTATGAATAACTAGCCACAATACAAAACAGGATATAATATGTGCCGTATTGACACAGAAGTATGTGGTGAGAAGTATTAGAGGGAGAGATGACCGGTTCTTTCTTTATGTTTCTTTATCTTTTGAAAATACAGAAGTGGAAAGCTTAATAGGATTATATCTATAACTCATAATAGTACATAGCCTGGAGATGACAAACTTGGAACAAGTCTCTAGGGGTTATATTGGAAGATGCATGCAGAATGTACCATGTGAAAATACATATTATACGTATTTTATTTTCTATCATATTTTTGAAAGTCTAGGAATGTAAAATTAGAGTTGCTGGTTAGTTGATTAGCAGAGAAAACATTGCTTGTTTCTTAAAATTGCCAGTACAGATCAGTAAACTGAAGAGCCTAGTTCTTATTAGGGGATAATGAAAGTGTTAGAAAAGGTAGTTTGGGGCATTTTTGGCTGAGAGAAGAGCGGGAACAGTTAAGGGCACAGTGCTGTGAACACCAGGGTATGGTTTTGCAGTGACAAGGAGACCTTTGTCACTGGACAAGTGCCAGAAGGTTGTGAGGGATGACACTGGAAAGATACTTTGGGATAAGATCACATGAAGAGTCTAGAATATCAAGCTACTTTTGACCTTTGTTTTTAAAGAATGATGTGAAGTGAAAACCCAGGTTGGCTTTAAGGGATGAGAAAACAAAACAGAAAGAAACCCAACTCTCAAAGAGAAAATGTTCTTTATTGGCATTTCACAGGCATAGGGATACATTTGAGGTATCAGTGCCTTCAAGAAAACAAAATATGCCTTGCTCTGAGGTTACCAGTGGTAGGTATAGGACTGACTGTGACCTTGGTGCAGCCCAGTGGGGAGCATGCTAGGCAGGTACCTCTAATGCCCTTTCTGGAAATGGGTAGGAAATTGCCCATTTCTCTAATTATTTTCTAGTGAAGGAGTACAGAGTTTATTGTGTTTCCTAGTAAATTAGATCGTAGCAGTTAACGAATACATGGTTTGGAGTCGGAGAGATCTGGGACTGAATCTTAGTTTTGTTCGTTAGTAGCTGTGTAATCTTGAGTAAGAAACTTAACCTCTCTGTGTGTCAGTTTCCTTATCTTTAAAATGGGAATAATATTATAATACCCCTTTCATAAATTTATCAAAAGGATTAAATAAAATAATACCTAGAATAGCCAGGAAAACCCATATTCCTGGTACATAGAGGGTATAGAGTAACTTAATACTAATAGTCATTATGATTATTACTAGTGATACTATTAATTCTATATCACAGTAATAATAATGATAATAATTTGAGTAGTTTCTTTAAAAAGTTGGACCCCGTTACTTCTACATCTAATTTATATCTGTAAAACACAAACTAAAAATAAATAAATAAAATCAAGTACAAATAAAATAAATAAATAAATATTAATAAATAAGTAAAATAAAGTTCAAAGTTCCTGATACGGTTTGTGTTGGGAATTTTATGTCAGTCCCTTTAAAAATGCTCTCGTTTGTTTTTGTTTTTCATTGATGAAAGCTTCATGCTGACAAGCAATTAATTATGTTGTTATTGGGCCTAGCCACCGGAATTCCAGTAGTGATAGAACACCTGGAGAAATTCTGTAACTTTCTAACTGAAGCTTAACCTTGGAGCTGTTTGTGAATGGGAACTTTTCCTTATCAGAACTGTGAATCTTTATTGCCTATTCTGAACTTGTTTCAGGTATAGAACATCGATTGATTCTAATGGAATTTCCACATAGAAAAGGAATGCAGATATATGATAGGGAGCAAAAGAACATGTTCTCTAAGATGTTAGGAAATAAGAGTGTGCTTAGTAAGAAGGGGATCATGAGAGGCTCTTGTTGGAGGAGTGATTAACTACTAATCTTGGATGAGAGACAGAACCATTGGATATTTGATAGGACACAATATTATATTTGTTTTTATTGTTGTCTAGAAATAAAATGTTAATTGTTACCACTATAATCATCTTTTTCCCTTTTTGTTTTATTTTAAAAATAAAATAACATATTCCAGCAAGTGACCACTTTTGCTCAAAGCCTTCCCCAGCCCCCTCTTCACCGAAGATGCCGCTCAGGAAATAGAAATGAATCTGCAGAAAGCACACTGCACTACCAGTTCATTAGAACTGCCCAACCTTACAAAGTCAAGGTACCAGTTACTTATTTTAGATTTGAAAAGAAAATTGTCCTTAAAGACTGAGACCTTTTCTTCATTTAAAGTTTGAGAATGGGGAATACAAATAGAGGGATCATTTACAAGCACTATAAACAGATGGTGCAAGTCAAAAGCCTAATACAGGTGTTCTCTAACAATGATGAGCAAACGCCCAGGACAAGCAACTAAATGATTTGCTGGGGCTGACACCTCAGGCTGCCTTCCTTGTTCCTACCTCTACCATGTCCAGATGTTGACTCAGGAAAGCAGTCCATGGGATGGTACTAAAAAATAGAATTACTAGCCCAACAGTGCACCCTCCTCCTCCTTTCCCCAAGGCTAATTGGAGGTGACTGTTTCCTCCTCCTTTCTGTTCTCTGACACTGCCCTCTTGCATCTTCTTTTTTCCCTTTTGAAGCTTTCTGAAATATAATTTTGACCTAATGTTACAGTATGACAATGATAATGTATTTATGACTGTGTGTGTGCATGTGAGTGTGTGTGAGCAGTATTATGCCTTCCCTTTACTACCTCAATCCCACTTTCCTCTGGGGGTGAATGCTTTTGTTAAGAGTTTCCATATAAATGGTTCCTATGTTGGCTGAAAGAGGTTTGCTTTTTATAGCTCTTAGAATGAAAAGATATTTCATAAAATTACTGTTGGTCATAAAACATGAACATAAATTCCCTTCATTTATAGAAATAGAGGAAGCTTGTTACTATTTTTGCTGTGATCTCCTTTAATTAAAAAGAATAAGCTGAGACAAAGTGAGAGAGTGGCATGGACTCATATATACTACCAAATGTAAAATAGATAGCTAGTGGGAAGCAGCCGCATAGCACAGGGAGATCAGCTCGATGCTTTGTGACCACCTAGAGGGGTGGGATAGGGAGGGTGGGAGGGAGACACAAGACGGAGGAGATATGGGGATGTATGTATATGTATAGCTGGTTCACTTTGTTATAAAGCAGAAACTAACACACCATTGTAAAGCAATTATACTCCAATAAAGATGTTAAAAAAAAAAAGAATGATTATTGAATCTTGTTATTTGCCAGGCATTAGTTTGGGCACTTGGTTGAATTTGAGATGCAGGTGTGTTGGAGAAGATATAATTATGACTGAGAAATGGTCCCACCCTCCCTCCCAAAGTAATAACCACAGTGCAGTACGATGAGCATCGAGAGAGAGATACATACAAAGTGATATAGAAGACAATGGGGGTTAGAGAATGGTTTTTGAGATGATCTGTAAAAGGTGGTTTTACCAGGTAGAGAATAGTATTTCATTATTACCTATTACCATCACTAGGGGAATATAGTCAGAATAAAGGAAAGCAAAATTAAAATCAATCTATTTGTATGAATGTTGGCAACACTAGTTGCCATTTTTCTAAGAGGAAGATAATGAATCTATTTGTAAGGTAAGGTTAGAGTTCTTTTTTTTAATAGTTATCGTTTATCTCATGTTATTTCAGCCCATTTCCTTGAGAAATTGAAAATTGTTGTATAATTAGTGGCTCTGTTCCAAAGGTATAGTGTTTTAAGTTGTGTTAAGTGAACTTAAGGTATCTCAGCCTAGGGACCCTGGAATTATTAGATGCAACAAGAAATGGATTAAAAAAGGCCAAAATTTTGGTTTCTGATTTATAAAGTTCTATTATTATCTCCATCTCTTTTCGGTGATTTAAAAATATTTTTAAGATACCCGATGTGTTTTGTCAGGTAGAACATCACGCATTTGAGTATTTGGACACCCATTCCTATTTTGTATTCTAACAGGAAAAGTCTGTAGCCCTTCATAAATCAAGGAAGAAGTCAAAAGAAGAACAAAATATATCAGATGACCCTGACTCTACTGGCTTTATTTATCCTTATAATGACCTGCTGGTTTGGGCTGTGCTAATGAAAAGGCAGAAGATGGCCATGTTCTTCTGGCAGCACGGAGAGGAGGCCACAGTCAAGGCAGTAATTGCTTGTATACTGTACCGAGCAATGGCCCGGGAAGCCAAGGAGAGCAACATGGTTGATGATGCCTCAGAAGAGCTGAAAAATTACTCAAAGTAGGAGTTCTCCCTTTACCTGATATTAACATCGACAGTTCTTAGAATGGTTAGACACGTTTATCTCCCTCAGCTTAGAACTTGTAAGATGAGTGGACTTGTAAGATGTGAACTTGTATGAAGTGAACTTGTAAGATGAGTGTGGTTCATGGACTCTCCCATAAATAAGGGTCTTGAGGTATTTTAAGGACTAAAAGGAAGAGAGGTGGCCTTCAAGTCAGGAGACTTGGGTGCTAGACCTATTCCAGCTCTTTACTAATTGTCAAATCACTTGACCAGATTTCGGGACTTTAGTTTCTTAACTATAAAATGTTCAATGAATGATTTTGGAAGTCCCTCCTAACTCTCAAACTCTTTGATACTAAGTTATATTAAAATTTGTTCTTTAAGTGCCGCTCAGGCAGGAAAACAAATAAATATATTATGTATTAAATTACCAGAGAGTGATGGTAGAAGATAGAAAAGTTAGAAATGTTTTGATTTTTTGATTTACTAAAGCATTGTAGTAGTAGGGAAAGAAAGAAAGCTAGAGTTAATAGAAACTAATTTATCATTTTGATTTAAAAAATTCCAGAGAATGACAGTGTCTACTTTTTAGAGAAAACAACCTCCAAGAAGATCACCTGGGGGTGTCTCCAGGTCTAGTTTCTTACTTAAGTCATCTGTGTATTTTGTAAAATCTTTAAATTTATTTATTTATATATTTATTGGCTGTGTTGGGTGTTTGTTGCTGCGCGCGGGCTTTCTCTAGTTGCCAGTGAGTGGGGGCTACTCTTCGTTGTGGTGTGTGGGCTCTAGGTGCACAGGCTTCAGTAGTTGTCATGCAGGCTCAGTAGTTGTGGTGCACGGGCTTAGTTGCTCTGCGGCACGTGGGATCTTCCTGATCCAGGGTTCAAACCTGTTTGAGCCTGCATTGGCAGGCAGATTCTTAACCAATGCGCCACCAGGGAAGTCCCTAAAATCTTTAAAAAAAAAAAAAAAAAAGGAGTGGCGAGGGGAGTTTCTACAGTTTTTCCTTAAATGCTAGTTCAGTTTTTGAACAATCTTTTCTGTCAAAAAATTCTTTATTAGGTACTATCAGGGAGCCCCACATCAAGCCATACACAGCTTGCTTTGTGGTGTGGATTTGCTTCTCCCCATGGATAGCTCAGGCACTCCTGGTGGAAACCCTCTAGTTCTGTTCTTTTAAGAGAGGCAGAACAATCCATTTCCTGCGCGGCAATCCCTTTTAAACAGCTTCTGCATTTTACTGTTCCCTCTTTTGTCTTGGTCTTTTCTGAGTCTCATATCGAATCTTTTTTAATGTTTCTGGGGCTCTCACCTGCATTTATTTTTGCCACTCACCACTGTGTCATTGCAGACAGTTTGGCCGGCTTGCCCTAGATGTGTTGGAGAAGGCATTCAAACAGAATGAAAGAATGGCCATGAAACTGTTGACCTATGAACTCAAGAACTGGAGCAATTCTACCTGTTTAAAACTGGCTGTTTCTGGAGGGTTGAGGCCCTTTGTTTCACATACTTGTACCCAAATGCTACTGACAGATATGTGGATGGGGCGTCTGAAAATGAGGAAAAACTCTTGGTTAAAGGTATATTTACTTGCTTTATAGAGTTTAACGTTAGTTTAGTCTATACTGTTGAGGTCTATACTCTTGCGTTCATTTTTCCCTTGCTCCAGAAGATTACCTTCAGGAAAACCAGTTAATGTCTTTGATTCTCACAGATGGGCTGAGATCTTCACAGTGGAACCTCTGACAATTACTTTATCTCCCACTACCACAGTTTCTTTTTAAAAATGGGCACAATTGTGCCAGCTCCATCCATCACAAAGGCGTACTCATGAGAAGCTGGTTAGAAGAAGTTAAAAGAATGTACAAACATAAACAAGATTTCGTTATTAGTAAACACCATTGCCTCTGATAATTATAACAGAAGTAAATGAGACTTCTTAGTGAAAATTTTCTCAGCTTAAAAATACTAACTCATGATAAACTAAATAAAATTAGCAATTTCTGTTGTTCATCTAATGTGATGTTTCAGGAAATAAATGGCCATTTTATAAAGCTGCCCTCAAACACATTTGTTCACACCACTAACTATCTCCAAATTTTTCTATTCCATTATGGTTTAGCCTCATCTTTCATCTTGAATTATCAAGAGTAATTTAGTTAATTATTAAAGGCATTTAATTTTTGACATCAAACCTAAGCCTAAAAAGCTCTAGGTTATGGTCATGCTTAAGAAGTACATAGCTTATGAAACAGAAAAAATGGGGATGAAGCATGATCATTAAGAGCTACACAAGGTTATAATTTATATTTTAATTTTATTCTCCTTAGAGCTCTTAAAGGTATGATGTGTCCCAAATAGAATGACTGTTTTAAAAAACATTTTTTTGGTCGGCAAACTATAGAAAACACAAACAACTAAAAGATATGACATAAAATATATAAAAGAGCGTGTACATTTTAATTCCACTAATGATATTGTGGAAACGAGGAATGTCAACCAGAAATTATTTCACATAGATTCCTCTTTAACAAAATATTGGAGAAACAACAATTGTTTCTAGAAGAAGTTCTCCTTTGATCTGTTTCGATTTCAGCCTTGGAAATGATGAAGCAGAGATGTAAATGGGTCCACCTCTAGCTGCACAAGTGCTGGCAATAACTCTTTTTAAATGTTCAGAGAGTGAGATGGGGGTATAGATAGCTGGGATTTTGAGAAATAATTTTCTCCATGGCTCTGTCCTGTACATACTTTAGTTGAATAGAAATCCTTGTTACTGAGAACTTAATAACTTTGTGCTCCTCGTATACTTTATTTTTATATCATCCGTGCCTGGATCCTAATTCCTCAGTGCTTGGCTTGTGAGTTTTGGGAACACTTTTGTAAATGTAAAATGTCCTGGTCAGACTAATTCCATGTGGATGAAGACTGGAGGAAGACCTTGTAGAGTTTTATGTGGAAGGGAAAACTCATTTAAGTGCTTCTGTAGAATAGACTCTGACCTATTCGTTGGAAATGGAATATTGATTTTATTGAATACTGTTTCACAAGCCAATTGTTCTGCAACGGTCAAGGGCAAAAGAATGTGGAGCCTTTTCAGGAAGTGGGTTAGGAATTAATTAGTGTAATATTGTCATTGTGCTTGCTAACTATGGTGTTTCCAGACCTGGAAGATTGCATGTATTTTGGGTTCTACATCCGAAAAGAAAACAAGCACACCAACAAACCAATCCTATCAGACTGGGAAAAGTCCAGAGAACCTTCACAGGAAATCAAGCTTTAAAACAAAACAACAAATAGACATTTCTCCAAAGAAGATATACAGATTGCCAACAAACACATGAAAGAATGCTCAACATCATTAATCATTAGAGAAATGCAAATCAAAACTGCAATGAGATATCATCTCACACTGGTCAGAATGGCCATTGTCAAAAAATCTAGAAACAATAAATGCTGGAGAGGGTGTGGAGAAAAGGTAACACTCTTGCACTGCTGGTGGGAATGTAAATTGATACAGCCACTATGGAGAACAGTATGGAGGTTCCTTAAAAAACTACAAATAGAACTACCATACGACCCAGCAATCCCACTACTGGGCATATACCCTGAGAAAACCATAATTCAAAAAGAGTCATGTACCAAAATGTTCATGGCAGCTCTATTTACAATAACCCGGAGATGGAAACAACCTAAGTGTCCATCATCGGATGAGTGGATAAAGAAGATGTGGCACAGATATACAATGGAATATTACTCAGCCATAAGAAGAAACTAAATTGAGTTATTTGTAGTGAGGTGGATGGACCTAGAGTCTGTCATACAGAGTGAAGTTAAGTCAGAAAGAGAAAAACAAATACTGTGTGCTAACACATATATATGGAATCTAAGAAAAAAAAAAAAAACGGTCATGAAGAACCTAGGGGTAAGACGGGAATAAAGACACAGACCTACTAGAGAATGGACTTGAGGATATGGGGAGGGGGAAGGGTAAGCTGTGACAAAGTGAGAGAGTGGCATGGACATGTATACACTACCAAATGTAAAATAGATAGATAGTGGGAAGCAGCCGCATAGCACAGGGAGATCAGCTCGATGCTTTGTGACCGCCTGGAGGGGTGGGATAGGGAGGTTGGGAGGGAGGGAGATGCAAGAGGGAAGAGATATGGGAACATATGTATATGTATAACTGATTCACTTTGTTATAAAGCAGAAACTAACACACCATTGTAAAGCAATTATACTCTAATAAAGGTGTTATAAAAAAACCAAAAAAAAAAACAACAAAAGGTCATTTCAGCATAAAAAAAAATGAAGTCGACAAGGACATGACTTTAGTTTCTTTAATCATGAGTGGTATATAGTCTGGGTTAATCTTACCTTTATTCACTGAATCCCAGAATACTAGGCCTAATTTTAGCTCGAAAGAGATAATGTTCACCAAGATGATTGTCACAATATTTAGTAAATCTTCTAAACTCTTTCCCTGAAAGGCCAATACAGGTTGAAGATAAAAATTCTTTTGAATAGACTATAAATAAATTCATGAATGTTAGCAATAGAATGAAAAAATCATGGATGTCTAGATTTCTATCTTTGTTGGGTTTTACTGGCAGAGAAAATATATGTGTGATGGGAGATGCATCTAACAGAAGGTGACTTGGTATGTTTTTATATTGTTGATTTTATAATATGAATAAATTTTCATGTGTTTTATATGATAGTAACTACTTAGTGGCTTTAAAGAATTATTCAAGCAATATGCTCGTTGAAAAAGAAGACTTCTCACTGCCGTGCCTCTGGGTATTATAACATATAACAGTGTGGTAGATGTATTTTAAACTTTCAAGTGCATATATGTATATGCATCGTATTTTTTAATTTTTTAAAATGGGATTACACGGTGCATATTATTTTATAACTTGCTCTTTTTAGACTTAACAATACAACTTTCATTATATTCAGAATTGCTTTTGTCTTTTCAATGATTGCATAGTACAGCTGTCTCTCAATATCCACAAGGGATTGGTTCCAGGACCCCTCAGGATACCAAAATCCGTGGATGCTCAAATCCCTTATATAAAACGGTGTAGTGTTTACATGTAACTTTTGCGTCTAGATTACTTATACTATCTAATACAATATAAATGCTATGTAAATAGGTGCCAATGTATGGGAAATTCAAGTTTGCTTTTTGGAACTTTCTGGAATTTTTGGTTTTTTTGATCCACACTTGGTTGCGTCTGTGGATGGGAAACCCACGGATGTGAAGGGCTGACTGTATTCCACTGTTAAGTTGTCCCACATCAGCTCTCCCTCTATAGATAGACATTCAGGTTGACACTAATTTTTTGCTATTACAAATAGCCAGGCAAAGAACATCCCTATCTACACATGCTTGGATTCATGAGTATTTCTGAGGGAGACACTTCTAGAATTGGAATTCTCGAGTCGGAAAGTATGTATACAATCAGGATATCCACTGAATTGGGGATGGAGCTGACATTTTATATACACCCAAATCTTAACTTTATTTGGATCATACTTGTGCCTTGTATAACCCCCACTACTTACTTTGTTTTCTTTTCTTTTAAAGATCATCATCAGTATTCTTTTCCCACCCACCATTTTGACATTGGAATTTAAAAGCAAAGCAGAGATGTCACATGTTCCCCAGTCCCAGGACTCCCAGTTTACGTGGTATAATGGTGACCAGAATGCCAGCGCTCCCAAAGAAAGTGCTTGTCTGGTTAGTGCAATATCATAATGAACTAGGTTTTCATAGCATTGACGGCACACGAACATACACGGACACAAAGCTTATTTATTTAACAAATTATTTAACAGTCTTAATCATATTATAGTAAGGTCAGGTATAGCGTGTATGATAGTTCTAATTAACCCCCATATGTTATTAAGCAAAATATCCTATTTCTGCCAAAATCAAAGACTTTATTATGTCTTGAAAGCTGCTTAACTTCTCACTTTCCTTTGTGACTAGTGGAATAAATAGACTTACTGTTTCTCTAAAGCTACAATAAGGGATGCCTCATATCCTTAAAAATCTTTATTTAAAAAGATGCTGGTTTAAAATGTGCATTGATCTTCACTCTTTCACGCCATAGTTTTTTCATTTGTTATATCCAATGAGTTTGAATAGTTTTACTTGAGTTCCCAGATGTATACTCTTTCATGGGCAACTTGAGCTGCTTCTATTGCAGCTTCACTGGAGAGTCTCCAATATGCTGTCTGGGCATATATTTTTTGAATTTTATGATTCAACTTGGATCACTGCTGATACAGTTGTCATTTACTGTGAGGTGTAGTAAACATCTTTTCTGGTACTTAATACTTCAGTGATGCATCTTTAGCTAGCGTCTTGTCTGATGTGCTTTTGTACTTATGAGGTATTTGTCATAATATTAAAAACATATTTGATAAATGTTAAATGAAAAATAATTATAATTAGTTTGTGTGGCTGGCATCTGCTGGGATTGGTTGAGCCTTTATTCTGATTGGTTAATGCCAGAACAGTTAACCGGATCAGTAGTTAAATATTTTTTACTATCATGCCTGTTTGGGTATATATGTGTTCCTCTCCTCTTCCTTCCCTCCCTTCCCTTCCCTTTCCTTCCCTTTCCTTCTTACTTTTCTAAGCCTGATAGTTCCATTTGGGGTTCTCAGAGTCCAAGATGGCAAGTACATTCTAAACTCAATAGAGTGTGTGAGTTCTCCTTTGCAAAGCTGGGTTAGTCAAGGTGTCATAATTGTGATTGTACTGGTTAGATTATGTGGTTACTAAGTTTAGACCATTTCAATTTTTTTTTTTTTAAGGAAAGAAGAAATGTAGTGCTTGCCTAACCCCATTAGAAATAGAAGGCAATCTTTATATGTGAGACATTCACATACATATGTTTGCCTTTATACTACTTCAGTGTTCATATTAAGTTTAATTAGCTTGTTGAAGTAAACAATGAAGGAAACTGTTTATCATCTATCTACAAACAAATATGTAAATATGTTGGCAACTTGGTTGCAAGTAGTGCTTTGGAAGTGGATGTAACTTCACTTTTGGCTCTTAGTGGTTTCATAGAAAGATAAGCTTTCACTGAAACTGAAGGCATTGCAGATAGTTGGAGCATTCCACTAAGCAGTTCTTCTTAAAGTGGAGACTCTTGGGGAAAGAACTCCTTCCTTGAGTGCCAATTAAATGTGCTCTTAACATTCAAAAAAGATAGTAAGCCCTCACAATTCCCTGAAAAATTAAATTTTGTCTGTAATATAGTGGTTCTCTTACAGCAGTTGCTCACCTGGTGGTTTGGACATGGCCACATCAATTAATAATTCAACGAATATCTAATAGCTACCTTCCACAAGCCAGACAAGTTCTGGGGGCATTTCATTAACTAAGGCAGATGCGGCCCCTGCTACTATGGAGCCTATAATCAGACAGACTATCCGTGATACCTCACCATTATTCAATTTAAAGCATTTATTGAAAAAGTGTTTCAAATCTGGTCTGTTACGAATGGATTATAATCATAGTAACAATGTTCTTTTATCTTTGAATTTAACTAAAGCAACAGTTTTGGATTATCTGCTTTGTGTTTAAAATTTTGTTAATCAGAGAATAAGGGGTAGAGGTAGCATTTGGTGGGACATACAAGTTTTCATAATGCTTATTAAGTATAATGTACTTGATTAGTTGAGGAACACAATTGGCATGTATTTTGGGGGAAAGCCAAAGACAGGAGGGACATAGATGCTCTTTTAGAGTGTCTTTGTGCTTTGTCGTCATGGTAATAGTGTGATAATAAATATGATGAAAGCACTGGTAATAGGAGAATGAAAGCCATTATTCTTTCTTAAAAATTATTTTTTATTTATTTAAAATTTTTATTCTATGATTATTTTATGTTCAGAAAGGTGGAATAGCAGAAGAAAAAAATGGAGGACAAAGACTTTGGAGTTTTCTTGTATGTATGCAGAGCTGGTTATAATATGAGTAGGATTTTATTACAGTTTTTCCTGATGAAGGCCTTCAATAAATGCATCAAGTTTTCCTTGAGTTTCTCTAACTTTCTTGAGGTCCTCAGCCATTTGAACTTGTTTAGCAGTAAGCGATTTAACTTTCTTCTCGCTATCTTCAGCAAAATCTTCTAATACCTCTTTGACATTTTTCTCTAATTGCCTGACTTCAGGGTTTCTAAGTTGCTGCACTAAAGTATTTGTGGTGACAGCAAGCATGCATTGTATTTGACAAAATAGGACAACATCGTTGCATTCCTACTCAGAATCTACAAAATGCCATTGTTAGGAATGAAAGCCTCTTCAACAAAGGTTACAGTGATTTAGAGCTGTTTTTAAGAAATGTCTTCTCTAAACGTGGTGCCAAGTATCGTTAATCAAGCTCGGATCTACTTCTGCTCCTTGGGATTCAAGGTTCTTTTGGACTGTAGTTATCTCATCACTTGCAAGATAAGCTGGGTGTTCCTCATTACATTTCAGCGTCTTCTCCAGTTCATGCTTGGTTTCATTGTGAACACACTGTTCTTGGGTCTGATTCTTCCAATGTAACCACCTCTTTTCCCAATCTGGACCTTCCATATTTCAGCTGCATTTTCAGTATCCTTAAGATGAGCCTGAAGAACCTCTTCCATAAAATAAATAGCTGCACCTCACTGCTGTTTATCAGACATGGACTGGTCTTCTAAAGCATTGTGTTGAATAACCCTCAAGCTGTCCTCCACAAAATCATTCCACTTCTGGTGTTTAAATTTCTTCCTTAACAGCCTCTTTAAATTTATCAAATATGTTATCATGCTCTTTTCCTTTTGGTTCTGTCATGAAGTGGGAAAATTCTTCCTGTAGGGTCTCCCAAGCAACCTCGATCGCTTTATTAAGAAGCTGTTTATCAATTCACTGTTTAAGCTTGATATCCACTGTAGTATTAAAAGTCCCTGAATTCATGGTCTGTGTAGCTGGAAGATGGATGTTTTCAATCACATGAGTTGATACTCTTTCCCACAAAGATTGCTGAACAATTTCCTCCCAATGTTTTGGTGTAATGTGGCTCAGACTGATAACTTCATTGAGGATTTCATTTTTAGTTTTTTCAAACAGTTTTTTCCGGTCAAGTTCTCGCAGGCGAGGATAGTTATTCTTCTACTCAGTTTCAAGGTTAAAACGTGTTGCTTTGAAACTATCAGCCTGTTGTTCAATTGACTCCCATACCATTTTCCAAAAGTCCAACACAACAAAGCTTCAATTTCTTGTAGTCATCTGGTGTGCCTTTAGCATGCTTGTCTTTAGGAGTTTTGAATTCCAAAAAAAATTTTTTTTTTTTAAACTTCCTTCCTTCCTTCCTTCCTTCCTTCCTTCCTTCCTTCCGTCCTCGTTGCTGCACGCAGGCTTTCTCTAGTTGCAGTGAGCAAGGGCTACTCTTCGTTGCAGTGTGTGGGCTTCTCATTGCGGTGGCTCCTCTTGTTGTGGAGCACGGGCTCTAGGCGCACAGGCTTCAGAAGTTCGGGCACACCAACTCAGTAGTTGTGGCTCGTGGGCTGCAGAGCGCAGGCTCAGTGGCTGTGCCGCACGGGCTTAGTTTCTCCGCGGCATGTGGAATCTTCCCAGACCAGGGCTGGAACCCGTGTCCCCTGCATTTGCAGGCGGATTCTTAACCACTGTGCCACCAGGGAAGCCCACATTTCCTGTTAAAAGATTAAAACCACATAGAAATCTATGAAGTAGGGTGATATCTCTTTTTCTTCTCTTTCATAATCCCTAAGTTCCCACTTCTCGAAAGCAACCAGGGTGCAAGTGCTTTTTTTTTCTTTCTTTCTTTTCCTTTCTTTTTTCTCTCTTTCTAACAGCTCTTCTATGTAGATACCTCTGTAGTCACATTTATGCAACCACTTCCTTGTCACACAGATACTCATTTCTCACCACCTACAACTGTTAACCCCTTTAGGCTGGCCCATAACTTTTGAGAAACTGATGGAAGATGCTTTCCCTAAAAAAATGCATGCACAACACAAATACTTGCATATAATTGCAGGAGGTTCAAGGAACTCCAGAAGCTCAGAGAGTCCATGAGCTTCAGGTAGAACCTCTGTTATAAATGAGTGGAGAAGCTGTCAAAGACAGAATCCTCAAACTAACACTGTGGCTGACTTCCCTATAATTTGGGAAAGATGTTTCAGCATTATGTGTCCATTTTGTCCTCCTGAATTATGGAAATAATTCTATTCTCTGTTATTGATTTCATAAGGATTTTATTAATATCCTTAGGTTCCAAAATTACTGATAAAGGAGATTAAAAAGAACAGGAAGAGGGACCATTTTTAAATGCTTGGAACTACTCAGTTTGACTAGGTTTTCCTGTGGGAGACTCAGCTTGCTTTTCAGAAGTACGCTGTTCTCCTTACCCTGTCAAAGATTGATACAATACATGTAGTTTTCCTTCCGTTCAAGACTAAGATTGTAATTTGTCAGGTGGGTGCCCAGTTAATTTCTAATATTTTTACTATATTTATGTATTTATGAAATATATAATATTTTAGATACTTGTAAATGTCAGTATTTTAGTTACGCCTCTGACAATAAATGATGGTTTGCTCATTTTACAGAAAGACTATGATTTGGAAAGTGGCCCTGATGAGAAACCAGATGAAAATCAGCACTTTGATTTGAAGAGTGGGCCCCAAAGCCTCCCATGGACCAGGAAAGTCTATGAGTTCTACAGTGCTCCAATTGTCAAGTTTTGGTTTTATACGGTTGGTCTCATTTCAAAAATTACATATAGTATTCAGGATGGTTAATTGCTAATGATAATGTTGATAATGATATTGCCTGATTTACCAACTTGTAATAAAAATGTAAAAAGTACACTTAAAAAAAAAGGGAGGGGGCTTCCCTGGTGGCGCAGTGGTTGAGAGTCCACCTGCTGATGCAGGGGACACGGGTTCGTGCCCCGGTCCGGGAGCATCCCACATGCCGTGGAGCGGCTGGGCCTGTGAGCCATGGCCACTGAGCCTGCGTGTCCGGAGCCTGTGCTCTGCAACGGGAGAGGCCACAACAGTGAGAGGCCCGCGTACCGGGAAAAAAAAAAGGGAGGAATGACAAAGAAGGTAGGGAAGAAGATTGGAGGGAGGTGATAAAAAGTGAGAGCAGATCTCCTACTTTGGGAGTGAAGGCTCAAGCATTCTTCGTTTTCTGAGTGCTTCCAGTTAACACAGCTGGGACTCAGAATCTGAAACTGTGTGGAAAAATAGAATGAGCAATATGGTTGTAGAATTAAGTGATGGGAGTGGATTCTTTTCCCATCTTGGGCAAAAAATCAGCAGTTGAATTGATTTTTTCTTTGTAGGAATAATGTGTAATATAGACCAAAAAATTCAAGTGTTTGTTTTTGTCTTAGTTGCAAATGCTTCTAAATATGTAGAGGACAAGAAAAATTTTAGAAGTTGAATTGTGTAAACAAATACTAAATCTATCATGGATGGGAGAGATACAGAGAAAACAACTGTACACTAAATGTATTGAGTGCTTTTCACATTTATTTAACAGTATTTATTTTTCTAATGCTAACCTATAGTTAGTTAAATTGCTCAAGATTGTATATTTCTAAAACATTTTGAAGTGATTATAAAAGGATATTTGTCTAAATGTGTTATATTTCAAAATATTTACTTGCCCAACCACACACTTATTTCATATACTTATTCAATAAGTACATAGCTCTGAATAAATTTTATCTGTTTTCAAAAATAAAATCTTCATTCAGATGATGAGATTTCACCGTTTTTGTGAATATGGAAATACTGTATTTTCTGTATTTTGTGAATACAGAAAATCCTAGAGACTCTGATAGTAGCTTCGAGAGAGTTTAACCATAGTCACATCATTGGGTAAAAAGTATTCAAATATTTCTTTCCTTAGACATTTCTAGCTTATGAACTCTTAGAGACAGTAGTAAAGCTAAGCAAGTGGAACAACAACAACTACAAAAATAGCTAAGGATGGTGTTAGCAGTGAGCACGGGCATTTTTAGTCATGGCTGTTACATTGCTAGGTTAGGGTACGTGTGCTTTATTGAAGCAGTGTCTTGTTATAAATGCTATGATGAAAAAGAAATGTAAACATTTTTGGATATCTTTTTAAGAATTGGAAGGAAAAAAAAAGAGTCAGAAGCAATACCACCAATATCTACAGTGATTTAGTGCCTGGCCACCATGAAAACAATGTAAAACATGACTGCTTAATCGTATAAATTTATTTAAATTATGTTCCTAAGAGGTCATCAAATATATTAACCCTTGAAACATAGACCTAGAGAAGTATAGAATTAATAGAATTTACTTTAACTTTTTTATATGCTTCTCTACTAAGCTTCTTAACTCATAGGCAATGCTAATACCCATTATGCCTGCCTGAAATATCACCTATTGTATATAATATCAAATGGTATAGTCAGAAGTGATTTCAGCCATTCTCTATGTAGAACTAAGCTTAGAAGAAGACTTATTAAACTTAGGTAGAGCTCAAAAAGATACGAGAAATAGGGATCCAGGTTAAAATGATATGATTCTTGTGAGAAGGAACACACACATAGGCACTTTTCTCTCTGTTGATCTGGGATTTTTTTTTTTTTCTTTTTTTTTTTTTTGCGGTACGTGGGCCTCTCACTGTTGTGGCCTCTCCTGTTGCAGAGCACAGGCTCCAGACGCACAGGTTCAGCAGCCAGGGCTCACAGGCCTAGCTGCTCCGTGGCATGTGGGATCTTCCCAGACAGGGGCACGAACCCGTTTCCTCTGCATCGGCAGGCGGACTCTCAACCACTGCGCCACCAGGGAAGCCCTGATCTGGGATTTTTAATACGTGTTTATTAGCTAGCACTGTGCATTGTCTCTGAAGCTATTGAAAAGACTGCACCGTCTCATGAATTGTTGGTGATTGTGGAAACTGATAAAGCCTTTCTGGCAGGCAACTTAGTAATATGTGTCACAGTTTTAAATGTGTGTGTAGTTAGTCTACTTCTGGGAATTGTAAGAAGATAAGAATGTTAGATAAGATCACAAAGCTATTAATCACTGTGTATTTGTGCGTACGTGTTTACTGTGTCTTAATTCTTTGAATAGACTGGAAATCTAGGTTTAATATACACAGTAATTAAACATACATTTCTTGAATGTCTGTCATGTGTCAGGCGGAGTGCTTAAGTGCTGTAGATAAAAACGTCAACAGTCTTTAACTACAGAGACTCACAATTGGACAATACGTTTCCAATAACCAGAAATTTTTTTTTAGGAAAAAAACAATCAAATTTTATTCTTTTTCTAGCACCCAGAGATAGCAATTCTTTACATCTGCTTTCAACTTTTTTCTATCCAAATATTTTCAGATTTTTTCACAAGTGAGATCATAGTGTACACAGCAGTTTTAAACCATTTTAACTTAACAGTTTATCACAAATGCTTAAAATTCACTAGAAGGATTATGCTTAATGTTTATAAATGCGTTTCTATCTTTTACATATCTGCATCTCATGGATGTGCAGTTTATGTAAAAATTCCCTTTTGTATCTTGTCTTCTTTCTCCTTCTATTATACTAATGTATACTTTTCTGGCTCTTTAACCTCCAGCCTCTAAGCTTATTTTATTTCTGTTCTGCCACTTCCAAATGGAAAACTGTTTCCTCCTTTATCTGCTCATCTGGAAATGGTGTTCATCCTACAAGACTCAACTGATATACCTCTTTCTCCAAGTCTCAAATCCAGCTTCATCCTCTGCATTCCTGTCATGCCTTTAGCAGACTTGCATTATGGAAGTTATCATACTCTGTACGCAGTGGCATCGGCCTGCGTCAGAGATCACACTCCACCAGCCTGGCAAGTGGCATTAGTGAAGCATTTTCCTGCAGGTCTAGGTTGAATACTCTGGGCAGAGCAGCCTCTAGGTGGCATAGACTGTTTTGAGAACTCCTCACTTATGGGAAGCTCAGGACCGTGAAACAGCTGCCTGGCTAAGTTCTGTAATCTGCGTAGGCCCAGTGAGTCATGTGTTAGAAGACGTGAACCCAGACCATAAGTGGCAACCAGAATATTTTAATCAGCATAAAATAAAACTCCCAGCAATAGTAAACATCACAATTTATTATATTTGAAAATAGGCACCTACTAACACTGCTCCTTTGGCATTCTTGGGACACACGTTTTCTTTTTAAATGGAGGGGAAGGTGTGTGATTCTCTCTTGGCTTGCTGTTGGCCTGACTGTGTCCATGCTGGAATGTGCAGGGTTCTGAAAATTGTGGTCAGGAGTCAACAAGATGTGACCATGCCCATTTCCATGCATTTGAGAACAGTGATCTTTCTTCCACAAATTCCTAAAATAGAAAACTGTGGATTCCTATGCCTTCTTTGATAATTATGTCATCAATAATCAGAGGGTGGTCCCAGTTATATTTTCATGCTATCATGGTGAAGTTCATGTGTGTGTTTCTGTTCATTTGGGTCCATGTCTGCTTGGCATCCTCCATTATGACGCTCACTCATGGCCAGGGAATCCATGTCCCCCTCACAGATGGTGTATTTGGCATTCCTCATGCTGTTCACTTACACCGTGTTGGTGGAGATGCAACCCCAGCCCACCGTGCAAGAGTGGCTCGTTATCATTTACATCTTCACCAATGCCATTGAGAAAGTCAGGGAGGTGAGTTATCCCTTTTACCTTTGCCTTCTACATACCTCTGCTAGACGTGTTCTGCGCTTGGGCGATGAAAATGGAGAGGTCAAGCATGAGGGTGAGTCAGGCAATGATCCTGATTTGTATGCTACAGGAAAGGTAATTAGGGGGAAAATTTCTGATCTCAACCTTTTATTGTTGCCAAATACTTTCTGTTGGTTGCTGCTCTTTGAAAGCAGTTATTTTAGGGGACATCTTAGTGCGTTTATCAGTTCTAGAGTGATGGTATCTAGTTGTTTATAGACCCTCCAACTATTTGATTCCCCAAAAGTGTTTTTTTTTATAAAGCTGATGTTTTTTTATAGCCTAACATTACTTGCATATTATTGCGTTCATGTCACAGAGTGGCACATAAATGGCTAAAGTTGTGCAATGTGTAAAGAATTCATTTATAGTTTTTGAAAGTTCTTACTAAACATTTTTGAACATTTAAGATAAAAATCCCTCTGGGGCAAGTAGTCCAAGAAACAAAACAAAGCAAACTTTTCATTTTTAGTTTGCAATGAGTCACTTAAAACAAAAGAAAAGGAATGAATATTCCTATCCAGTTATAACTGCAATCACATACCGTATGACTTAGGCTGTTTTAGATATCATTGTATATGTATCTCTACCTCTGTGCATTTACATACAATGATTTTGTCCTAGAGCTAATATGACCAACCTTGTATATTATGTAGAAAACAATTCAGCAGAAAAACATTATCCGAATTCTACCATTTTTATTATGCTTCAGGGAAAATAGCTTTTTACTGTTTTACATTTAAGTTTGTCTGATATTCTGTTGCAGGGGTAATTTCTTATAATAGTGAATTCTAATATCACGTTCTGAGTAATTTGCTAACGACTCACTAAATTGCAGTAGTGGGGCCAGATTACAGGATTCTTTGGTTTTTTTGCACTAGGCTATACGTCATGAAATGGAATTGCAGCTATATTCCATTGCAATATTGAGTTTTAAATGTCTTGGTGTTTCCCTGTGTTGGTTTGGGATTAATGAAAGCTAGAAAAACTTTTCTTTTTTAAAAAAAATTCTGGTTCGTTTTTAAATAGCTGGCCAGTACTAACAGTGAGATTAAACTACATTTATAGAATTGTTTAAATAATTCATTCCCCAAGGATAACTTACGTCTCCAAAATCCCCTTATGATCTAAGGTTTGGCATGATTGCAAATACTCCTTAAAAGAACAGTTGACGTATTAAAGATCATATTGATCTTGGGTTATAACCCATTCTTTAAGTTTCCCTCTTTCATCTTTTAGGTCTATATTTCAGAACCTGGGAAGTTTACTCAAAAGGTGAAGGTATGGATTAGCGAGTACTGGAATCTGATGGAAACTGTGGCTACTGGCCTGTTTTTGGTGGGTTTTGGCCTTCGGTGGGGTGACCCTCCTTTTTACACGGCGGGAAGACTAATATACTGCATCGACATCATATTCTGGTTCTCACGGCTCCTGGACTTCTTTGCTGTGAATCAACATGCTGGTCCCTATGTGACCATGATTGCAAAAATGGTGAGTCTGCTGTATAATCTGGTGTTCTTTTAATAGTTCTACTTAATTTCATGGTTCACATACATTGGTTTAACTTTTGAAATTATTTAAAGAAGCACACACGTCATCCCCACTTTCCTTATAACCATAAATTCATATTTAACAAATGTCCTTGGATAGCATATTGGGTAATTGATTACAATACTCAGCTTACCCTTTTCGTTAGGGCCAGATGATGGGGGGTTGAATCATATTTGTCTCTGAGCACAGTAATTCCTGAGGGCCAGATTTATGTGAGGCTACCACCAATAATATTTTCTGCTGAAATATTGATTTGTCTTTTTATCTCTCCACCCCCAGCCAACTCTTAAATAGTGATTACTGTGGGCCACAGATTGTTCTAAGTACTTTGTATGTATTAACTCATTTAATCTTCAAAACAACTTTACGACATGGGTACTATTATTATCCACATTTTATGTTCAAGGAAATGGAGTTCAGGTAAATTTCCCAAAGGCCTAAGTCAGGGAGCCAGGATTCAAATCTGGGCCACCTGGCTCTGTCTGCCATCTGAGCTCACTGTGCACTTGTATTAGCCCTGTCCAACTGGCTTTGCACAGGACCTAAGAAAGACAGTACCTCAAGATCATCTTTGCTTTTTCTTCTGGAATACTCACTGGCAGGGAAGGGGCAAGTTCTTGAGAAGGAAAGGTAATGTTGAAACAAAGGAGAAAGACAGAAAAGGGAGAACCTCCAGGATTCCAAAGATAGATTTTTTTTATTTTATACTTTTCTCTTAGACCAGCAATATTTTCTCTGGTCTTGGTGACATTGGTATTAATTCAGTAGGTTATGCTGAGGTAATCACTGTATCTCAGTGACTTAGCACAAGTTTATTTCTCCCTGATACAAAGATTGATGTATGCTCATGGAGGCCGCCCTCTACCCAGTGACTCAGGGATCGCAAATCATTCCATCCTGGGACATAGCTGTGTCAACATGTGGCTTCTGAGGTTTCCTATGACAGGGAATAAGAGGGATGGAGAACATCTAACAGCTTTTAACTGCTCTGGATGGGAAGTGACTCAAATCACTGTTACTCCACAGCCCAGTGGCCAGGAATAGGTCAGGTGGCTCCTGCCTCATGGAAGGGAAGCTCATGGAATATTTATGGAGTATGTCTCTGCCACAGGGAACAAGTGGGTTGAACTGATGTACATTTAGTAATTGAAATGAATTATTTAAAAGAGCCTTTAGAAAATTACAGTACATGTGCTCTATATACATGTGTGTATAGTACATGTGTGTACTGTATGTGCTCCATTGTGCATTATAACAACCAGGCTTACTTTTAATACAAAGACTACGTGTTTGCGAGTTAATGAACCACTGGATTTAACAAACATCATTTTATAGTTGTTTTTGCATCTTTAAAAAAAAAATTCTTCACTTCATTAGGATGTTCAGTACCTTGGAGCAGATTCTTGGTCTGATCAATTTCTCAGACTCTTAACTCCTGAAGATAATCCTGGGAATAAGGAGCCATTTTACTAATTTGAATATCCCTATTTTTTTTTCTTTTTCTAACCTCTGATGAAAAGTTAGGTATTAGTTAATCAAACGCTATTCATATTTCATCACATCTTAAAAAAAGAAGCACAGATCCTCTACAGTTAGCACACTTAAATTACTCCATAGACTACATTGACATGAAACATATACTGTGCAGAGAAACCAAAATGTGTTAGCCAAAGGAAATCCAGCTATTCATGGACTAGGCATTTTGGTCAATGACCAGACAGTCTTATTATTGGCAGGTATAATTATGATGGCTGCAGGTGTTTGATTTGTTTTAAATTTCAAATCTGTGGTAAACTTCTGGCTGTGCTGTGCTTTTTTTGCAGACGGCAAACATGTTCTACATCGTGATCATCATGGCCATCGTCCTGCTGAGCTTTGGAGTGGCGCGCAAGGCCATACTTTCACCAAAGGAGCCTCCATCCTGGAGCCTTGCTCGAGATATCGTGTTTGAGCCATACTGGATGATCTATGGAGAAGTCTATGCTTCAGAGATAGATGGTACGTAGAGGATTCCGCCACCATGCAGCAATTGAACCTTTGTAGATACTCAGAGTAATAAAGAACCCTGGAAAACAACCATCTGAATCTTAAAAATGTCAAGAGTTTGTGGTATTCTGCTAAGTCAATATGCTAAATATTTGTCTAGAGTCATAGGACCGTGATTCACCTTATCTCTCATTCTTTTAAATTCTTTATTTGTAGTTTGTTCAAGCCAGCCGTCCTGCCCTCCTGGTTCTTTTCTTACTCCGTTCCTGCAAGCTGTCTACCTCTTCGTGCAATATATCATCATGGTGAACCTGTTGATTGCTTTCTTCAAGTAGGTTATTTTAATCAAATACAGTTATTTTGTATGAATCAAAAATGGGTGCAGGTATTTTGAAAGATTCACATGTAACCTTTGTTTTTTGTGTGTTTCATGTCTAATTACTGTGGTTTTAAAATATGGGCATGGAACTACTGGCAGGAAGGCAGCAGAATATGAGAAGAGAAAAAACAATAAATAGAGAGTGTAATAACAGCGGACTGAAAGGAGATCATACACTGTAATTAAGCAATAATTTGGAATCGTGGAGAGTAACAATTGATGAGGCTGAAAGTTGGTTAAAGGGTCCTTGATAACTTCCCTTCATTGGCTCTCAGTATATCTCATTCTCTGTTTTCTTCTATATCACTTTTCACTTCTTCTCAGTCTTCATCATATTCTCTTCAACCTTTTAACATTGGAATGTCCCTGGGCCCAGATGTTTGTTTTGTTTACACTTTGGTGATCTTGTTCAGTTTCCTGTATATGTATACTGATGAATCCCAACTGATATCTTCAGCCTAGATCTCTTTCTTGAACTTCAGTCCTGTAGATCCAGCTCTCCTGTTCCATTACCAGTCAGATGTATAATATTGGGTTGGCCAAAAAGTTCGTTCGGGTTTTTCCATAACCTGTTATGGACAAAACCGAATGAACTTTTTGGCCAACCCAATAGATTTCTGAACTTTCAAATGTCCAAATTCTTGATCTCCCCTCTTTCCCAACATACACTTATTCTGCTTGTAGTCTTTCCCAAATCTATAAGGAAGACCACATGTTTCTGTCAAAGCTTCATCTTTCCCATTGTTCGGACCAAAAACCTTGGCATTCTTAATGCGTCCCATATTTCTAGCTCTAGACTGTCAGGAATACCTGTTGACTCCATCTTCAAATAGATCATCAGTCCAACCGCCTCTCACCACCCCACTGCTACTACCACAAAGCCTCCTAGTTTATTTCTCTGCTTCTGTCTTTGGCCCCTATATTCTGTTCTCAACACAGTAGCCCTAATGACACTAAAATTTTTTAAATTACTTAATTAATTAATCACTCTATTCCCTAATGACCTTTAAAACATATGTCAGATGATGTCACTCATCTGCTCCAAACCATTCAAGGTTCCCCATTTCCTTCTGGGTAAAAGTCAAAGTTTCTACAATGACCTAGCTTCTCTGCTACTTCTCCAATCACCCATCACACTACTATTCCCCGAATCCATGCCTCTCCAGCCACACTGGCCCCTCACAGTTTTTCAAACAACACAGGGGTGTTTGCAGTTGCTGTTCCCTCTGCCTGGAATGCTCTTACCCCAGATATCAGTGTGGTCCATTCCCTCACCTCCTTCAAGCCTTTGCTCAAATGTTCCCCTCTTTAATTAGCCATAACCTAAGGATATTATTTAAAAGTGCAGCCCCCTTTCCTTCAAGCATCTCCTTGGCATGCCTGGTCCCCCTTACTCTTCTTTCTTTATACTACTGACTTATATATACAAATATATTTTATAATTTATCTCTATATTGTGTTTTCCCCCCGTTTATCTCTTATACTGGAATATAAGCTCCACAAGAACAAGTTTGTTTTTTTGGTTTTGGGGGGGGTTTTTTGGCCATTTTTTGCCCATGAATTTATCCCAGGCCCTGAAAAGAGTGCCTGGCACATATTTGTTTAATGGATGAAAGAAATCAAGTGAAGTGATGGGAAGAAACTAGTATTTTCTGAATGCCTCTTTTATGCCAGACACTCTACTAGGTATTTTATTCATTAATTATCTCACTGAAGAAAGATAGATAAGAAAAGGGAAATCAATGCATAGAAGTTAAGTAAAGAAAGTAGAGGAGATAAAGGCTGAAGGCAAGCAAAATAAATCAGAACACACACAAAGAGGACTGTTGTTGCGTATATATGGGGAAAACATACTTTTTTGCTTGTTACAAGATTATGTGATAGCTATCATCTCCCTTTAGCCTCACCATTTTATGCACTTGTAACATTTGCTCGTGTTTAATTACTGTAGCTATTTTTTTGACATTTCAAATAAGATTAGGAGTGGGTATGAGATTTTTGTTTCTCAAAAACGGCAGGTGTCAAAAGGGAGGCTGACAAATCCTCCCACAGGCTAGTCTTCTCACTGAGATGAATACACTGAGGACCGTACAAGCTGAGCAACCCCAGATTGGACTACTTGTCCAGAGGCCCCTTTCCAGATTCTGTAATTACAAAGAACCTGAAATACACTGTGAAGATCGCCACCTGCTGGTGGGCAGGCTGTGATCACACTTGCAGTGGGAGTAACATGTAATTTTGGTGGCCCTCAAACTTGATTGTGCAGAATTACCTGGAGGACTCACTGAGACACAGATCGCTAATTGGGTCGTTCTGGATAGGGCCCAAGAATTTGCATTCCTGACCTGTTCTCAGGTGATGCAGTGCTGGTGGCTCAGTGACTGCACTTTGAGAACTACCGTTAAACTCAGTCAGTCGTCAATGTTTCCTTCATCTACTTTATGAACTCTGAAACTTCCCTCCTCCTCTCGTCCTAAGCTGGCTTTCTCCAGGATAGTTCGGGTTCCTTCTCTTTATCATTACTGCAGTTTAGGGTTACCTGCATTTTTATTTGCTAAACGTGGCTGCCCTTCTCAAGTACTTCTCTGCCATCTTTCTCTAAAGAAAATAAATTACATATTAGCCTAAGCAAAATATTAAGATGGATATTCCATTGTGTCCTCCCCACCCATATCATGTTATAGACTTAAAGTTAAATAGTTAAGGGTGAATTTGTTCCACTCACCACAACTTCTATTACAAGTTCTATAATATCAACATATTTACTGCACTATCCGCATATTATAATTGATTAAAGGGAGAAAAATCCCAAGGTGGCCTACCAATAAGGAGTCACTTTTATTGTAAGGTTAATATAAATAATTGATCTAGCTGCTGAATCGAAGCTCTTCTTATTGACTTATTTTAGGATGAATTGATTTTTCTTCCATCTCTTCTTCTTCATTAATATTCTTTCGTTTGAATGTTTTAAGGAGGATTATTCTAGCACTTGTCACATTTGACATTAGGAGAATCTCTTCCTAAGGTTGATGATATAGCGGGACATTAAAGCTATTTACCATGAATGATGAGTTATGGACTGAAAAGACCCTCTTATGTGAGAAGAGATGGTGAATCAAGAATAATGTTACTTCCAGAGGACAGTTCTGTTCATTGAATTTAAACTGTTGGCATTTTCTTCTCTCTGATTGTAATTTCTGCCTTTTGCTTATTCTGATTAGCATATTTTAATGTAGAAGGTGATTAATGTATGTTGTTTGGTGGAAGAAGAATCGTAAATGCAATGGATATTATTTTTATTGGCTAACTACCGTCCATGTCAGGCGAACCAATCATAAAAGTTGGAAAATAAAGCAATAATCTAACTGTTATGTTTCAGGATTCCATATTAAAACACTGTCCTTCTCTTACTACAACTTACAGTAACGTTTACATAGATCTGAAATCCATTTCAAATAACCTGTGGAAATACAATCGCTATCGCTACATCATGACCTACCACGAGAAGCCTTGGCTGCCCCCGCCTTTTATCCTGCTGAGTCACATTGGTCTCCTCCTTCGCCGTCTTTGCCATCACCAAGTTCCAAATGACCAAGAAGAGGGTGATGTTGGATTAAGTAAGTTTTCGTTGGTGGGGCAGGAGGAAGAGAGTGCAAGAGTGGAGATCCAAGGTGAAGACACCTGGAACGTTGTCGATTAAATTCAGGGCACAGGATGGAAGGCTCTGGGAGTTAACTGACCAAAGAGTATCAGCTGAGCACCTGGGTCTAAGTAAATGCACGGATCTCATTACGTGGTTGTACCTTTTGCTAAAAGTAGCTGATACTTTGAAAGAAAGGAATAGGTAGGAACAGAATCTCTGCTTGGATGTGTAAAGGCTTTTTGTCACCTGGAAAACCCCGTGTTTTTACTCTGCTTAGCTGGGAAGATGTCAGAATAACTCCTAGAGAGTAGTCAGAGTGACCCATACTTATTTCCCTGTTGTTGAAGATGGACTCCAAATTGAAAGGATACAGAAGGTCTTGTGGACTAAGGGAAATAGATAAACCAGACTTTGCTTAGTTTATTCACCAGAATCATGGCTCTCTGGTTCTCTACTCTACTGAATATGGAGATGATTCTTTATAGATATTTCATATTTTCAAGAACTTCAACTCAGGATGCAGAAATGTGGATTGTCTTTTTTTTTTTTTGGGCAAAGCTTAACTCGACATATTTTGAGATTTTCCTAGTTCACTTTGCTTATCCATATGTAGCATGATATGACTGTCATACTAATTGTCATAAGAGAACATTCCTTCTTGTGGTTCAGAGGTCTTTCGTAGTTCCTCTAGGCCCGCTGGTACTAGGCCCATTTCTAGATAATTCCTAGATATAGAGGAAATGGATAGCATAAATTCACAATCCTTTATCTCAATCCCTAAATTCGAAATACATTTGAAAATGGAAAGTCTTTTTCTTCGTAAGTTGGAGAAAGACTCATTTGGACAGAAGAGGCTAACGGGACTAATGTAAGCCATTTATCCTCTTTATCCCTTGTAGTATGGATATTCATTGATTTTTGCTGCAGAAATGATGTGTTTGATTTCAGGGTATTGCCCTAGCTACAACTAGGGATTTTACTTCATTTATGGCATATGCACTATATTACCTTTCCAAAACTAGAAAACTTCTGATTTCTGAAATGGACTGGTTCCAGGAGTTTCAGGTAAGGGATTGTGGACTATTTATACATTCCGGTGGGCCCTTAGGAGGACAGATGTTATCACAAGGTTGACAGGGTGACATGCTTTTGCTCCTGTAGTTGAGTAGTTGGCTCCGTGAAGTATTTTCTTCTCTTGAGTCACTTGGTGGTTTATTTTTCTTTTCCATTTCTTTCCCCTAAGCGATTCAGCCTTTATATGGAAGTCAAAGCACAACTGAAGTTAATTTAAAGGCTTATAATAATATTATAATTTCCCGGCTTCTAATGGAGTGCCATCCCAGAACAACTGTAATCTAACAGGAGAGTGTGAACCACTTGAGAGATCCTGGGGTTAGCTAGGATTTGGCCCCGTTTTCTAGTACCATAACAAACAACGCTTTCCTGGGCTTACCTTGATCTGAGCTTATAGGATGATTTTGGTATAAAACTCGAGGAAGTATTCTGATGGACAGAGGTACATTCACCCTGAACTCTGGGAAATTCTTGAATTTTTGTGAGATTGCCTTTGATTCTCTGTATTGAGGATCAAGACGTTTGCACATGGGGAAGGAGTGCCACCTGGTGGACAGTCACAAGAACGTGCCACGTACTGCAAGCTGCACCTGTCAATGGAACTGCTCTGTGGGTTGTTTGCTCTCAGGAACCCACAGAAGGCTCAAATCATACAATTCTAAAGTTCCTTACTTATACAAGATTCTTTAATGCAAACACACATTTAGAGTTGAGTGGGGATGGGGATTTTTTTGGTGTCTGAAAGATGCTTCCAAGCCATAAAAATCAGAAAACATTGTACCTTTGAGTTGTGAACACCTTTTATGGCTGAGTATTTTCTTTTAGTCATCTTTTAGAATGAATATTTTCGTCTCTCATTTTATTGGAAAATTACAGAACATTTGCATTTCTAATAAATTCTGGAGAACTTTAATGGTTCTTTTTTTTTTTTTTCCTAATTTAGGTGAAATGATTGAAGGAAGAGGATATTCCAATTTTACCCTTTTTGCAACAGCATTTTTATATTTAACAAGGATTAGAAACTTGCTCAAAAGATAATGCATTTTTCTGCTAGGTCAGAGTAAGAGTCAAGGTGGTAGACCAAATGTGATTGCTGAAGTTTGATGTAGAATTGCATTAGTTTCATAACATCATGAAATGACTTGTCTTTTAATGAATTAATTGTAATTGTCAAGGAAGAAGTATAGCCTTGATTGGCCATTGACTCGTCATAATGTCTCTTTCTTCAGTAGAAGAACTTAGTATATACAAACTCGGTGTATATATAAACTCAGTGCAACGAGGTAACACTTTCTTATACTTACTGGATTAATTTCAACAGACTTTGACTTCTTCTAACCTTGATTTTAACCTGTAGGTTACTTATTGTCATTTTGACTGATAAACCAGTTGGTGGGGGAACTTCCATATGCATATAAATGTGGTGAATTTTTATGTGTAAAAGTATTCTAATTTAAGAAAATATTGAAGATAAAGTATCTGTTCCACGAGTCACCTTCAAATTCCCACATCTGTTTATAGGACAAAAAGGAAAGACCCAGCCTGGTGTTTCCAGTTATTTCTACATAGTGCTTCCCAATTAATATTAGGAATACAGTGTGACAAGGCAGCAAACTATTATCATGCAAGCTATGGTTTTATCCATTTTTAATACCAATGGAAGGAAAGTCAGACACTGTATCAGCTTCCTATGGAGGATGAATAATGACTCTTTTTATGCACTATACTTATTTCCATAGAGCTCTACCTGAGTAAGGAGGATCTGAAAAAACTTCACAGTTTTGAAGAACAGTGTGTGGAAAAATACTTCCATGAGAAGATGGAAGGTCTGAATTGTAGTTGTGAGGAACGAATCCGAGTGACGTCAGAAAGGTAAAAGTTATATATGTATTTTCACCCTCTAAACTGCTACCTAAACCTGATTCTACTAGAATGTCTGAAAAAAGTAGAAAGGTCTACTTTTAAAACCCAGAGGTTTCGATTTTCTAAAATTTCCTCTAGTATCGTATAATATTCATGCAATCAGTGCACATCTATTGAGCAACTACTATGTTCCAGGCAGTCTTCTAAGTTAGTAAAGATAAATGGTGAATAAGAGAGCAAGGGCCCTTCCTTCATAGCATTCACATTCTAGTGCGTGCATGTGGAGGGTTGGGGAAGGACAAAAAAGATATATGTAATTTAATGTCAGACAGTAAAAGAACAATGAAGGGGGAAAAAAGTAGTATAAGGGAATAGAGATGGATCGTGGTGAAGGGTCTGCTGGAGTTGGGGGTTGGGTCGGACCGCTTTGGGAGCCTGGTGCAGGAAGGTCGCTCTGAGGCAGCTGAGGAGGAGAGACTTGAGGGAGGTGGAATGGAGCAGCAAACGTGGATGCAGGTGAGTCCAGGAGCAGCAGGGTGCTGGTTGCACTGGGAATCATGGAGTCATAGTCTCGGGGTGCCTGACTAGCACTTGTGCAGTGGAGTTGAGGGCAGATTCACTGAAGCGTGTGGAGGGTGAATAGAAGTAGAGACAGTGATTAGAGGCAGATTTTCTAAGAAGTGTTTCTCTGAAGGGAGGTAAAGAGGGGCATGGGGACATGGTGCGGTTCTTTTGTTTCATGTGGAGATAATAAAAGTAATATATTTATTACTGGAAAAGATCTATCAGCAGGAGCCGGAGGGAGGAGGTGATTTGCTGAGTGAAGTCCTCAGGAAGGGCAGTTAACGGTGGGGGCCAGGAGAGAATATGGAGAGTGCTCCAGAGATGCAGCCAGGCTGCGGGAACGCAGTTCTCACGGCAGTCATCAGCTGAGGGTGTCTGTGGGTGTGTGTGATTTGGGGGGGCCGTTCAGAGGCTTGAAGAAAGAGGAGGCGTGTTGGAGAAAGTGGACAGATGTAGAAGCTCGTAGGTCAAAGCTGCTGTTCATGTGCCACTAATCGCAGCTACACAGCACTGGATCAAAATATGGACTGCATGTGATTGTATGCATTTAAAAAATTTAGAAATAATTGACATATTATGTTAGTTTCAAGTATACAACATAATGATTCGATATTTATATATTGTGAAATGATCACCACAGTGAGTCTCGTTAACGACTATCACCATACAGTTTTTTTTCTTGTGATGAAGTGTTCAAGGTCTACTCTCTTAGCAACGTTCAAATGTACAATACAGTATTATTAACTAAGTCCCCGTGATTATATGCATTTTTTAAAACGCAGCATTGCTTTCTTAATTGGAAGCAAATTGGCAGAAGTTAAATGTGTTCTCTTACTTTTGAATACACACGGACCTGACTATAAAATGTTATACCTAATTATGCATATATATTTTCTGATGTCCAAATAGATGGATAGTGAATCCTTAAATATGGCTTTATTTGAAATTGAATCACCTTAAGAACTTTCTAAATGGTCACCTTGGGCGTATGACTTATTTCTGAACTTTTAAAATTAATACCATATTTATGTAAATATATTTTAGGTAGCTGATTGAATTTCAGATCAAATTTTAATAGTGAGGAAAAAAATCGAGTATCAAATAACAATTTGTGAACCCACAACATTCTATTTTACTTAAATAATATCTTTAGGCCAAAACTCTATGAGCTTCCTTCTTTCCCTTTCACCTCTCCACACGTTCTGCCTCCTTTGTAGCTATGCTCATTGAGGCCTGCGGGCCAGCTTGGTTCTGCTTTGTATATGTACCCAGATAGGAGTTTACAGAGCCGGCATGAAGTCCTGCTTCTAGCTATGTGTACTTGGGCAAGTTTACTCTGGGCCTTGTTTTCTTCTCTGTAAAATGGACACAAAAATAGACCTACCTTTTAGGGTCGTTGTGAGGATTCCATGGGATAATATAGATGAACCGTGTGGCAGTGTGCTAATGGATAGTAAGGGAGTAGTGAAAGTTATCTATTATTATGTAAAATTAGGCTCCAATTTTGTGAGTATAATTTCTTCTAAAATACATATTCCCTTCCAAACCTTAAGAAAAGGGATGTAAATAGATAAGATGGGTCAAGATAGGCACCTCCGCCCCCCAGTATTATGCACTGGAACAAGGTCATGGAGAGCCCTTCACTTTACACTATAAACTAAGGAAAAATTTTAGGTGGTCAAACAGATTTACCTTCTAGGTTGTTAGCATATGGATTTGAGGAGTCAGAATTGGAACTTGGGAGACCGCTCGAGAGATTGATACAACAGACAGATGACGCCCAAGGACTAGCCAAATTGGTGGTGGCATTGAAAGAAGTCCATTTGGTCTGCTGTAACAAAATACCGTAGACTGAGTGCCTCATAAGCAGCAGAAAGTTACTGCTTACAGTTCTGGAGGCTGGAAGACTGAGATTAGGGTGCAAGGATGGTCAGGTGAAGGCCCTCTTCGGGATACAAACTTCTCATTGTGTCCTTACATGGTGGAAGGGGCTAAGGAGCTCTACTGGGGTCTCTTTTATGAAAAGTAGAGCACTGATCCCATTCGTGAGGGCTCCACTGTTTTGACCTAATCACCTCCCAAAGGCCCCACCTACTAATACCATCACTGTTGAGGGTTAGGATTTCAACGTGAATTTTAGGTGGGGACACAAACATTTAGGCCATAGCAAAGAGGATAAAGGCATATTTAGAGAGGACAATTCAAGAGGTGAGTTAAGGATTGGCTGTGGCAGTAAGGGAGAGGATGAAGTCCAGGATGACTCATATCTGTAGCAGGGTAATTAGGTGAAAGGTGGCACTAAAAGATAAAGAGTACAAAATGCATGGCAGGGAGGGTGGGGGAAAGCAATGAGGTTTAGATTTTGTTGAGCCTGAGATTCTGGTGGTGCGTTTATCCAGAGATGTCTGCAAGGCTTTACATACGTGAATCTGAAGCCCTAGGGCAAAATTTGAACTGGACAAGGAAATTTGGGAGTCATCTGCCTATTTTAGGAAAATAAAATTATGACAGAGGAAGCGCTCATGCTCAGGAAGCAAGTGGAGTGAGGAGACTCAGTGGGTTGAGGGTCTCACCCTGAGAGGTGTCAACACCTGTATAATGGACCGAGGAAGAGGAACTAATGGAGAAGACTAAAAAGAATTGATCAGAAGAGTATAACGAAAACCAGGAGAAGGTAGTATCACGAGTCAAGTGAATACAGAATGAAAACTGGAGAACCAGACATTAAAAAAAGTAATTTAATAATAATAATTAGTAATAATAATACTAATAGTAAACTGAACACCAGTAATCATCATATGCTATCACATTTATCTTGAATTTTTTTCTTGGGATTTGAGTAGAGAAGGATTAGATGGTAGATGGTTATGTAGCTTCTGAAAAATATTCTAGATGCTTTCAAGGGCTCTAGTATTTGATTAATGAAGCCCTAATTTAACTTCAAAACACAGTCGATCAATTTTCCTTCTTGATAGAGCTATCTCACCAGCCCTCTTTTTACATGGTTGTCCTTGTTGAGGTCATTCTGGGGAGCTTGTAAATGAAGTATGGGAGAGAGGGAAGAATATTTTCCAGTGGTAACTCAGCAGTAGTTTGAAGAGGGAGCGAAAGGAAGTTAGGAAGATATTTGCATGTTTGCCTAACTCTGAAGAAGAGATTACCTATATCTTTACAGAGTTAAGTGAATTGTAAAAAAGGAAGGAGAACATATTAAGGCTGTTTCATATCTTACTTTCTCTATTTGGAACGCCAGCTACTTTTTGTCCCTAGTAACGTAAGCCAGTGTTTTTCCTCTCTATGTTCTATGGAGTAAGATGTTAACTAGGTATTTTTCCATATTAAGCATGTTTGGGTATGTCATATTTGGGAAATACTACATTTAAAAAAAGTTTAAACACTTTATCATAATGGGCATTGTGACTCAGTAGAGTTATAGTTTGAGCTCTTCCTATAATCATTTCGCCATGAAACCTTACTGAGAAACCTTTGTGAACAACTCCCAGCATGGAAAATGTGGGTGCAATTCATTTACCCCTTCACGGGACTCTAGGACCCCAGTAGAACTTTGCCTGGATCCCTGCTGAGTTGCTGAGAGGTGCTGGAGTGCAGTGGTTAATGCCATCGAATATGGAGTCACACCCTCTGGCTTTGAAGCCTCACTCTGTCATTGACCATGTGACTGGCCATGTGACCTCTTTTCATGAAGGGATAGTAGGGTGGTCATGTGGATTAAATAAAATAATGTAAAATGCCTGGCACATAATGAGTGCTCAGTGAATATTATGATTATCATGATGATTATACTTGTTATAATTTCATTTTACAATATCTGGTCCAGAGACCCACAATGAAATAATAACCGTACTGGTTTTCCCACCACCCTCAAACCTTGCACAAAGGAAACTAAAATTACGAGAATTTCTTTTACATGTCAGAATGACTAAAAGACTAGATTAAATTAATGTAGATGGTAGCTGAGGGATATAATTAAAATATATTTTATAGGACATTGAGCTTTAGAAAAGAAGTGCCTTTGAAAGCAAGAGGACCTGATTTGAGAGTGACCCGGTTATTTGCCTAAGTCTCTATTGTAGCAATGTTACCTGTGCTGTGAATAGTTGCTGGTGTCTGTTGTATCCCTTCCATGTGACTGCTGCTAATGGAACTTAATGAGTTTCCATTACTGCTGTTTGGACTGTACAGTTTTTGAATTAGTTGAAACAGTGCACTAGATGGAGAGGCTCTAATTAAGCATATTTGGAAGGGAATATGCATATATTTTGTTCTCTTTTCTTCATCATCCTTGCCAATTCTAGTTTTATAGGTTCTAGAAGGTCAAGAAGCCTTTACTAAGGCACTACTGAGTTATAGAAGTTGAAGCAAGAAAGAGAGGGTTCCACCCACATAGGTGATAATCAAAATTATACCATCCTCTTTATTCTTTAACTCCTATCTACAAAGCTTCCAGGAAGAAGTGGAAGATTTCTCAATCCATGTGACTTGAGATATATTCTAGAGAGGGGATGTCTAACACTATTTTGGGAAGTGCTTGCTACAGCTGAGTGCTAAGCTCTTCATGGTACAATTACTGCTTTTCCCAGCCCTCAAATAAGACTGGGGGCAATTTGTTATTTCTGCATACGGTCATGTCAGCCATGAAACTGTTGGTTTCCTCCCTTGCAATTTTTCACTTTATTCCTGTTTATCAAAGATTTTCATTATGGGGAAATTGGAAAGTATACTCCTTCCTCCAAATAAAAGAATGAAACAGGGAGAAAAGAAAGAAAAAAATGTCACAAGCTAGAGTCCACTGTGAAAAATTTGGTCTTTTTCCATTTAGTCTTCCAGATATTTTTAGTTAAAATTATACAGGTTTGCATTTTGTCCCCCTACCCACCTTACACATCAAAAACATTTCTCCAAGTAATTAAATATTCCTTGTAAACATATTTTAATTTTTACTGTTTCTTGACTTACAAAGTTTTTATCACAAATTTAAAAGTATATAATGCAGACCACCACAGACATCCACATCCCCACCCCTGCTGTCAGAAATAGACAAAGAAAATGACTACTAACAATGTAAGTATGATTTTTAATGGCTGCATAATATTCTATCTCATCTGTCTGCCTTAGCATAGTAAAATTCCTGCCTCTTTATTTGTCTTGGCTATTTGAACGTTCCAATGTTGCATCCCTGCCAACCTTGAGTCACTAAATCTCTTTTTAAAAATTTGCTAGATTAAAAAAATGTCACAGTGTAGACGAACTCATTGTTGTCTTATTTTTATTGATAATTTCTCTGCTTACCTAATGAGATTGGATATTTTACCACGTTTCATTCTCTTTTGTGAATTATCTATTCATGTCCTTTGGGGGTCTTTATATTTTTTTTCCTCAACAATTTGTAAAAACTTTTGACTACTTAGGGGATACAAACAGCTCACTGTATTTGTTAGAATCATTTCCTGTTTATTTTTTGTTTTCAAATTTTGTGTTTTATTTTCATGTGTATGAGTTTCATTTTATGTAACCACAAAATATGTATTTTGTAATTTATTTTGATTGTTAAGCTTAGATAACTGTATTAATTTCCTAGGGCTGCCATAATAAAGTAAATTGGGTGTTTACTGGGTGTCTTACAACAACAGAAAACTGGGTGTCTTACAACAACAGAAATTTGTTATCTCACAGTTCTGGAGGCTAGAAGTCCGAAATTACGATGTTGGCAGGTCCATGTTTTCTCTGGTGGCTCTAGGGAAGAAATCTTTCCTCGCCTCTTCTAGCTTCTGGTGTTTGCTGACACTCCTTGGTGTTCCTTGGCTTGTAGACGCATCACTCCAGTCACAAGGTGGTCTTCTCCCTGTGTATCGTCACACTGTCTTCCCTCTATGTCCAAATTTCCCTTTTTTATAAGGATATGAGTTGTATAGGCTTATGGCACACCTTAATGATCTTATTTTAACTTGATTACCTCTGTAAAGACCCTACTTTCAAATAAAGTCACATTCTAGGAGTACACATTCTAGGGGTTAGGATTTCAACATACCTTTTGGGGCGGTGGGGAGGACACAAAACAAAACCTATCCCCATACAGGGGTATTTACAGAGATATATACAGATATATTTTCTTTGTTCTTTCTAATTCTCTAAATGAAATCAATTGTTACATTTAATTTGACTCTACTTGCAATTTGCTTTTGTACTTGCATAGCTGAAGGTGCCTTGTGTTGCTTTTACATGAATCCATGGGTAGACATCATAATTTTGGGTTAAAGTATCCAAAGTCATTTAAAAATTTGCCTCGGGCTTTCTCTGAATGTAGGTCTCTTAAAATGGGTTTTGTTTGAAAGTTGGGATGCCTGGTTGTACTGTAGACTTGGAATATTATTCTAAAAGATCTGTAATTTTTTTTTTCTAATTATGTATTTGCTTATTGATTCTGTTCCTATCATTCTAGTTTCTTCCTCAGGATTTCCTTTCTCTACCAAAATAGCACAGTGCTGGACAATAAGAGATATTAAAATATTTGCCTTGTAAATTAATGAATATCTTAATGAATACAAATGGGCTGATTGATGAGATGATTGAAGGGATAACTAGCAGGAAGCTGGAAATGTGACTCTGAAATATTGGAGAGAAATAAGGGGTAGAAATACAATTTGTAATTTTCCTTATTAAGGTGATAGTGGGAATTACAGGAGTGGGTGAGATCACCTGGGATGAGAGTATGTGTTGGATAGAGAAGAAGGCAGGAGACAGACCTAACTTTGGGAAGCGGCTTGGGCTGAGGAGCCACCTAAGGATGGAAGCAGGACAGGAAGAGAGTAAGGCAAGTTCCCACTTACTGTGTTTATTGGCTTACTGTGCTTATTGGTTTTCTCCCTCCCTTTTTCCCTTAGGGTTACAGAAATGTGCTTCCAACTGAAAGAAATGAATGAAAAGGTGTCTTTCATAAGGGACTCCTTATTGTCTTTGGACAGCCAGGTGGGACACCTGCAGGACCTCTCTGCCCTTACAGTGGATACCTTAAAAGTCCTTTCTGCTGTTGACACCTTACAAGAGGATGAGGCCCTCCTGGCCAACAGAAAGCATTCTACTTGCAGAAAACTTCCCCACAGCTGGAGCAATGTCATCTGTGCAGAGGTTCTAGGCAGCCTGGAGATCTCTGGAAAGAAGAAATACCAGTGTTATAGCATGCCCCCTTCTTTGCTGCGGAGCCTGGCCAGAGGCTGGCATCCCCCACGAGTGCAGACAGGGCCCTTTCTTGAGATTACAGACAGAAAGTTTTCAAATGTAAGAGATGACCAGGAAGAGCAAGAAACAGAAAATAGTATAGTTGCTTCTGGGGTGTCCCTGAACAGGCAAGCACACCCAAAGTATGGCCAATTTCTCCTGGTCCCTTCTCATCTAGAGCAAGTTCCTTATTCTGCAGAAACCAACTTGCCTCTGTCCAGACCATCTTTGGAAGCAGGTACAGATGTGCTGGCAACTGAACATGTCACCCAGAGTGCGGTCCCTGTTCATCTGATGTGGCAGACCCCGGTTGTCTCAGCCCAGGGCTCAGTGGTGGAAACCAAGGAGCAGTGTGAGTCACTTGCTCAGTTACCAGCCAGACAAGACAAGGAGGAGCAAGTGCTACCCACATTGATTTGCACACCTGCACCCGTTAAAGTGACCTCCCTCCCTTCCCAAGTCAAGAGCATGCAAACTGGAGGTGGATATGTGAACTGGGCATTTTCAGAAGGCGATGAAACTGGTGTGTTTAGCACCGAGAAACAATGGCAAACCTGCTTGGCCTCCACTTGTAACTGTGACTCCAAACAGAGTGAACAATGTCAGAGGCAGATCCAGGACAGATCCCTATCTGATAAGTCAACAAGATTGGCCCAGAGGGATTGCCCAGAGGTGGGACCATGGCTTCAGCAAAACACATCCCTTCGGATCAGTCCCCTTCGTAGAGACAGGCCCTTCATTAGGAGTCAGAGTTTAAGAATACACAAAGAGGAGAAATTGAAGATCTGTAAGATTAAAAGTAAGAAGTAAACATATTTACAACCAGTATTAAATTCTTGCATTGCTACCATTCTCATTCTCCCCATTCTGTCAGTCCTTTCTGTGAAACAAAATGGTTCCACCTACCATCTTACACTTTCTCATGTAAATCATTTCCCTTACAGATCTTTCAAAATCCTCAGAGATAGGACAGTCAAAATGGATCAAAGCAAAAATGCTAACCAAGGATAGGAAATTGTCAAAGAAAAAGAAGAAAACACAAGGACTACAGGTGCCAGTAAGTGTCTTTTGTGTTTTTGGCAATTGAGGTAGTATCCTAACTTAGCTTGGTTTTTCTCTATTCTAAAGTGCCACGTACACAAAATAGCATTGTCCTGGAAGGAACGAAGATGCAAATTTAAGAGTCAGCAAAGTGGATTTGCCACAATTCATTTGTCAACTCATATGTTGAAAGACATTTGTGTTATTTTCAGTTTTTGGCTATTCCAAACAAAGCTGTTATGAACATTTGTGTACAAGTCTTTGTGTGGACATATGTTTTAATTTCTCTTTGGTAAATATTTAGGAGTGGAATGCTAGAGTCTTATAGTAAGTATCTGTTTAATTTTAGAAGAAACATACATCCCCACCAGCTTATGAGTAGTAGGTTGAGAGTTCCAGTGGTCCACATCCTCACCAATCCTTAGTATGCTCAGTCTTTTTAATTTTAGCATATTAGTGGGTGTGTAGTGGTATCTCACAGTTGTTTCGTTTGCATTTCCGTAGTGACTAGTGCTGCTAGGTATCTTTTCGTGTACTTATGTTCCATCTGTATATCTTTTTTTGTGACATATCCATTCAAATCTTTTGTTCATTTAAAAAATTGGGTTGTGGGACTTCCCTGGTGGTGCAGTGGTTAAGAATCCTCCTGGCAGTGCAAGGGGACACGGGTGCGGTCCCTGGTCCGGGAAGATCCTGCACGCTGTGGAGCAGCTAAGCCCGTTCATTACAACTACTGAGCTTGTGCTCTAGAGCCCACGAGCCACAACTACTGAGCCTGCGCACCACAACTACTGAAGGCTGCGAGCCCTAGAACCCATGCGCTGCAACTACTGAAGGCCATGTGCTCTAGGGCCCACGTGCTGCAACTACTAAGTCCATGTGCTGCAACTACTGAAGCCCACGTGCCTAGAGCCTGTGCTCTGCAACAAGAAACCACCACAGTGAGAAGCCTGTGCACTGCAACGAAGAGTAGCCCCCGCTTGCAACAGAGAAAGCCCGCGCACAGCAACAAAGACCCAACACAGGCAAAAATAAATAAATAAATAAATAAAATTGGGTTGTTTGTCTTGTTAGGTTGCAAGAGTTTTTTTTTTTTTAATTTTTATTTCTTATTCTAGATATAAGCCGGTTTTTGGATATATGTTTTGCAAATATTTCCTCTCAGTTGGTGGCTTGCCTTTTATTTTTCATAAATGTCCTTGAAAACATAGGACACTTTTATTTTGATGAAGTCCAATATTTGATTTTTTTCTTTCATGTCTATGCTTTTCATACCATATTTAAGAAATTTTGCCAAACCCAGGATCACTAAGAGTTTCTCTTACATTTTCTCCTAGGAATTTTATATTTAGGTCTATATTTAGGTTAAGTTCTGATTATTTGTTGGTGGTATATAGAAATATAATTTTTAAAATATTGATTTTGGGGCTTCCCTGGTGGCGCAGTGGTTGAGAGTCTGCCTGCCGAAGCAGGGTACACGGATTCATGCCCCAGTCCGGGAAGATCCCACATGCCACGGAGCGGCTGGGCCTGTGAGCCATGGACGTTGAGCCTGTGTGTCCAGAGCCTGTGCTCCGCAATGCGAGAGGCCACAACAGTGAGAGGCCCACATACCGAGGAAAAAAAAAAATTGATTTTGTATCCTACAACCTTGCTAAACTTACTTATTTGTTTGAGTAGGGGTTTTTTTTGTTACTTCTTTAGAATGTTCTATGTAAATGATCATGTTGTCTACAAATGAAAATACTATTACTTATTCCTTTCAAATCAGGATGTATTTTATTCCTTTTTCTTGCCCAGTTACATTGGCTAGTACCTCTAGTACAATACCGAATAGAAGTGGTGAAAGCAGGTAGCCTTTCCTTGTTTCTTCTCTTTAGGCGGAAAGTATTTAGTCTTTTAGCAGTAAGTATGATGTTAGCTATAGGGTTTTTATTTGGATGTCCTTTATCAGGTTGAAGAATTTGCCTTCTATTCTTACTTTTCTGAGAATTTTTATTATTAATAGATATGACATTTGTCAAATGCTTTTTCTGTGTCAACCTATATGGTCAGATGGTTTTTCATTTTTATTATGTTAATATGATGAATTATATTAATTAATTTTATAATGTTAGAAGTAATGTTTAGAATATTAAATCAGCCTTGCTGGGATGAACCACAACTGGGCATGATGTATTATGTTTTTTAGATGCTGTATTCATTTTGCTAACATCTTGATACAATTTTATTGCATCTTTTTTCTTGAGAAATATTTATCTTTAGACCTCTCTTCTTGTAATACCTTTGTCTGGTTTTGGTATCAGGGTGATGCTGGGCTTATTGACTGAGTTGGGAAGTGTTTCTTCTTCTTCATTTTTCTGGGTGAGTTTGTATAGATATTATTTACATCTTACTTATTTGGTAGAATCAACAGTGAAACCTTCTTGGTGGGAAAGTTTTAACTACAGATTCAGTTTCTGTAATAGATATAGGGCTATTCAGGTTATGTGATTCTTCTTGAGTGTGCTTTGTGTCTTTTGAGGAACCTGTCCATTTAAGGTTTTAAATTTATTGGCATAAAGTTTTTTATAATATTATCTTATTATCCTTTTATTGTCTGAGAGATCTGTAGTGACCTCCCTTCTCTCTTTTCTAATATTTTATATTTGTGTTTTCTCTTTTTGTTTTATGATTAGTCTGGCTACAGGTTTATCTGCCTTATTGATCTTTTCACAGAACCAGCTCTTGGTTCATTGATTTTTCTTTGAATTCTATTTCATTGATTTCTGCTCCTTATTATTTCCTTTGTTCTGTTTACTTTGGGTTTAATTAACTCCTTTTTTGTTTTTGTTTTCTTTGCTAGTTTGTTAAGGTAGAAGCCTTGGTCGTTGATTTGAGACTTTCTTCTTTTCTAGTATAGGCATTTAGTGCTATAAAATTCCTTCTAATCATTGTTCTAGCTATATCCTACAGATTCTGATATGTTGTTTTCATTTGCATTCAGTAAATCTTTTTGTTTATTGTTAGGAAGCCTTAGATCTGAGTTGACAATTCTGCAGGACTTCACTTTTCATGATCTTAATGCCCTGCTTCATTTTTCTGTTCTACATGTATTTTTCCGTATAATAACATGTGTGCATTTTTCAAAGCACCTCAACTCTTTTTAGAATGAGAAGCAGAAGCAAAAAGATAAATATTGAATCAATTATGTAACATCACCTTTTAGAGGAGAGACTTAGCTTTGATAAAGACTCTTCTTTCAGGGAAAATGCCACGAATTGCTGGGACCCCATAAAATATGAATTTAAATAGAATTATTTGGGAAATAGTTAAAATGGCCAGAGTTAAACTAGAAATTATAACTGAGCTCAAGTACTATAACTTGCATTTGTTTGTTGTCCTGTAGTTTGTCAATTTATCTCATTTCTTATCTGCCCCTGGGAAGAACATAAGGCAGCCATTATTATTGGCTATCTATTATTTTAAGGATGAAGGGAATGGAGCTCATAGACATTACAGATTTTCCCAGTTCATATAGCTTCTAAGTGACAGAGCTAGAATTCTAACAAGTTCTTTTGGATCCAACCCTTACATTTTTGTTGTTTTGCTCTCTACCAGTAGTTCTCAAACTGTGGTCTCCCATCAGCTTTAGCACCACCTGGAAACATACTAGACGTACAAATTCTCCCTCCCCCCGAAGACCTACTGAATCACAGATCCTGAGGGTGGGACCCAGTGATCTGTGGTTTAACACAGTCCTGGGTGATTCTGATGCACACTCAAGCTTAAGAACTGCTCCCCACCCTGGTTCTCAATCATGACTGCAGATAGAAAAGTCACATGGATGCTTGGGTCCTGCCAGCATGAGTGATGGAAGTTCAAAGCTTCAGGGTGATTTTAATGTGTAGCCAATGTTAACAACCACTCCTCTTCAACGTAATACCTCTATTAATGTGATACAAAACGTATTCAGATTAATGTCACTGTGTTCCAACGAGTGTTTTTCTCTCCAGGTCATAACAGTCAACACCTGCTCTCAAAGTGACCAACTGAACCCAGAGCCAGGAGAAAATAAGATCTCAGAAGAACAGAATTGCAGCAAGAACTGGATTCCGGTGTCCAAATTTAGTCAGATAAGTATGTAACAGTCTACACTCTTGAATCCCAAAAATTCTGGTAGTGTTTTCTCAGGGTATGATCTTTAGACCAGTGGCAGTCCCTGCTGTTCTTTCAAGTGGGAGATGAGAGAATGACCACACTCTCTTAGGAAAATAGCTCTTTTCTGCTTTTAGTTTTTATGAAGGGGATGCAATTTCCATTTGTTTAATGGAATAGTTTTCAGAATTTAGAAAAGAAAAATTAAAATTTAGATAGTCTCATATTCAGAGCTGTTGAATCTGGATCAGAGAGTATTCATTTAGTCTGATTTATGGGTGGGGTTGTCTAATTTTACAAATTCTTTAAAGTTCAAGTGACATTGATATGAGCCTTTACACAGAATTCAGTGGATTGAGTTGTAGTTGGTTATTTACTACTGCTTACATATAGTGTTTGTTCCATTGGCAAATATCCCTTAAGCTTAATCATAATGATGTTTGTAGAGGATAGAAGACAGATCAATGAGCTAGGAACGAAGACTGTGAGCTAGGCATAGAATGCGAAATAAGCCTGGATATATGAGGGCAGATTATGAATTGAGAGCAATGAACTGAACATTGAACTTCTTGCATTTGATAATAAGAGAACTTTACTCATTTTTAAACAGAGGGGACTATGTGATTAAGGAGTCATAAATATTTTAAATTATTTGAAATACTAAACTTAAGGTACAAATAGATATTATATTGAAATCTATGTTACTATGCTTCTTTAAAACTTTGTTTGCTCTATGGTCACTGGTTTTCAACCAAGGGGTGATTCCGCCTCCACAGCCAACAATGCCTGAAGACGTTGTAGGACATTTTTGGTTGTCACAACTGAAGGAGGGGCAGTTGCTCTTGGCATCATTTTTACATAAATTATTTATGTTTTTTAAAAATATATAAAAGATATGGTTGATATAATATTGTATTATTTTTAGGTGTACAGTGTAATGGTTTGATACATGTATGTGTTGAAAATGATTACCACAATAAGTTAACATCCATCACATAGTTACAATTATTTTTTCTTGTGATGAGAACTTTTAAGATCTATTGTCTCAGCAACTTTCAAATATACAATACAGTGTTGTTAACTACAGTCACCATGCTGTACATTACCTCCCAGGTATTATTTATTTTATAGCTGGAGTTTGTACCTTTTGACCATCTTCACTCATCTCTCTCATCCTCCCATCCCCCAAATTATTTAAGTTCTTTCCAAAAAATTTCAAACTGAGAAAGATGGGTGTGGCAGGAGGGTTCTGGCAAAGAATCTCATTTAAATCTGATGATCAGAAAGGAAGAGAAGGTTTAGGGAGTTAGGCTGACTCCAGGTGCCTGGCTTGAACCACATTCTGGGTTGAGAATTTTAGTTTTTAAAAACTTGTCTGAGTTAAGAATTAATTAAAAAAGAATTAAAAAAAATAAAATTTTGAGGGTGGGGAGGTGCCCTGTCAGGTAGATCTTTCTAAAGACAAAAAGTAAAGTTCTGAGGAAATCAACTATGAAAAGGAAAGAATTTTTTAAAAAAAGGAAAGCATAGTTTGTTTAATTTTAATACTGTGCTATCATTGAAATCATATTTATCATAATTTTATGATGTTACGAAAAATGTACATAAATTTTTTGATTTTTCTTTTCCAGTAGCTTTTTTGCATTTCCTGTATACTTTTTTTTTCAGCATAAAACAGTAGGAAAAAAAAATAAATGGTTATTTCCTACATTTAGACAGGAACTCTTTTTTTTTTCCACATTTTTATTGGAGTATAATTGCTTTACAATGTTGTGTTAGTTTCTGCTGTACAACAAAGTGAATCAGCTATATACCTATATCCCCATATCCCCTCCTTCTTTTTTTTTTTTTTTTTTAACGGTACGTGGGCCTCTCACTGTCGTGGCCTCTCCCGTTGTGGAGCACAGGCTCCGCAGCCATGGCTCACGGGCCCAGCTGCTCCACGGCATGTGGGATCTTCCTGGACCGGGGCACGAACCCGTGTCCCCTGCATCGGCAGGTGGACTTCCAACCACTGCGCCACCAGGGAAGCCCTCCCCTCCCTCTTGATCCTCTCTCTCACCCTCCCTATCCCACCCTTCTAGGTGGTCACAAAGTATCCAGTTGATCTGCCTGTGCTATTCAGCAGCTTCCCACTAGCCATCCATTTTACATTTGGTAGTGTACATATGTCAATGCTACTCTCTCACTTCATCCCAGCTTCCCCTTCCCCTGCTGTGTCCTCAAGTCTGTTCTCTACATCTGCATCTTTATTCCTGCCCTGCCACTAGGTTCATCAGTACCGTTTTTTTAGATTACATATATATGCGTTAGGGTCAGTTTCGTTCCTTTTTATGGCTGAGTAATATTCCACTGTATATATGTGCCACATCTTCTTTATCCATTCATCTTCTGATGGACATTTAGGTTGCTTCCATGTCCTTAGCCAGGGACTCTTAATAAGTATTATTCTCAGAATTAATCCAACCAAATATTTATTAAATTATTATTGGGCACCTGCTAATGTGCCAGTGACTCTGTAAGTACCAGATATAAAAAATAACAGTAATGATCCTTGTCAAGATTTTTTTAAGAAAAGGATTAAAAATTAAAACTATTGGCTGGCATTCTTTTTTTTTTTTTTGCGGTACGCGGGCCTCTCACTGTTGTGGCCTCTCCCGTTGTGGAGCACAGGCTCTGGACGCTCAGGCTCAGCGGCCATGGCTCACGGGCCCAGCCGCTCCGCGGCATGTGGGATCTTCCCGAACCGGGGCACGAACCCGTGTCCCCTGCATCGGCAGGCGGACTCTCAACCACTGTGCCACCAGGGAAGCCCATAGCATTCTTTTCTATCTTTCTTTTGTATTTGTTTTGTTTTCTTTTTTAAGTAGCCTATTGCAATGCCTGATGCAGTTGTTAAGGAAGAATTCCTAACAATTTGGACCTCAAATTTCATGTATTTTTAAATAAAGCATGGATGATAGGGTGCAAGGGAAGGTAAGTGTGCAAAAATTACTAAAGGTGTTTAATAGGAGGGCAGATTACGGATAACTTAATTCTTTGATAGAGAAGTATAAATTGTTATAAATGTAAAGGTAACTATTGAAGAATAGAAATAGGGTGTATAGCTTTCAGCCACTTGAGTAAAGCTCAAAAAGGACAAAGGAATCTTGGTACAACTTGCTAAAAAGAGAAAGAAAACCCTATATTCCAATTTAGATGAATGCACGGTGTTCAGATCTTTTATTTGGAACCGTGATTCAAGTGTAACATGTTTTCACGTATTCTCTATTTTTTGCCTTCTTTTTAACAAGGTCTAGAATCTTACATATATCAGAAAATGAAAAGTAGAGAAACTGAACGGCATTCTGTACACGTCAGTGATCATGTAAGGCAGTCTCAAGAGGTAAAAACATTTTATTTGATATTTTAAAAGCTCAGTTTCTCACCCTTTGTCCCCCCACTTTATTCTTTCCTTGTCGTTCGCCTTTATGCAGTTTATCCACCCAGTAATTTATCCTGGGTATTTTTATCATGAAATAGAAAGAATTTAGGAATTTTTGAAACTGTTTTCGCATATATAAAAGTTGCCATGTGGAAGAAAATAAGATATTTTCAATACACTTTTAAGAGGTAGAGCTAACATCAACATATAGACTCTACTGGGAGACAGATTTCAGCCTGATTTGAGAAGGAATTTTTAGCAGTTGGAGCTTTCCAAGGATGGAATGGTTTATTTCTCGAAGTAGTAAGTGCCTCACTTATTGTGGTTAATTAAACAGGCAAAGCAAACATCTTTGCAGATGTGTTGGAGGGGATTTGGACATTGCAGGAAAGGACTTTCAGTGTTTCTCTACCACTGATTTTGCAGTCTGTTTTTCTTAACCATTTGCAAATAAGTGCCTGTTTTATTGCCATCCACCATGAGGGAAGCGTGATCTAGTTAGACTAGCCCCCCAAATCTAATCTTGGTCTTGGTTTGAATATTACCTCTATGACCTTGGGAACTATATGAATGTATACTAACAACCTCAGATGTTCTTGTAGGAATGCAATCTGTGAAAGTAAAATATAAGACTACTTGAAGGTAATTGGAGGCAGGGACCTGTCTGCCCTGTCAAATCCTGGCTCTGTCACTTCCTAGGTTTCAAAGCTGTATACATCAATTAACCTGTGCGTTTCATTACCTGTATCTCTAAAATGGGGTTAATGCCATCCTTACGAGACGGATAGTGGATAACAAAAATAACACCAATGAAAATGCCTAGAGTAATGCTTGGAGTATAGAAATAGAATGAGATATATTCAAGGTAACATTCTAAATGATCATCAACTGAAACAATAATCTGATGATAGGATATAATAATGTAATGGTCAATGTTTCCTGTCAACTTTGACCTTCTTTTCTTCTTTCATGTCATTAACTGATGTTATATGTTCACTCTCATTTTTGTAAAAACCGTTATGTATTACATTTTCTCTTTGATGTCCCCATAAAAGTAATCCTTTCTGTTAAGGTCAGTCATCACACTGAGTTACTCATATATTGTGCTAACATTATGCATCTTTCTAGCTTGAGTCTTGCATGTTTAGTAACAGAAATATTGAGCCTAGAGGAAAGGAAAAAAAGAACTATACCCTCCAAGGAGTGTGTTCTGCAAATGTATTACTGGAAGCTTGGGGTGGGAGAGAGTTGGGTGAACATGTAATGACCTTTCCCTTCTGCCCAGGATCTAAGCAAAAACTCTTTGTGGAATTCAAGGAGCACCAAGGTCAATAGGAACTCTCAGTGAGTATTTCTAAATGTCTGCCTTTAAGCATCTTTGGCTTTTATTTTTTTTAACTGGATTGGGAAGAAAGGTTTAATTGGGTCAGAAAAGGAGAAAAAAAAAGTGTGTGTCCAATGACAGTATTTTTCTTGTGTTAGCAAGAATGAGAATTATTTATTCTCCTAGTTTTCCTGTTTCTGGCAACAAGATCTCACCTTAGTGCCTTTTAAGAATATAATGATACATGTACTACTGTAGCAAATTAACCGTTTGTCTTTTTTTTTAATTTAATTTAATTTTTGGCTGGTTTGGGTCTTCGTTGCTGCATGCGGGCTTTCTCTAGTCGCAGCGAGCAGGGGCTACTCTTCATTGTGGTGCATGGGCTTCTCATTGCGGTGGCTTCTCTTGTTGCGGAGCACGGGCTCTAGGCGCACGGGCTTCAGTAGTTGTGGCGCACTGGCTTAGTTGCTCCGTGGCCTGTGAGATCTTCCCAGACCTGGGCTCGAACCTGTGTCCCCTGCATTGGCAGGAGGATTCTTAACCACTGGACCACCAGGGAAGTCCCTAACCATTTGTCTTTTTAGTGTCAGAAAAACACACATGAAATAATGAGTATCATATATTTTCTGATAGATAAGAGTGAAATTTGCATTAAAAAGTAGGAATAAATTTGTCTTGACTGAAAATAAAAAGACTTAGAATGAAGACTAAATAATTTTTTTAGTTTTTTTTTTCAAAATTTTCCTTTTAGTTTATAAGATGGATCTTTTTGGTTTCTCCTTAACATCCTAAGTGTTTGTCAAAGCAGTAACAAGTTGAGAAGGATTGAGACAGAGAAAGGAAGACAGGGCTAGAGAGAGGAGATAGAGAACTCACCTTTTAATAGACTTGAGGTTCCTCCTAGACTTTTATTTATTCAGAGAAAATTTGAAAACCAACCAAGCAAAGATTATTCTGTTTGTAGTGTTTTATGGACTTTTCCAGTTACGTCATCAAATTAACCATTCTTAGAGTTAGGAGCAGAATTCAAAAGCATCTGTACTCTACAAAGGGCCCGTTGATGCCAGGCAGGTGGAATATGGCGGTCAGTTTGCAGTCAGCTCTGTTTGAGATGGCCTTTTCTCTGGAGCTCTCAAGGTCTCTCTGTGCAAGCCTGCCTCTAGCCTTAACGTGCACATGAGTTTCTTCTCCCAAAAGTTCTGTAGTTTGTGCTCATGCAGAGTAGTGGGTTATTGCAGCATGAAATTAAACAATAACTGTAATTGTACTTGCTTCCCCAAGGACCTTAAATACTGGACATATTCTTCGAATGTATTTATTCCGACTTGCCCATGGCCACTTGTGCACTTGAGCAGGGCATGTAACAATTTAAAGAGAGCTAATTTCAGCCTGTGAACATTTAGGGGCCATGTGGGCTAATGAAACTGATTTGTTGGCTTGTCCAGAGATATTCACAGACTCTTTTGTAGGCATCTGCTTTGCATAGTTCAGGAAGCCTTTAGTTTAATTGATCCAGAACAACACAAACACAGTTAAATCTTATATATGTTGTGTGATTACATAACTAATTAAAAACAAAAACCAACAACTGCTTTTCAGTTAGCTTAGGGCCTACTCAGTAAATTAATTACATGTATATCTGGTGCTCATTCTTCTATGAAAACAATTGTAGGGTTGTAAACTGTTTCTCTAAAGGTAGGGGTGAAATGTAACTGATACTCTTCCTTCAAAGTAATATATACACATGTATATACATATATACTTATAGATTGTATTATTACTGTTTCACACACTTTTCATTTCTTTGATCATTGAAAACTTTGAAGCATTATCTAAACAACTTTAATTTTTCAAACAGGTTGAGAATTTCAAATGGAGTTAACAGTAAGTTTTTTGTTTTTTTTTTTTTAATTTATTTTTGGCTACGTTGGGTCTTCGTTGCTGCACTCGGGCTTTCTCTAGTTGCGGCGAGCAGGGGCTACTATTCATGGCAGTGCATGGGCTTCTCATTGCGGTGGCTTCTCTTGTTGCGGAGCACAGGCTCTAGGCGCGTGGGCTCAGGAGCTGTGGCTCACGGGCTGTAGAGAGCAGGCTCAGTAGTTGTGGCGCACGGACCTAGCTGCTCTGCGGCATGTGGGATCCTCCCGGACCAGGGCTCGAACCCATGTCCCCTGCATTGGCAGGTGGATTCTTAACCACTGCACCACCAGGGAAGCCCAACAGTAAGTTTTTATATTTTTATTTTTTCATCTTATCAGTGGTGGGGTTTACTCTCCTGCTGTCTCAGACTTTTATAGTTCTTGAAATCCTGATTTTTGTTTACTATACAAAGTAGCAAGTTCGGTAGAAAAGTAGAAGGTTGAATGTCTGTCTCCAGATAAATCAGGATATCTTACCTGATCTTACCTGTTACCTGTTTTTGACTGTGATTTTCTAGTTTTCTCTGTGAGTGAGGGTATAGCCACTGAGCTCATTTAGACTGTTCAACAACTCTTATTGTCATCGTTTAACACATTGCTATTTAAGAACCATTCATAAGATTGTATGTGGATCTCCTTTCCTATATGTCTTCAGTAGGACTCCATGCCCCAAGTGGCTAAGTGGGACCAAGCCTACTTTGGTGAGACACCTCCCTGGTGAAGCCACTCTCATTAGCTACTTTCAAATTTCATCACAAACTGTACCTTTCCATCTTCCTGACCCCTCGATACAGACTGGGCACCTTCATCACTTATGTGAAACCTTCAGTGCCTTCCCATTACCTATAGGATGGGCTGCAAATCCCTTACTCTTTCTCAATGCTCTTGAGAGTCTGGCCCCAGTCCAAATTTCCAGGCTCATTAATGAGCCCTTTTATGCAATATTTCTTCCATGAAGAATGTGACCACCTACCTATTACCCTCTCCACGTGGTGTCCAGAAGGATTTTCAAATGTGGAACAAAATGTTCCACCTCCCTTCTCTGCCATCTCAGGAAATGACAACTTTATCCTTCCCGTTGCTGAGGCCAAAGTCTTGCAATCCTACTTGACTCCCATTTTCTCACATCCCCACAGCCAACCCATCAGTAAGTCTTTCAAAATATATTGAGAAGCTGATCACTTTGCTACCCCCACATATCACTTTTCACCTCTTCCCTGGATTACAGGATGGCCTCCAAACTGTTGCTCTATTTCCAGAGAGCAGCTGGAATAACACTTTTAAACTCAAAGTCATATTGAGTCACTCTTCTGTTCAAATGGTGTTCCAGCTCACTCTGTAAAAGCAAAGTCCAAACACCGTCTACGAGGCCCTGTTGATCTGCTCCCCCTCCTTCAACTCTGGCCACTCTCTCCTCCTTAACACAGCAAGTATGGTCCTGCCTCAGGATGTTTGCACTTGCCATTACTTCTGCCTGGAATACTCTTCATTTATCCTTATGACTCACCCCCTCTCTTCCTTCGGGTCTTTGCTTACATTTCACCCTATCAGAGAGGTCTTTCCTAACCAACCTATATAATATAGAAGAGTAATCTCCCTGTCTCCCACGATTCCTAACTCTCTCAATATATATGTAATATACTATAATACTATATATTTACTTATTTATTTCCTATTTCCCTTTCCTACAATGTAGGCTTTATCTGTTTTCATTACTGCTCTTTCTGTCGAGGATAGACTAATACCTGGCACGTAGTAGGTCAGTAAATATATGCTGAATGAATGTGAATAAGATCTCACAGCTCCTTAAGTGGTGAAGCCAGGATTGAAACTCAGTTTTGTCAGACTCAGATGCCCATACTCTATTTCACATTGTTTGTCTATGAAGATGCCCTAAGCCTCTATGTACACCTCTATTATATTACTTAGCAAACTGTATTGTGATTATAGTTTACATGTATTTCATATTTGTTTTTCACTAAGGTGGAGGAGCCACATCTTATTCACATCCCTCATGCCTAGCACGGCCCTTAGTGGGAGCTAAATACTTTTTTTTTTTTAATTATTGAATCGAACTTAGAAAGGCACAGTCTTTTTTGATGATCTTACCTTTTACCCAGCACCCCCAAAGGGAGGGAGTTTCTTCCCTTCCTTATCCAGCAACAAGAAGCCAGAGACATCTGTGAAATTGGGCTCCTTATGCCGCTTCCTCTACAAGGTATAAAGTAGTTCCCACCATGAGACTAAAGTTCTCGACTTTAATTTTGATTTTATGAAATGGCAGAACTGTTGCAAAGGATTTCTCTTGCGACTTGTAATTTAGGACTTGAGCAGGTAGAAGAGAACCAGTTAAACTTGCAAGAGGTGTTCCCAACACACAGTCCGTCTGTAACCAAACAAATCCCTTGCTCTCACATTCTCTGCCTCCTTCTTTGTTTCTCTTATATTCCTCTTAATGTGTTTTCATCATCTTGTTGTCATTTTAAGTCAGTGAAGTAGTGTGCTAGTAACTTGGTATTAATAATGTCTTTATGTGGGTACTGCATCTTGGTAGGGAGCTCAGAGAATTGTGCTTCTGGGATGTCATGCAACGTGATGGGCAGCCGAGTGCCTTCTGCAGCACAGAGGTGTAATTGGTTCAAAGGAAATACATCTTTGAGGCTAATATTACCGGTCTTTCTTCAATTCCCTATATAAATATGTTTGGAGACATTGCATTGATGATTGGAAGCTGTCAGGATACCATGCACAATAATGTGGTTAAAAAATATTAGGCAATCTTTTTAGAAAACCGAGAAGCCATTGTGATTAACCCGTTCAATAATAACTTTGCAGGCAATATATTCATAAACATGTATTTACCTCCAGCCAAGTAATTAAGATGCCAATCTTCTCTGTAATTTCAGGAATCTCAACCTCCTTAAAAAGCCCTCAAGAATCTCACCATCATTATTCAGGTAGGATGCCTGTGTACATAGACATGTCAATGGAGCTAAATGTCTGTGATTCTGCATTTGGAAACAGAAACACTGGTGAATTTGTGGTGTTGAAATGGCTCCAACTTGAAAAGTTGTTGTTTACTCTGATGAGAGAACATTCAGATTTCTTAACTTGGGAAAACAAGTTTTTAGGATTTAAGAGAATTTGGATTTAAAAAAAAATGTGTGTATTGGTAAGTTCCAAATTGTAAGGAGGAAAGACGACCTTGAGATCTGAAAATTCCTTACGAGGTCAAAAGCCAGAGATCTTTGTATTTTGGGCTGGGGAGGAGACAGGCCTGAGACTAGTCCTCTGAGGAAGGGTTTGGCACCCTCACTGGGCCCTCAGTGAGGGTAACCACTGAATGAATGCCAACCCCACAGGGTAAATTCAACAAAGACACCTTAAGGGATGTTATTAAACAAGATGTCAAGGGTCTTGACTCTCTTAAGCAACATCACTTCACAGTGATTCAGTTGTCTTTCTTTCAAAGTGGGAATAATTGTACTTGCCCTTCCTGAGGAAAAATCTGCCAAAGGGCTAGTTGAGAATAAAGAGGGAAACACTTTGAAATGCAAAGCAGTATAACAACCAACTGGACTCGTGCCATTGGGTGGTCTTTCGGGCATCGTTGCTCTCAGTATTGGATTAGATAACACATGGGCAAGCTTTTTATATAATCTGAAGCTCAGTACAAGAGTACAAGTGTATTGGTGTGATAATTTTCGTTATTATTATATCAAGGTCATGTGCTCAGGGTCCAGTAATAGGCTACCGTATCCTGAATTCTCCTCTGTAGTGAATAGTGTTTCTGTGGATTTCAGACTCCACATTCCAGGCTCTTGTAACTGGGTCTTTCAGCTCAGCAGTAATCCGTTATTTTGACTCCAGCTGTCAGCTGAAGAAAGCATCTGGTGAGGAACACTGTAACTCACATCGACTCTGATTTGTTAAGATACAGCTCTTAACAGGAAAATGCAGATCACTTGCTTCTAATTAAAACTGGTCTTCAGCTCTCTCTGGGAAAAGAAGATGAACTCTGCAAAATCAACAGTAGATGTCCCCACAGTCCGCTGTGCGTTAGATTTGATCTGGAAAAGAAAAACCAGAAAGACCACAGATTAAAATGCTCTTTAAAAGCAAGTTCCACATCTGAATGGATTAGTAGGGTATTTGGTATTCAGGAGAGTGGAGGTAATAGCGCTACCTCAGAACATATTATATAATCTCATATAATCATTATTCCTAAGACTGGGATATCCTTCCTGTTTAAGGCATAGTTTATTTTAAATACTGTATTATAGATAATATATTTTTTTAAATTTATTTATTTTTGGTTGTGTTGGGTCTTCGTTTCTGTGTGAGGACTTTCTCTAGTTGTGGCGCGCGGATCTCTCACTGTCGCGGCCTCTCCTGTTGCGGAGCACAGGCTCCAGACGCGCAGGATCAGTAGTTGTGGCTCACGGGCCTAGTTGCTCCGCAGCATGTGGGATCTTCCCAGACCAGGGCTCGAACCCATGTCCCCTACATTGGCAGGCAGATTCTCAACCACTGCGCCACCAGGGAAGCCCCAAGATTTTTTTTTTTTTTTTTTTTAATGTGGACTATTTTTAAAGTCTTTATTGAATTTGTTACAATATTGCTTCTGTTTTCTGTTTGGGTTTTTTGGCCCTGAGGCATGTGGGATCTTAGTTCCCAGACCAGGGATTGAACCTGAACCCCCTGCATTGGAAGGCGAAGTCTTAACCACTGGACTTCCAGGGAAGTCCCTGTAGAGAATATTTTTGATAAAAGAAAAAATAAAGGGTCTTTGAAATAAAATATTTTAGCATAATATGAGTATATTGATGTGGGGAAGACTTTCTGTAAATTCAGCCCACTGATGCATACTTAAACTAGTAAATCTGCTTTTGTTTGCAGCCATTGAAAGGAACAATTTAATGAGGCTTTCTCAGACCATACCATTTACACCAATTCAACTGTTTGGTGAGTGCCATTTCTACCTTCTTGAGGTTGTGCCAGGGCGAAGGCATAACATCTGAGTGAATCATAGGAGAAACCATTTTGCATAATTTTAGCTGCAAATTTTCTTTTGCCCATGGTTGCAGTTTAGTTATATTAATTTCCTAAAATGGAAAGTCTTGTTAACTGCCCGGCTGGTATCTAGAGTCAAGATCTGATATACTATGGGGATGGGACCTATAATGAGCAGCAGTTGGGGGAAAAGCAATAATATTGCACCTGGCATTCACTGATTTAAGACTGGAAGTAAGTAGAAAAGAAAAGAACCAACCAACCATGCGTAATAAATACAGAAGAAAGCATTAAACGTCAATACAGTAGAAGCTAATAGACATCTAAAGAGAAATGCTTTGTATATTGCTTTTTATTTGTTTGTTTTGTTTGTTTTGTTTGATGTAAACTAATTGCTCTTAACTCAGAGAGCAAATGTAATTTTTAAAGGCTGGAATAGTAAGGAAAAACAAGCTCATAATAGCCAAGGCTACCGGCGTTTCTCTGTCCTGCCAATTGACAAAGTAACAAGGGTCGCCACACTGTCCCAGATCTTGCTTCTCCTCAAACGCTTCACATGGGGACAGATGAGGTGGCTTCTGATCATCGATGCAAATGCCTTCTCCTTCCACTTGGCTCCATAGCTGGTTTTACAACTCGGTAGCTCTGTTTCAGATCCTCTAGGTAATTAGAACTCTAAAGTGGCATTTATCTGGGCACCAGGAATACATATTTCAAAACATGTTACTAAGCATTACCTAGACGTATTCTTTGGTAAGCAATTAAATGCAAGAGTGAGCGAATAGATTCTTTCCTTGGTAAACCAGTACAGTGTTTATAAGAAAAGCCATTTGAAGCTGAGGTGTAAGGAGAAAATTAAATACGGGCTGGACAGAAGTTGTATAGAATATGTCACTTCTGTTAGGAAGCATTGTACAATATATTAGGTGGAGTCTAGGTTGAATAAGAATGGCTCCCTGTTCAACAGCCTAAAAGTGGAAGCTGTAGAGCAGTTAAAGAACATTTGTGTGTAAAATCTTTGAAGTGGGATTGGGTTTGTCTCCGAGGGTCTACTTCACATTAGCCAGGTTAACATATCTAATCTTTACAACAGCCCGATGAAGAGAATGTTATTTTCACTTCCATTTTACTGATGAGGAAAGTGAAGCTTTAAGTAACTTGTCCAAAGGCACAAAGGAAGGAGGGAAAGGCTCTGGGGTGTGACTTTGGTTCTAACTTTAACTGGGTTAAAACATGCGTTCTCAGTGGGGTAATATCACCCCCAAGAGAGCAAAAACATCTTTTTATTTTTATGTGTAAAGCACACACACACACAGAGTTCATAAACATAAACAGTATATCTTTGGTATTACAATGTCAGGGAAGGGGCAATTAGGAAAAAAAGTCTAAATTTAAGCTCCTAAGGGGGATGACAGGGTTAAACTATCTCTTTAAAAGTATGCTAACACATATATATGGAATCTAAACAAAAAAAAAAAGAAAGAAAAAAAAAGAAAATGGTCAGAAGAACCTAGGGGCAAGACAGGAATAAAGATGCAGACCTACTAGAGAATGGACTTGAGGATACGGGGAGGGGGAAGGGTAAGCTGGGACAAAGTGAGCGAGTGGCATGGACATATATACACTACCAAATGTAAGATAGATAGCTAGTGGGAAGCAGACGCATAGCACAGGGAGATCAGCTTGGTGCTTTGTGACCACCTAGAGGGGTGGGATACGGAGGTTGGGAGGGAGGGAGACGCAAGAGGGAAGAGATATGGGGATATATGTATATGTATAACTGATTCACTTTGTTATAAAGCAGAAACTGACACACCATTGTAAAGCAATTATACTCTAATAAAGATGTTTTAAAAAAAAGTACTTTCCTTTAACAAAAGAAGCATAGCCTTGCTACTCTGATTTTATTTTTGTCTAGTTATAATTTATAATAAGAACAACTTAATATTTATGTGACATCTGATGCTTTGTTCATTCTCCCCCTCCCTCTTTACTGGACTATAACATGGCCAGATGTCTGTACTTGCCTCTGAACAGGTGAAATTCCCATTCCCCACTGATCCTTTGAGAAACTGAACTGATTCTGAGTTGATATTTAGGACGCCGTTCATGTCACAGACATGGATCTCATTGAACCCCTCCCCTGCACTTCTGTTTGCCACAGGAGAAGAAGTAACTGTCTACAGGCTGGAGGAGAGTTCCCCTTTGAATCTGGATAAAAGCATGTCTTCTTGGTCCCAGCGAGGGAGATCTGCAATGATCCAGGTGTTGTCCCAAGAGGAGATGGATGGTGGCCTCCGCAAAGCCATGAAAGTCATTAGTACCTGGTCTGAGGATGACGTCCTCAAGCCGGGGCACGTTTTCATTGTGAAGTCCTTTCTTCCTGAGGTTGTGCAGGCATGGCGCAAAATCTTCCAGGAAAGTACTGTGCTTCATCTTTGCCTCAGGGTAAGTCAGAGACCCAGAGCCCAGATGGACAGGTGGTCGAAGGAGATCTGGCTCTATCCTGGTCAAAGGCCATTATCTTTTTTTTTTTTTTGGTGAATACTTCCTTTATGTATAATATTCATATATCACAGATCATTGATTAGGAAATGTCAAATACCATTGATATGATTAGGGTAGACATACACACATATTGATGTATATACACACATATATATGTATATGTTTATATACATATGTATGTATATATTCACACACATTCATCTATAAAGCCAACATTTTACCTAATGTGAAAACAGAGGCACACCCATCAAGGTCAGAACAAAGCGAGAATGCCCACCATCTCCACCACTATTCAACACATTACTGGAGGTATTAACCAACTTAATTAGACAAGAGAAAACAAAAGTATAAAAACTGGAACAGAAAAAGAATGAAAACTAACTCTGTTTGCAGATGATATGATAGTAATGCTAGAAAACCTGAAGAACTAGTGATAAAAACAACTCAAGCAATAAAAGAAATCAGGAAGGTGGCAAGGTTAATACAATTAACACACCAAAATTAATAACTTTCATATAAGCAAATAATAACTAGTAGAAGATATTTTGGAAAAGAAAACCCTGTTTACAATAGCAAGAAATTGAAAATGCTTAGAAATAAGTGGAATGTGAAATATTTAAAATCTATATGAGGAAAAATCACTCCTGAAAGATATAAACCTAAATTTGTACAAAGAGAAAAATAATCCTTAATCTTGATTAGGATGTTCCAACATCATCAAAATATAAGTTCTCTTAAAGTTAATTTATAAATTTAATATTATCCCAATAAAGATTAGGAGATACAAACTACTATATATAAAATAGATAAACAAAGTCCTACTGTATAGCACAGGGAATTATATTCAATATCCTATAATAAGCCATAAAGGAAAAGAATATTAAAAAGAATATATATATGTGTATAATTGAATCTCTTTGCTATACACCTGAAACTAACACAATGTTGTAAATCAACTATACTTCAATTTTAAAAAATCCCAATAAACTCTTTTTTTTTTTTTTCTGGAGCTAGACACCTACTTAGAAAGAAAGGGAAAAAATAAAATATACGTACATGTATCTACTTACTCTCGCAAAAGGAAACATAGGAAGGTTAAACCAGAAAGCAGTGAAATAGATTGCCTAAAGGGGTGTGGAGGTGGAAGGCAGGAGGGAAGAGGAGATTAAGATGGAAAAAATAGGGGAAAGAGGACAATTCTCTGAGTATGCCTTTTTAATTTTTTTAATATCTTTATTGGAGTATAATTGCTTTACAATGTTGTGTTAGTTTCTGCTGTACAACAAAGTGAATCAGCTGTACATATACATATATCCCCCTATCTCCTCCCTCTTGAGCCTCCCTCCCACCCTCCCTATCCCACCCCTCTAGGTCATAACAAAACATCGAGCTGATCTCCCTGTACTATGTGGCTGCTTCCCACTAGCTATCTATTTTATATTTGGTAGTGTCTATATGTCCATGCCACTCTCTCTCACTTCGTCCCAGCTTCCCCTTCCCCCACTTTGTCCGTAGGTCTGTTCTCTACATCTGCCTCTTTATTCCTGCCCTGCCACTAGGTTCATCAGTACTGTTGTTTTAGATGAAGGCCATTATCTTCAACCCAAAGGATAGCCTATTCCTTTTTGGAAGTGGTGGTATATTGTTATTTTTGGCTTTCGCTTTTGGAGTGGGTAGTGGTGGAAGCTGAATAAGGCTGAAAATCATACTTGGGAGGCCTCTAGTAATTCTGTGATCATTAATTAGTAGGCATCTGATAGCAAACCAATATTTTTATCTATGTTCCCTATTTTGCAGGAAATTCAACAACAAAGAGCTGCTCAAAAACTGATCTATACCTTCAACCAAGTGAAACCACAAACCATTCCCTACACTCCAAGGTGAGGAAATATTGGCACCCTGGCCCTTCATCTTATGTAGGAATTTCTGTCAATTTCTTCTCACCTGTTAGTCACGAGAAATACCAGACCCACGGGGAAGTTCCCCATGACCTTAACTTTGGTTTCTTCCTTACATAGTTCTCGGAGACAGTAAAAAGAGAATTAGACACCCTAGGTATGTTTTGGCTTAAATTGCTGAATTTATGTGAGTAGAAAAGAGAAGATCAAGCAGAGGCCGTGACTAACCTCTCAATTACGAAAGCAGGCAGATCCCGGGTGTAGTTACTAATGTCCAGAAACATTATGGTAGAAAAACACTTCTATTTTAAGCATAGTTTCTTCTGTTATCTTACAGAAATTAGGAACCTTAAAGGAGTGAACTCTTGTTACTTTCACTTGAGTGTTTCCATACACTTGTATTCATTTAGCGAGACAGATCATAGTGTGGTGCTGAGGACTTACAGTAAAGTTTTACTGTCTCATTTACAAGGAACTTCATAGAGCAAGACAAGAAAAGTTGAATCCAGTACTGTTTATAAAAGAGTTCCTCAGAAAGAAGGGAGGTGGGTAAACGTGGGGGAAAACTCCCAATCTTTGCATTCCATTCTTTCAGTAGAAAGGCAAAGGCATGTGCATTGAGGCTGCTGGGACTAGAGTTAGGTCATCTCCCCTGGTGCTCTCTGTTCAGTAATATAAGTCCCACCTTTGCTGCCTTTGGGGGAATCAATGGCCTCTTCCCACCCTCCCTCGCCATAGGTTCCTGGAAGTGTTCTTAATCTACTGCCATTCAGCCAAGCAGTGGTTGACCATTGAGAAGTACATGACTGGGGAGTTCCGGAAGTACAACAACAACAACGGTGATGAAATTGCCCCCAGCAACACCTTGGAGGAGCTGATGTTGGCTTTCTCTCACTGGACCTATGAGTATACTCGGGGAGAGCTGCTGGTTTTAGATCTGCAAGGTGATTGATAGCTGAGGATTTGATACAACAAGCATGAGGCAAAGTAGTTCAGGAAACAGTGACCAGGGATTGCTTTCTCAATGTCATTGTCACCTACATTTTTTTTTTTTTTGCGGTACGCGGGCCTCTCACTGTTGGGGCCCCTCCCGTTGCGGAGCGTAGGCTCCGGACGCGCTGGCTCAGCGGCCATGGCTCATGGGCCCAGCCGCTCTGCGGCATGTAGGATCCTCCCGGACCGGGGCACGAACCCGCATCCCCTGCATCGGCAGGCGGACTCTCAACCAGTGCGCCACCAGGGAAGCCCCTGTCACCTACATTTGACCCCAGCTCTTTCTTTACTCAAAGCCATAGTTAAGGCCTTTCAGTGGAGACATTCCTTGGCAGTATGTACCTTTTTTTTTTTCTTTTAAACAGGAGATGGTATCTGTTTTCTGAATTTATTTATTGTTTGTGGAACTGTTCTAAGTGGGAGGAACCAGAGAGGTGTCCCGAGAGATCATGCAAGAACCAGGATGGGTAATGTATGGAGTTGCTCCATCTAGCTTTGAAGGGAGGTGGCACCATTTATTTCAGAGACGTTGTACAGTGATGATCATGGGCACCTACTATGCTGTTTCTCACCTATAGATCAAGAGAAAAATATAGGCAGATGATTAGCTGCCCAGAATTTAAAGTCATCTAAAATGTTAAACGGGCAATGAGTTTTATACCCAATTTTCCAGTTTTATGGCCTTTCTTTGAACTTATGTTCACAATAACACTTAGGCATGCATTTATACACACAGGAAAGTTTAAATTCTGGTCATTTCTCATGATTCTGAGCTCAGTATTTTAGCAGTTTATAGTTTAGCTTGTTCTCTTTGCTGTGTACCTTGATATAAGAGTTCACAAAAGTATAAACTCAGTCTGTGAAAGGCAACTTAGTGTGCTCTTATTTAATGGAAGCCTTTGATCAATGCATCTTTCTACTCTCAACACCTCACCTGTGACTTATAATCCTGCAGTAGGAAACAGAGTATCTCTAGCAGGTTTTCCTTGCAGGGACAGAACGAAATATGTATTAAGGTCAAAGTTTAGTCCCTGGGCTCACTGACTGGGGCTTTGGTTTTAAATAAGGGATTTAGCCCAGGCACTTTCATAGAAGTTATCTCATTTAATCCAAGAAGCAGCACCTTGAGGTAGATATTATGGGGACTTTAGGCCCAGAAAGTTTAAATAACTTGCCCAAGGTTGCACAGCAGCTTAAGCAGAAGCCAAGATGCAGACTTAAGCTGGTTTGACCATCCATGTTCTTTCCTTTTCACTGTTCTGTCTTTTATTTCTCTTTAAGTTTCATAGCCACAGGACATTACCATGTTCTGGTTCATTTAAAATGATAGGGCCTTTTCCTTGTCCTCTCTGACTTTCCCATCTCTCCACACCTGGAATTCTGTGCTGAAAGCCAGGCTTGGAGGATGGAGACAGTCGAGATGAACAGGCAATCCTGGGACATCGTGAGCAATGTACACTAAGACTGCAAACCCATTTTGATTGAAACTTCTGTCACATGCTCAAGGATGTGTGTGTGTGTATATATATATATATATATATATATACACTTTTCAAACTACACATAAGTCCTTCTGTCCTTTCAGATCTATGCTGTTCACAAGGTGTGAATTATATTTCTAACCCTCAAACACAATATTTTAGGAAGCAATATAAACAAAGTTAAAACAGTCAAGATGATTCAGCTTTTAAACCAGCAAGTACAGTATGATCCATGTAAACCCAGCACACTGATGCCCAAGGCTGCTTTTGTAGCTCATGCTGGGGAAAGGTTGATTGTTTTCATCTATACTTGAGTGTCTGTGCTTTGAGTTTTGGGTAGAGATGTTTAAAAAGTAAAAAACAAACAAAAAAACAAAGAAAAACTTCAAGGAAGTAATGATGACTCTTCAGTGTGTTTTTGTTTAATGATGTTTATATTTGGGGATTTTTATGTCTCTTAGTAAATCCAAAGTGACCTTAAACAGAACAAACACTGCATTAATAGTCTTGGGGGAAAAAAAGGAATTAACTTTATTTTTTTACTGGGCAATTATGTGAATTGCAGAAATAGACCACTCCAAATAAACGATGTGAAAACATTGACCTTCAAAGGAGGGAAGAGTGGACATCATAGAATGAACATGAAGAAATTGAGATACTTATCTGAGAGTTTTGCTGATTGGTTAGCCCTGAATTTATGGAAGAACGAGAATCCTATAATAGTAATTACAAGCAGTTATATTACTACTGCTACTAGCTAACATTTACTAAATAGTTACTTTGTGTCAGTCACTCCGTTAAAGGCTTATGTGCATTAATATGTTTAATCCAAGCCAGGTTGGAAAGGAAAAATGGGAGAATATAATGTATTCTTAAAATATCATAATAGTTTTCAGTTCAGTTATGTTTTACATTTAATTGATTAGTATTTTTAGTCTTTGGAGTGATGATGTGCATTGTCTGGGTGGCAGGGAGTGGAGACTGAAAGACAATTAGCTGCAGTTAGGAGAGGCCCTGTCGTCAGGGTCCTGGGGGCTGACTCCTGGCTCCACCGTGAATTAGCTGCATGACCAGGGGGCAACCACCTTGAGTCCTTGAGTCATTTGTAATAATAATGGTAAATAATGTTAGGCACTTAACTCAGAGGGCTGTTAAGGGGCTGAAATTAAGCAAGTTCCTGACACAGTGAATGTTAGTTATTGTTGTTAGTATTAGTCTCTGTGTGGCTTGTTAAAATGGAAGTTAATCTTCAGTTGTGGGTAGTCTCCTCTTAGCTGTGTCGTCCTGGTGATACTTGAGGGAGATCCCAGCTTTGGCCTCTGTAGAGTGAAGCCCTGATCAGCTTGCTGTGCTTCCTGTTGCTTTGAGGGAAAGAAGGAATGAGAAGCACTCCGGCAGTTTATTATTTCAGTTTCTTCTTTTCTTCTCTTTACTTTCTTCCAAGGGAGTGCCAATCATTAACCCAGGAGCTACCACATCAGGCCACGAAGCTGAACTCTAGGGAGAGGCTTGACTAATTTCTGATCACATGTAATTATACTGTAGTCTTCCAGTCTCCTTCCATTTAAAAATCTTACATGTGAGAGCCTGAATCGTCATCATTATATGTGAAATCCAATATTTAGTTTCCAGCAATAGGAATGAAAAACAATTGTATTTCAAATTACAGTGGTCTGTGGCATGTTTTTTTTTTTAAGCTCACTTTTTTTTTTTTCAAATAACTTTTGGAGATATTAATTTTTTATTCAACAAAGCAGTTTCCAGGATAAATCAGCATTAGCATCAGCATCTGCTGCTACAAGGAAGGTGACTTCTTTCCATTGATGTAGAAGTTCACTGATGCATCCCAAGGTGATTGGAATCAGAACGTAGGTCTCTGAGTTTCTCATAAGGGCGTGCTATGTATTGCCTGTACATGGGCATTTACTCTGTTAATGCCAGTAAAGAGAGAGCACTGGAATTTTTAGATCTTAAAGTGTCTTATTGTCTTTCATGTTTTCCAAATATCTACGTACGTGGGTAGGATGGGCACCTATGTTAAAGTTTGCCAATTGGGTGACTCCTGTGTAGCCGGAGAGGCTGGGGTGGTAGTAGTTGGTGTGGTGGTGCAGCATGATTGGTTCTCTGAACCGCTTTCTTTTTTTAACTCATTGGAATGCCCCTTCTGCCATTCAAGGGTCCCAAAAGATATTTTTAGTAGTTAAGCTTTGCGCTGTCAGATTGGGTTTAGGGATATAAAGGTTTGTAGAAACTCTTTACCCTCGGTCTTATAGGAAGTTCTATTCATTAGGAAATAGTACTTTAGGAAAGTGAGATAATCAGAACATGATTTTACCAGTGGTAAGAAAATAGAATTTTACTTCACAAGAGCTCTTGATAGAATAAAGACAATAAAAATAGCAGTTGACATGTTTCAGCTTCTTCTGGATCAGACCTTTTGCTAAGCAGTTTGTATATGCTAGTTCATGTAATCCTCTCAGTAACCGTATAGGATAAGACCCGTGATTATCCACACTTTCAGGTGATACAGTTGAGACTCAGAGAGATTAAAGAAGGTGTCCAGATCACACAACTAGGGAGTGATGGGGCTGTGAGTGGGACCCAGATCCTTTGACTTCTGCCTATTTAACAGGCTACAAGACTGAAAGTAAATGGGAGCTGATGTGATTTTGATAGACTTTTTTTTCCCCTATAAAGACAATTTTTTCCCCTATAAAAATTGTGATTCCACAATTCTTTAGGTATTGTGCGTATTTCAGCTTAAATTTACAGTTTACTCAGACGTCAGCATAAAGCTTTCATCACTGCTGGGAATTGTAGGCATAAAGTCATGTCTGAGCTTAAATGTGTGGAGGATTTGTAGCTTTTAGTCTCTCTATTGGTGGTACATGGGCTGTCTGTTTGTTGTTTATTTACTACATAGTTAAACATAGTTGTTCTGTTTATTTGCTACATGTTTGCTGTAGAGTTAGGGTCTTGTTAGGCTGTTCCTTTTTATATCTGTAATGAGAAAAGCATAAAGAGCCCAGCCTATTCATATGACTTTTTCTTTAAAAAGCAAAGCACATTTTGCATACTGCCCCTTGAGCCTGTGTTTCAGACTTATTTTTCCTTTCCCTATTCAAAATCAGTGTACAAAGAGATTCTAAGCCAAGGGTTCTGAAAGGGGCTCTGGGTAGAATTCAGAAGATCTGTGTACTTTGATGAAAAAACAAATTAAAATTATACCTAGGGGCTTCCCTGGTGGCTCAGTGGTTAGGAATCCGCCTGCCAATGCAGGGGACACAGGTTTGAGCCCAGGTCCGGGAAGATCCCACATGCCGCGGAGAAACTAAGCCCGTGAGCCACAACTACTGAGCCCACGTGCCACAACTACTGCAGCCCGCGTGCCTAGAGCCTGTGCTCTGCAACAAAGAGAAGCCACCGCAGTGAGAAGCCCGCACACCGCAACAAAGAGTAGCCCCCACTCGCCGGAACTAGAGAAAGCCTGTGCACAGCAACGAAGACCCAATGCAGCCAATAAATAAATACATTTATTAAAAAAAAATTACACCTTTATTTCATTAACCTATAGCTGAAATTCATCATTTCCTTCAGTTATAACGGAGACGACAGATCACAGTGGCATTAGCAGTACCCGTGACTGTTTGCAATAGCAATTACAGGTATTAACATAGCACATTGCAGTGTTGGCAGATATGTCAAAATACTAGTTGTATTTATTCCTTGTTGGATGTTATCGTGTTATTAGACTTGTGCTTGATCCTGTTATTTAACATACTAATAAAGAAGCACGTGTATGGCAGTACAATTTAAAAAATATTTTGATCACTGTGTTTCAGTATCATTGATTTCCTTTGTAATCTTATGTATTCAAACTATACATTTAAAAACATTATTCTGAGAAGGGGGTACCTTAGCTTCATCAGACTGCCAAAAGGGTCATGACCCAAAAAAGGTTTAAAACCCCCTACTTAAGTTATTTTCCTAAGGAAGTCAGTTTCTCAGGGGAATGGTCTATAAACTATAAGGATTACCTTTTCTTGTGAAAGGTTTAACATATGGTAAAACATACAGAACATAGTAAAAATCTTTCTTTTTTAAAGTAGTGGTTAGAAAATGTGTTGGGGTTTTTTTTAACAAATAGAAATACACAATAATGTTATACATTTTATTTGATTTTTAAATAAATTTCCCACAAGGTTGGTCTCTTCCAAGGCAAGAGGACCAGTGCTGACTAGAGGATGATCTCAGACATTGTCGGCTTATGCCCACATGGTGCATTCACCTGTCTGACTGGCTCACCTGTGAAATGCTGCCTTTGGAAGTCAGCCTCACCACCATTCGCATTTTATAACAGATTCACTTTGGTGTTGATCCCTGTCTTGATAAATGTTAGTTTTATATGACACGTTACCCTTTTATGCATTGGTGCCGTTTTTTAAGAAGTAAAATTTATTGAAGGATCACATACATTCAGGAAATTACACACAGCATGAGCGTACATCTTAAAGAATTTCCACAACTGAACATGTGTGTGTAACCAGCACCCAGATCAAGCATATGGGGTGTTTGTATTCTTCTGTTTATAAACGCTATATACATACATACATATATATATATGTGTGTGTATATATATATATATATATATATATGGCATTTGATATGTGTCTTTGATGGAGTGGAGGTGGTACCTGCAGAACCACACAGCACCTTGCACCTTTCTGAGCACTGATGGACTCCATCTAAGGAGACCTCGGGCTAGGGGGAAGGACACAAGCTTTGGCTTAGCTTCAATCCTGTTATGACCTCTTGTGGTCTGTGCAACCTCTGGCAAGTTGATTAATCTCTTTGAACATCAGTGTACTCATTGGTAAAATGAGGCTGTGAGGATGCTAATACTTTTCTTTCACGATTGCCAAGAATTAGAAAAAATAAAATTAGAAGAAATAAAATTAGAATGTCTAGTATGTACAAGTGGTAAATGAATGATGGATGCTATTATCAGGAAGTGTGAACACATCACAAAAACACTTTTTTGTAGCCTAGTGGTTTATTGCAGCATAATAGAGGGGGTTGTGGGAGACGGCATCAACTAAAGTTTTCAAACTTGCCTGGACAATTTAGTAGAGTTAATTCACATAATGTTGAGTTTACTACAGGGTGGGTGTCTAGTTAGTAGTAGAGTTAATTCACATGATGTTGAGTTTACTACAGGGTGGAAAGAAGGTAGGTATAAGAAAGAATTTTAAATTTGGTTTTTATTTTCTTGAATTTCTGAGAAAATGAAATTCCCCATTTGGTAAATGAATTTTCTTTTTCTTTGGAGGTGTTGGAGAAAATTTGACAGATCCATCTGTTATAAAACCTGAAGAAAAACAGTAAGTTAATTTATCATTTAGAAAATTGCATTTAACACATTGTACATGGTTTCTTAAAAATAATTTTTAAACATTTCTATATCTTGCCTAGATCCTAGAAAGGTTTTGATGTCCCTTTTATCTATATCTGTATCTATATCTATATCCAAGAATATCTACATCCAAATACAATACAATAAAATACAATAAGATTTAAAATACAATAAGATTTTAAAGAATGCATAGATTAGGAAATAGGAGCAAAAAGAAAATAAGGAAATAAAATAAGATTAAATCTGGAGTTGTTAGTACACAAAAATGGAAACTATGTATAAAGACCAATGCAGTGGGCAGAACTTTCTTGCAGATTTGCCTCTGAGTTTTCTAGTGGCCCAGACAAAAGAGAAATATGGGTAAATTCAGCCTCCTTAGGCTTTGACATGAAAACAATTAATGTCATAGGAGAAGCACAGTTTCCTTTGTTGTCATCACAGTGGAGTCATTGCACCTTATCATGGGCACTGTCTTCCATTACATGCCTATAAAACGAAAGCTGAGGGCATGAAGTGTGGTATTCAGTAACAGCAAATCTATGAGAGGACAAAACAGTGGGGCTTAAATATGGAGCCATCAGATTGTTAATTCAGGACTGAAGTGTAAATTATGTAGAAGGATGAGTCATCTGCCTAGCCTTTGAATTCCCATGGGCATTTTATCCCATAAGCAGGCTTTTGGGAAGACTTGGCAGTAGAGGAGGTGGTATTCTTCTGTTAAAGGTGGAGTAAAAAGAAGAGATGGTGATGATTAAGGGAGGATCAACATGGCAGATGACAGTGGTTTTCAAACATGAGCTTTCATCATAGTCACCAGGAGAGCTTGTTAAAACACAGATTGCTGCCCCCTACCCCCAGCCTTTGATTACCCCGGTTTCTGATTCAGTGGGTTTGGGATGGGTCCAAATAATGTAACAAGTTCCCAGATGATTCTAATTCTGCTGGCCTAGTGCCCACACTTTGAGAAGTGCTAGCATACAAAATTCTAATTTCTTAGTTGTCCTAAGTGTCTATACTTGGCCCCTGGGTTGTAAAACACACACACACACACACACACACACACACACACACACACACACACAATTATATAAGTGGGCAATTCATATATGATGAAATCTGAAACTTTTACTTCCCTCCTATTGGACTCATATTGTAAATATTCACTGCTTTAATGCTCTGTTCTTTTACTGAACAATTTAATCTAAATATGGTACCATTTGTAGGCATCTATGCAAAGAGGTACATCTAAAAGTGTATTAGCTACCCTGTGAACTAAGAGAGCTAGAGAAGATAAAGGTGAGCCATGTTGCTCCTGTGAATCCAGGTCCCATGATATTTGACCATGGAGTTCATGTTGTAACCCTTAGGGTACAGATAAAGGCTTTGTTATTTTTCACTATAGCAGAGTTGAAGTGTTTTTGGCTAAAAATACATATTATTTCTTCAGCAGCCCAGTGTGCCCAAGGGTTTTTAGTAGGAACCTGTATTACAAGTACTTCCTTTATAATTTGGCAGTGAAATTTTTTTTTGCATATAAAATGGATCAAGTTGATGTATACTCTATCATTTATTAAATTTTGACCTTGGTATATATATGTAATATGACCTGAATATTTCCAACTTTTAGAATTCTAAGATTATATTATTCCTCTTGACAGTTGAGTATTTAACTGCATTCTATAGGCCAGTGGGTCTCAGTTTCTATTAGGGTCACCTAGGGAACTTAAAAAAAAATGCTGCTCAGAATTAGCATCAAGTCAGAATCTCAGAGTATAGGACCCTGATGTCTGTATTTTTAAAAAATTCCCCATGTGATTCTAGTGGACAGTCAGGGCTGGGAGCCTCTGTCTTATGTCAAACTTTATTTTTTATGACTTGAGGATGTCATAAACTTTGGAAGCTGATAGATTGGTATCACTGTAGCCTGCGTGGTTTTGTGGGGTCACCTAATTTTGGGTGCAGTTGGTCTTCATGGTGAAGATGATAAGTATTATTTTCTCACAATGTGGTGAATTACATCAATCAGTTCAATGAGGCTCACATTTTGGGATGCCGTCTATTTGTTAAACTTTTGCTACACAAAGCACGGGCCATGAACCAATAGCATTAGCATCACCTGGGAGATTGTTAGAAACACAGACTCTCAAGACCCTCCCTAGACTTCCTGAATAGAATCTCAATTTTATAAGATCTTCAGGTGTTTTGGTATAAATTAAAGTTTGAGAAGCAAGTGCTTTCACATGTTGTTTTATTCTTAACAACAACCTTGGAAGGAAGTGTCTTCAATCCCAGTTCACAAATGAGAAAACTGAGGCTCAGTGGAGATGGCAACTAGCCTATGAGGAGAAGGGGGTCAATGAAAGGGAATGATCCTCTACCAAAAGGAAAGATGTTTTGTGGTGCAAATTCTGATATTGTCTCTAATGCCTTTTGTCTCTTAACTTACCCCAACCTTTTGCACATGAAGAGAAAGTCATCAGACCTGCTCCCCCAAATGCTTTCTGGCCACCTAACTTGGTTCCTCAGGTCATTGACCTTCAGTGGAGGCTGCCTCAGTGTTAGTGGTAGTTTGGGATTGCACCTTTTTTTTCACTTACTGCCTTGATGGTTTTGGGCGTTTGACAAGTATGAAATGATAATGATGATGATGATGATGAGATGTTCTTTAGTAAATCTCTGTGTACATGGCACTAATTAGCATTTCCTTGAAGGTGGAACCAAGCTACCTCCTGCTCTCCTGTGCTGTGAAAAATCTGGAAAACACTTGTATATTTTTTCAAACGTTGTTATCTGAGACTGCAAGGCTGTAGGCATGGCGTATGAATGTCCCTACAATCCTCCTTCACTCTCCCCTGCACAGGGAGTGGTCGAATGCCTGATACATACATATTATAGTAATTTTGATTCTTTTGTCTTAACTTTAACAAAGCTCATAGAGGGAAACAGTTTTGCTTACAGCTTTTATCTGAGAATCAATGTTACATTTCTAAGTTGGGAACTTTCATGCTTTATTGGGGGGAAGGAAATGGCAGCGTGGAATGCAGAGGAGTGAAATATTCCAACAGGGTCATGCCAGAGAGACGATAAAAGGAATTCTTCAGTTTTAATGACTAAAATAACGCCTTCATTTTTCACTTTATCAGCATCATAGAGTTCCAGTACTAAATATTACGTGCTTCTATTTCTTTGCCATATTTGGTTTCACCTTATAGAAGTGGTTCCTTAGCAGATGGATTGAAAGAGGAATAGTTAACAGAGGCAGCTTATGCAGCCTGGTAAATACCACCAGAGCCGTATTTTGTAAGGGCGATTGAGTGACCAGGAAAGTTAATCCTGGGTGTCTGTTCACGTTGTCTTCCCGAGAGATTTCCTCCACCTACTCGCCTCAGAGCAAAGAGGCAATCTGAGATCAAACTGACATCAGCCCTCATTCTGAGCTTGGCACATCTTCAGAGCAGCTACTGTTATTCTGCCAAAAGGAAGTGGAAATTGAGATAAATGTTTCAATACTCAGATGGAAAAGTCCATTTTTACACCACATCCCTTTTGAAAAACTGCATTCCTTAGAAGCGAAATTTATTGTTTCCTTTTGTGATAGTTTGCTTTTCTTTTTTCTTAAGACGTGGTATTTAAGAGCAGTAATTGAGTTCAGATTTTAAAATGTGCTGTTTCCCACTCTGCATGTCATTAAAATAAAATATTAGCTTTCATAAAGTTTCTTTGGAAGTGTTTCTGGTGTGCTCTATTCCTTGGTGTGTAGAGTGTCAGCCGAAGAATAATGGTTGTGAATGATCAAATAATGGATGAACGTTGATCCTAAAATCTGCTAAGGATCTATTATAATTATAGAGTGTTAAAAATGTGCCTAAAATATACTGATTTACTTCCACAAAATCATCATCTCCTAGTTGTCTTATCTTTTCACAAAGAGCCCAGCTATAGCAGTTTGCAGGGTAGAAGTAGCTATCAAAAGAGCCATGAATACTGGGTTTCGGGTTTTGTCGGGCTTTTGTGTTTGAGGACATTGGTTATTTTCAGAAAAGTATGTGGGTTTGAAACAATGCATATCAATTTTTTCAGAAGGGGTGTTCCAATACCAAGTTTATTTTACTTTATACTTACCTTTTGGGTATTCTAGTAGACCAGTTGGTAATGAATGTCATTCTCTCACCTCATATGCATTAAAAAGGGTCTCACTGTATTTTGTTTTAATGTGGTACATAGAAAATTCACTTTTCTATCACATTAGCGTGGAAATGAGTTTCACAGTAGGTCTTGGAGTTGGGTACAAAGATTGAAGTGCATTTGAATTTTAAATTTGCAAACCTAACATTGTTGCTTCCCCAAAGTGCTCTGTTCTTTGTTGGCTCCTTCAAGTTTACTGGGTTACTATGGGATACTGTTCGGTATCTCAGAGAATCCTAGTTGAGCTCCTTTTTCTGAGCTGTGATCTAATTGATATTCTGATATTTCCTCTAGATCAAGAGGAATGGTGTTTGGACCAGCCAATTTAGGGGAAGATGCAATTAGAAACTTCATTGCAAAACATCGTTGCAACTCCTGCTGCCGGAAGCTCAAACTCCCGGGTATGCCCCCAAACGATTCTATTTTTCTCTAAGTAAATCTCTCATTGAACAACATCCATTGTAACCTGGGATAGAGTAGAAAATCTTAATCACATTTTTATCTCATTCGCAGTTGAGGCCTGACTTTCTGACTGCAAATTTTTCAAGTCTCTAAAGGGATTAAAAGGACAGGGATTTACTTCAGGTTCTGCCAAAATGTGATAAAACAACATTGGGCCCAATACTTGTCACAGTCTCTCCAAGGGAAAAGTTCCTCCTACTTAATTGGGACAAAATTGGACAGAGGCAGGTCTCTGTTCCCCGCCCCGCCCCCTCCCCTTTGGGTCTTGAGTGGTGCCCACAGAGTTTCTATTCTATTCTTATTTACTCATTGGACACTTGGGAGGGTGTGGCATGGAGGGAAACAACAGCTATCAATTAAAGTAGTGCTTTTCACTATAAAAACCTGCCACTTTCAACATACATCACAAGGTATATTTTAAAAATCTGATTAGATAATATGACACACTTTCTCTGAAACTAATAGAGTCAGCACAGAAAAATATTTCTAACATAAAAGTAAGCGGCTGGAGGTTTGTGTCCCCCAGATTGGCAGCCCCAGCTCTGCTGCATTTTTTCCTTTTATCTCAGAAGGGATGCTTTATGTCTGTCTCAGCTTGCTCACTAATTTTCTAAGGTTGCGCCACACTTGTCCTTAGAATGGAATTTCACATCTTTTAAGCTGAGTAGCCCTTCCAGCCTTATCATAAATGATCAAACCCTGAATTGGAAATCAGTAATATCCATTGTAACCTGGGATGGAGTAGGTGTAAATTTACAACAAAGAAAGGCACTTTCTAATCTTGTTGGAGTTAGAGGTAGGAGTTGCCCTTGTGGGCACGAGGTAGCAGAAGACTAGGGTGTGGAGCAGATTCCAGTTCCTGTGGGAAATAGCTTATTAGCCAGGGGTGGTGGCGGTGGGGACATCAGACTGGAGCAGTACAGACAGGAGGGGTCTCGATGTCTTCTTGGAGCTGCCCAGGACTCCTTCTCACAAACCACCCAGAAGAACTGGGCAAAGAGATCAGTCCATAGCACATTGGCCAAGCTGCCCACTGGCCTCCTCTGGTCAGAAGGAGCCCAGGAAGGAGAGGGGGCTGGGCTGAGTGGCATCCAGGCCCCCAGGTAAGGGCCCTGTGGGAGGCAGGAGCTGACACATATCTCCATCCCGTGATTGCAGGCTGGAGTCCAGCCCATTAACTCAGCATCCTCAGGCGCTGACCTATTCCCAGGACTGATTCATTGTTTCCTGGGCAGGGCAGCTTCTCATTCTTGACCAGGGACTGTATCTGGTCAGCCAGGAGAAAGGGGGCCTTGAGGCATAACTCACTGCTTCCATCCAGTTAGCTCTTCCGTATGATAAAGATTTCCTCCCTCCCTCCCTTCCTTTCTTCCTTTCGTTCTTTCCCTACCATGGTGGCTTTTGAGTAATTCAATAATTCCTCCATTTCTGGACCTAATCCTTGCTTCCTTTCAAAACCTTAGTTAACACATTTAAATGGAGATAAAAAAATATCCTCATTTACTTGAACATTTGGTAATTTGAATTTTAAAAAGTTTAGCTCGGAAAACAGGATTGGGGTGATTTTTCTTTTTGTTTATGTTTTACTTTTTTTTTCTTTTCTTTTTTTTTAAGAGAGGCAGTTCAGGATAGTATAAGAGCATGGGATTCATAGGTTGAGCTTACATCCCAGAAATGCTTTTTGCTAGTTTTGTGACCTTGGCCCTCATTCTCATCTGTAAGCTGGGGATAATAGCACCTATCTCATAAATTTGGCGTGAGGGTTGAAGTGATGTAATTACTGTTGGTTATTATTAAACTATATGTATTAGTTTTATGTCCAGATAATCCCCATTTAACATTAAAAAATAATACAAGGAATGCATGTTTAAGGTTAACAAATTTAATCAACACAGCATACAGTGGTTTACAAACATTTAAAGGTCACTCTCCTCCATAAGTTTCTCCCCAAGGGTTACCTTTATTAATGATTTCTTTTGATAATTTCCCTGTGAAATTAAAGGAGGAGGCTTCAGGAAGCATAAGATCTGATAATTGGATGAAGTCTTTATAGGTGCAGCCAATCCTGAGGTACAGCTTTGTTGCAGAAAACTGACCATTGACATCCCGAGTCCACCATTTTGGCTGCACTCTCTGGCTCTGCCATCATTCAACAAGTGAAAATGCCCTGTTTCCAGTTTGGCCTCACTTAACTCTGGGCAGGTCATGTCTTATAGGGCACCGTGTATTTAGTCAAGCAACCAAAGCTTGCCTCCCCTGCCCCAGTAAACACAGCCCTGGGGAGTTAGAGTCACACATGTGCATGGTGGGGTGTAGTTTGGACATGGTTGAGGGTTTGAGTTTCACATATCAGTGGCCCAAGGGAGCAGAGTCCTCTCTGAGCACTTGGCCTAAAGTCCTGAAGTCCAATCTATCTGTGTGAATATTATGTTCTTAAGGATTCTCTATAACTGTCTTAATTGTCTTCCTTGCAGATTTAAAAAGAAATGACTATTCCCCCGGAAGGATAAATTCCGCCTTTGGACTTGAAATCAAAACTGAACCAGCTGAGGAGACTCCAGCAGAGGAAGAGGGTAATAATTCTCCAGAAGACCTCACACGATTGTAAGAAAGGGAGAAGTAAGAAGATGACAGCCCTTGCCCTCCCTTCTATGAACTCTATGGTAACATAGATTGATTGATGTAACACTGGTTATGTCAGAGCCTCTGCCAGGATGGCCTTACCCTGAGGGCCTCCTGGGACATGCCTTCTGAGCCTCATGTCTCCCCTCCCCAAGGACCTCACTGGTGTATGATGAATGGCTTCTCCTACATATTGACCTGTGTGCAGGGTGCTTTGCGTGTGTTCGTCATTCTCAAGTTGCACAAGAAGACAGATGACTCAGCCAGGAATGCTGCTCTTCATACCTCATTCCTTGTGCAGAATGCTGGGCACTAAAGAACCAGGCAGATAAATTTAATTTATTTTCTTACTACGTGTGCAGACTCTAACCTCCACTACTATTCATCACCTCACCCACATATTGTATTTATGTATATATGTACATAAAAAAGTCACTTGACTCCCTCCTCTCCTTTCCAGCAGCATAGGGCTTTGAAGAGCGACACAAAGGAAAACAACGGAGTAAGGGTGTATTTGCACAGGCTGGAGCACGCTCCGGTACAAACTAACCAGTAAAATGTTAGCATCCTGGTGAAATCTAGATGGGTTTCAATATTGTCAGTGAATCATATGATAACCGGGCATTTCAGGTTTCTCTGGAAGAGAGGAAAGGGAAATCTAAAACAAACACCCCTGCATCCTTTTTTTTTTTAAGGGAACAAGGATATATAAAACTAGAAATTATTAAGAAATGTTTTCCCTTCCCTTACGCTCAGGGACACTATTGGTTAGAGAGTTGACTAAGCCAACCTCTAAAGTATTACTCCCTTTTTCAAAGCTGGGTATATAATGTTACAAGCTAAATTACTTTATGTCAGGTCCTATGAGGAAAGATGGGGTTTTTGAATGAAAACATGTTTCACAGGTAATCGCCTGGTTGAAATACAGAGTTCTGGTGGCTTTAACGAGTGCTGGAGTGTATATTTTAAGTATGGCCTGAGCACATGTAATCGGTTTCAGTGGCCTGAAGAAAGGGTCCCTGGAAGCCACACTGTACAGCAGTGGTCCCCACCCTTTTTGGCACGAGGAACAGGTTTCGTGGAAGACAGGTTTTCTACGGACCGGTTGCGGGGGGTGGGGGATGGGGGGGATGGTTCAGGCAGTAATGCCAGAGATGGCGAGCGGAAGATGAAACTTTGCTCACTCACTGCTCACTTCTTCCCGTGCGGCCTGGTTCCTGACAGGCCGCAGACCGTTACTGGTCCGTGGCCCCGGGGGTCGGGGACCCCTGCTGTACAGCATATTTGGGGGATCGGTCATCCCTCTTTCGCACTTATCAGGGTCACCCTACCTCAGAACAAGCACAAACTGTTCACACAAGGAGGAGTTGGAGGGCTGGGAATCTTCTCCCCACTCTTCCTGCATCTCCTTTCCTCATTATAAAGCGTTCCAATCTACCAGCAACAGACCTCCTGGATTTGAAATTTTCAACTTATCTTTCTCGTTAGCCCTTACATTAGCTGGCTTGCTTTTTAAATCAACACTCCTGCCTTCTGAGGTTATACTTTGGGGAAATGTTGCCCAGGGATAGGGGGATGGAAAGCCAAGGATTTGATTTGCCAAAGATAGCGTCTGGCTCTTGTGAGATGCGCAAGGGCTGATTTACAGCCTTTTTTACTTTGGTCTTTGGGGTGGTGGGAGGTGGGAAACTTGGGTGATTTCTTGATTGGCAATGAGGATAAAATGTTAATGCTTTTTTCAGAGCTTAACTGCTTTATCCTATTCTGCGAATCAATAAGGGATCTCTTTGTGCTCACTTCAGAGCCGTGTTCAACTATTGGAAGGAGGCAATTTGCCTATCCAAGCCAAACTAAAAGCATTAATTCATTGGTCAAATATTTGTTACCTGGAATGGAACTTGAAAAAACACATTTTGATTTTAATTTTCTGTGTTATGATTTTCTCACTCTCTTTTTAAGAAAAATCACCCGAATAACATTTTAAAAAGGTGAACCAGGGCTTCCCTGGTGGCGCAGTGGTTGAGAGTCCGCCTGCCGATGCAGGGGATGCGGGTTCGTGCCCCGGTCCGGGAAGATCCCACATGCCGCGGAGCGGCTGGGCCCGTGAGCCCTGGCCTCTGAGCCTGCGCGTCCGGAGCCTGTGCTCCGCAAAGGGAGAGGCCACAGCAGTGAGAGGCCCGCATACAGCAAAAAAAAAAAAAAAAAAAGGTGAACCAGCTGCTGGGCAAAGGTCACTGTGGGATAGCTTGCATGCAGATACCAATGTGACAATCATGACTTTGATTCATGACTACAAATGAATGAATTCATCCATTTGGTTAATTTTATTCAACAGCTATTTATTAAGTGCCTTCCCTGTGGTGTGTAAGTGATGAGGGTACAATGAACATAACATTTCTTTGCCCTCAGAAAGTGTTATATCTCATGTTTCTTTCCTTTTTGGTTGTTGTTACAAGTTTGGATTTCTGGTGAGTGCTAAAAAATTTGACTTCTGGGCAAATGTTGAATCCAGAGATGTATTCCATACCCTATCTGCCAGTGGGCAGTAGGTTCATACTGGAATAAGAGAATTAGGGCACATAAAAGGACATAGATGGGGCTGGTTTTAGGAACCACTGAGGAAAAATGGATTGCATAATCCTTGTATGAGCCCTTAGCCAATCTCACAGATGGAAATCTGAACCTGGGGACCAGAGAAGCAGCCAGGTTCCAGGGAGTCCTTCCTGAAGGCATCCTGTGCATGGGTATTCCCCTCCATGGGGCTGTACATTCCTGGAGTGACTTTTGCCCCATGACATCTTAAAGCTTCTAACAACTCTGGGGAATGAGATCAGATATAGTTTTGGGTGTTCCTCACCCTGTTATTTTCTGTAGCTTTGCAAAACAAGTACTGGGTGACTAAAACTTCCCTACCAACCATTTAATCAAAAATTGAAAAAAAAAAAAAATTTTGTTGTTACTGTTTTATTTGAGACGGATCACTCAGTTTCTAGAAGTCATGACACAGATGCTCCTGCCATGGCTTGTTACCCTTCTCCATCAGTCACCGGCATCTAGCACGAAGTGTGGCACATAATAAGCTTTCAACATTATTTGTTGAAAGAAATAATAAAACCCTCACATGATAATGGATTTCATTCACTAGTTAATAAATCAGATTTGCATTTTTAATCTAGAAGGGAATGATTACCAATTCCTTAAGACCCAACACAATTCTTTTGATCTCTCTCTGTTTTAATTTTCCAGGAAATAGCTTTTAACAACCTACACCTTGTCTGTTGAATTCTCAACCAGTTCTTGCCCTTATCGTTGTGGCGATAATACCAGAGTACCGTCCTTCTTACTGGTGACTATTGAAATGAGATGATAACTTCCCAGAAACTGCCTAGAAATAATCATCACTTTATTACCCTTTGAAAAGAAGATTGATAGAAAAGTCATTTGAAAGATGGTTCATTACCATGCCCTAGTACGATTTCTTTACTCACATCTCTCCAAAGCATGAGAAAGGGAGGATTATTCTCTGAGGTCGGAATTTGAAGGCTGTGTGTTTGCCTCTTTGAAGTCTTGGTATTTAATTTTCTGTAGTCATTTCTTGGGCAATTTTCTAAGAAACTAGTTGAAGCTAATTTATCATAAGTTAAAGTCAAATGACAGAAAAGATTTTTTTCTCCCTTAGCAGCATTTTATTCCACAGAGGTTAGCTTCTGAAGGAAAATGAGACTTAAATAGCATTTCAGATCTCCAGCCACATGGATGGGTACACAGAATAGAAAGGGTTCTGGAAACCACACTGATTTTTTTATTTAGCATAGTTATTATTTTGTGATTTTTCTTCCTGGACCTTGATATACAGATAATGAAATGCTCTCCTAAAAATAATTAGTTAAGTTGCTTAATTTTTCAAAAAGAAACTTTCGGTCCTCAAGAGATAACAACCCTTGGTCTCTATCATTGGCCGATTTGGTTTAACTTTATATAATTCTTTTAACCTTTGTCTTAAACCCTAACTCTGCAATGAGATGAGGTAACTTGCCTTACCTTTTCAAACAAAGGCAAACAATAATGAGAGAGCATTTATAAGGTCCTTTGAGAATCTCATTTGAAAGGCTTCTCGTGAGCATGGGATCCAGTTCAATAAGTGATAAGGGGTTTTCATTTTTCATATTATGTGACCATTATTTCATGTTTACAGAGGATGCTCAGTGGACTTGTTTCAGTATAAACACAAAAACAGTGGTTTCTGCTGTTTCTCTCTTTCCAAGGGGAAAAAGCTCATTGCCCCCTTTTTGTTTTGAAACTTAATTAAAGTAGTTCAAAATCAGGATGTTCCCCATTTTACAGTGTCTCCTACTTATTTTGTTTATTGATGGATTTAGGTTTACACAGCTAACGTCTTTTGCCACCTTCTGCCCAAAGAAAGCCTTCCAGGATAGGTAAAGTCCAAATCTGACAGCATCATTGGTGATATTTTTAGGAATGAAAAAAGAGCAGGTTTAGAATCTTGATATTTGCAAAGGTTGATGTTTTACAAAAAATTTAATTAATGCTGATTTAGATTTTGTCAGTGTAGTGCTGTTTAATAGTAAGAAAATTCTGCCTATGGCTTGCCAGTGTCTTTTAGTAACTAACTTCCTTTAGAATTCTCGTCTTCCCCTAGTGGTTTTCATTTGTTTGTTTTTTGTTTTCATTTTGAACCTTTAGAAATTCCACCTGCTATATTAGTCAGAAAGTCCTTACAATTGTTATGGTAGAAACCCTTTGGCTAATGACTGTCCAAATGTGGACATAATAATTGCCTTTCACTGGAGGGATTTGGGGGAATCATCATTGGTGTCATGTGATTGCACTTTGGCTTCTAATGAATCTTTTTCTGTTTATCATATTGGTCACCAGTAAGAAGTCACAGAACCTCAGGATGCTTTGGTAACCAAAAGAAATCCTTGGTGTGTGTTATGGGCTGAATCGTGTTGAAATCCTAACCCCCACTACCTCGGAATATGATTGTATTTGGAAATAAGGTATTTACAGAGGTAATTAAGTTTTAATCAGGTCATTAGGGTGGGCCCCGATTCAATATTACTGATATCCTTATAAGAAGAGGAGATTAGGACACAGACACACTGAAAGTGATGATCATGTGAAGACCGAGAGAATACAGCCACCTCCAAGCCAAGGAGAGAGGCTCGCAAGAAACCAGACACACTGACGTCTTGGACTCCCAGCTTCCAGAACCGGAGGAAAGAAATTTCTCTTGTTTAAGTCTCCCAGTCTGTGCTGCTTTGTTATGGCAGTCCCAGAAAACTGTTACAGTGTGTTGCCATGGAATTCCCTACTTGCCCCTGGAATTTTGTAGAAAGGGACTTGGGGAGCAGAGATGCTGGCAACAACAATGGAGAGAAGGAGGAGGAATGACCGTTGGTTGCATGTATCTGCTGTGGGAGAGGACAGAGAATATCACGGATGGTGGCAGGACTGGTGAATTATTTTATTGAGAGAGTAGAGAGTGATGTGTTCTGGAGATCACCTGAGTGTTACAGAAGAAAACAAACATGGGCCGGGCTTCATGACATGGGGTGTTTGCCTACTGCTAAAGGGCTTCTGGGGATTGGAAGAGAGGTATGGTGATGATGTACAGTGTAGTCCTTAGTTTTGTACAACTTCCGTATATATCCTATTGAAGAAATACTCATTGAGCTTTACCAAGTGTTATGTCCTGACCCTAAGGTTAGACCTATGAGATAAGATCCATTTCTGTCTTCAAGGCTCTCCAAAACAAATAAGGAGTTTACAGTATACTGATTTGTCATTGCCCAGCAATGATAATGATTATAGTGGTAACTTTTAAATATTATTATTATTATAGGCAATGTGTGTTGAGCACTCATTATGTTCTAGGCATTGTGCTAAATGCCCATTACAAAGATTTGAAAAGGCTGCTTATACGTTAGGCAACTTAATTAAGTCAGCTACCCAAGGAGGAGCCAGGATTTAAAGATCAATCAAATCAATGACATAGATGGCTAGGCAATACTAACCAGCACACTTAGAATTACTAGAGCGTGAATCCCTATGATGGTTTGAAACACAGATTTGGAAGTCAGACCTAACTTAGGCCACTGGATGAGAAAATCCAAACTGGCATTTGCGGAATGTTACCTTGTGTCCTCTCTGTACATGTCATTGTCAAAGAAATCTTTGCTGCACAGTAAATAGCCGTTCATAGAGTGTGAGTCCATGGTAGAGGCACTTCCTCTTGTCATCATCAGAAGGTAAGTGCAAGATGATGAGTGGGTTCTTTTGAGTCTGGCACTGTGTCTGCCAATGAATTTTTCTGTTTCCACTTGCATTTCTGTCCTCCTTTTATGTCTTCCTAAAAAATTAGATATTTGTTGGTCAATACAGCAGCTAACTATTTGATAGCACTAGTGACATTCCAGTTTATCAATTTATAGTGAGAAATAGAATCTATGCAAACGACAAAACCTTTATCAGTCTGACCATCACACTGTGTCCTTGGAGGCCTTGGAAGCTGGATTATAATCAAAGGGTTGCATGAAGTGCGTGGAATCAGAACAGAGTTAGATAAATCACATATTTAATGGTGTCAGGCTAAGACATCCTGTTTCATCCCATCTTCTCCAGAGGTATGGGCCTTCCAGTGGGAGTGGAATACCCAAAGTGTGCAATATTCCAGGTTGATTCCAAAGAACTGAAAGTGACCAGCCTTGAGAAATATGGATGATAATGAGAATTATTTTTCTCACGTCTTCCCTCCCTCCCTCTCTTCCTTGCATCCTTCCATGCTTCCTTGCTTCCTTCTTCTCTCTTCATTTTCCTTTCTCTGACTTCCTATTTCTGTTACATCTTTTTGTACTACACTAGCTGCAAATATGAACCAAGAAACGTCATTAATTTTACCTAAGTGAGGTACCTATTTTTCCAGAAATGTAGAATTAGAAAAAAAGAGAGAGAGAACTAAAAGGATCGATGAAAATAATGAGATTTAAAGAGATTGTGTTTCACTCAAAGTTAATATAACTATATTGTCTGAGGAGAGACTAGAACTCAGGCCTTCTAAGTCATCACCATTTTTCTTAATGACTGAATTTGAGTTAAGGCAAATAATGCTCTCTTGTTGTATTAAACTTCTTCTCTGTTTTCTTAAAAAATATTCAGATGTTTCTGTGTGTGAATAAGTCTTTAACTAGGAAATCTTTATAAGGCTGGCCTATGGGTCAAATAAGATTTACTTGTCTATGCTTTTCAAAGAGGATAATTCATTAGGTATCTGATTTTAGAATTCTAGTTGCAAAATGATATTGCAAATTAATGACTAATGATTTTAATATTTCACTTTGCTTATTTGTATGTGTGTATATAATATGTGTGTTTGTATAAGCAGAAAGTAGCTATTTGAATACCAGGCTTGGGCGACTGTTGAGATTTCAGTGAAAAGACTCTGTAAGACTTGGATTTCAATGAGTCTTTCAGATATTTCATTTTATTTAGGATGATTTGTGATTATTTCCTATTGTCATAAAAGGCCACTTAGGCCTTTGGCATGCCTTGAATTGTCCCAGAAGGGGCTTCATGGAATAGTAGAAAGTTCTCTAAACCCTGAAACCAGGTGGACTTAGGTTTGAACTGAAGCTCTGCCACTGAATAATTTGTTACCTTGGGCAACTTGATTAACCTCTCTGAACCCAGCTTATCATATGAATATGGTACGATGATCTGTTAATATACCGACTTACCTTTCTTCTTGCTATTCTCCATCCCAAGACAGTAGGTGGATGCCCTTGCCTCAGGACCGTAATGGCTTACTGCATAAGTTGCAGGTCCCAATATGACAGCCTCTCACCAAGACATCTGGAAAATTGATGGGGGCTGGAACTTGGAGCTGGTGAGGCAGAGGAAGCCTACCCTGAGAAGAGAAGAGAGACTCACTCCTGGAGTCAGGGAAGATGATGGTGTTTTGTGTAAGAGGCGTAGGGCTTGTGAAGGGCCAGTTCATGGATATCAGGACTGACTAAGAGCTATGGCCTGAGAAGTCACAGGGAACAAGACGTGTCCATGCTAGTCATGGAGCACGTGGAGCCACCTGCCTGTGAGTGGATCCCGTGGGCCTGTGGGCCTGATGGCCAAGGTTAGAAGCCCTTCTCTGTTTTCCAAGCACCCGGTGAACTGCTTTTGTTCTTACACGTTTTGGAATCCCGAAATATGACTGAGACTAACTCTTTTATCCTTTTGCAGAGAGCGGACCTCTCTCTAGACTTAGGAAAATAAGGTAATGTGCCATTTCTTGTACCTAAATGTTGTAGAGCAAATTCATCTGTGTAACCTAATGTCTACCAAGCAGGAGTAGTCTGAGAATTAGAGATAATGTACATGGAACACCTAGTACAGTGTCTGGCACACAATAGTCATGCTGGGAAGTTGTTAATCATTATTATTGAAGATATTCTTATTTTATCACCAAAACAGTTTCCCACCCAGGATTGGTGGAGCTGGAGATGCTTCTCTCTTTTTAAAAAAGAGGCTTTTTTAAATGACCAATTTTAGGTTCACAGCAAAATTGAACAAAAGGTACAGAGATTGGCCTTATACTGTCTGCCCCCACACATGCATAACCTCCCCCATCTGCTTCTCTTTTCAAACAAAAGGCTAATAGTTCATGACATTGATCCTAGAATGCTAGTATTGAAATGGTTCTGTATTAGGGGAGGCTGGGCAACAACAGTAAATAGGCACAAAAATGTGATGACTTGACACAATAGACATTTATTTCTCACTTAACATTCCAGGACAGACTGTGGCGAGTGGTTGAGTTCTCTGTTCCACACAGTCTTTCTGGGACCCAGGCTGACAAGTGGTTCTATCCTCTTCAACAGACGGGCACCAAGGGGAAAATGACGTGAAAGGGAAGAGAGCACATGGGAGGTTTTATGGGTCAGCCCTAGAAGTGGCACACATCCTTTTGTTCACGTCCCATCAGCTAGAACTCCATCACACAGTCCTGCCTACCCGCAAAAGAGGCTAGCAACTGCAGTGTAGCAGTGCGTCCAAGAAAAAGAGAGAAAGGGGTTTGATGGACAGCTAACCAAATGTGTCAAATTGAGGATTATTTATTCTGGTCCAATTTTTCACTTGATTGAGTGTGGCTCTGGAAGGTGGAGTGTTCTTTGGGAGGGCTTTGGAGAGTGGGGTTTTTTTCTTTCTACAGAAATGTTTAATACAAAGTTCTCCTTATTTAGGTCATGGAACACTTTTGACTAACACTCCATATCTTCTTGCACCAGGCATCTTCACAATATCATCAGGTATATTCCCTTTTGTTTTCCTATAATTTACTTATAATGGCAAAATCTACTGGACACAAAAAGTAAAATCTACTTGGAATGAGAGTTGGCTTTATTGAGCACTGTTAGTTTAGTGACAGCTATAAAATATGTCCATTGTGACTTTTCTCTCACTGCTTGACCTCCATCCATTTCCCTTCTCACCGTCCCTCTAAGCGGCATCACGTGAAATCAAAAATGTCTTGCCCTCATTTCTAAATTGCATACAGCCAGCTAGCAGGCATATAAGCAGTGAGGTAAGAGTAGAAATTTACATAAGGAGCCTATTAATATACTATACAAATGAGGGTCCTGTGGAGAATGTTAATTAATTTCCTACACTGAATGGCCATGATCATGGTAAATTTTTACTGTGGCAAGAGCTAAGATGGAGGTGGAAAACTTGGATATACATAAGAGATGGGAAATTAACTAAATTTTATGAAGAGAGTTAATTATCATATACTTTTCCCACAAAGTAGAAGAACTTAAGCATTGCTCTGACTTTAAAGCTTGGATTCATAAGCTTGAAAATGATTTTTAAGAGTCATCTTGGACCATTTCTTGAAGGGCAGTGGGTGGGGAATTGAAACATTTTCATGAAACATTTCACTTTATCAGATTTTAAAATTGAGGACATTTTTAGAGTACTATTGTGAAAATTTATGATCTGTTCATTTCTCAGTCCCCTAGAGCCATGGCTGACAGAGCATAGGTGGACTAGACAGAACATGTGATTTGGGGGTAAATCCCCAGTGTCTGCTCCATTACTTTACTGGTTCAGTCATTGATTTATTGACTTAACTAAGACTCACTAAGTGCCTAGTGTTTGCCATGATTAGGAAGGTGGGTACTCACAGGTCTGTGAGAAGGCAGACATGTAAAACAACCTCACTGCACCAGAAGCTAAACTTGGGGCATTTGCAAAATGCTTTTGAATTCCAGTGAAAGAGGGACTCCCTTTCTCAAGAGGGAAGGGAAGGCTTCACAGAGAATGACACAGAGTTCACCTGGTGGAGGGAACGGCAGCTGGGAGAGATGTTTGGGGAATGGTGAATAGTTGTATAGCTAGTCTCTAGGTATTGGGATACCTAGAAACTAGGTACATATTGGGATATAGTAGGAGGTAGCATGAGATAAAGCTGAGAAAAATGGGTAAATTTGATAAAAGCTTTTCATGTAATTTTAGCAAATGAGTTTTATTATGCAGGCTGGGGAAGTTAGGAAATGCTTTAAACATAATCAATTCTGGGTTAATTAATTAATTCAGCAGACGTTTATTAATCATCCACTGAGTATAACCTGCTTGGCCTTAGAACACTGACTGTGATGTAGACACTGCCCACAGGAACTTAAGAGTTCAGCGAGTGATTACAGTCAGTAGAATTGGCTCTAAGGGTTTTTTGGGAAGGGCTCTAACTGTTCATACCTTCCAGATTCACTTCATATCACCAATAATATCATTATTATCTGTGATATGGCTGATGGAAGTTTTCTCAATCTGAAAGGTAAAGGTTCTAGCAGGGAAATAGCACTTTGCTGACCAGATAGAGTTTCTCAAAATGCCATGGGCTCTCGGCCCTCCTCTCATTGGGGTCATCAGGCACACACTCTCTCTAGGAGCTGGAGGCATCTCCTCATGCTTGCAGTCTAAGCTTTCTTTACCAAGGTAAGACAAGACCAAGAGTTTCCCTAACGGAGTGAAAAGAGAGGCAGTGAACTGTTCTTAATTTTAGCATCACCTTTCCTAACCATGGACATTTCAAAGTGTCCTGATACCGTCTTCCAGTAGTTTTTCTTTTTCCTGCCAAAATTAACTGGTTGACTATATCAAACATTTGTGGACCATGTGCCCGATCTCTGTGTCTCTGACTCCTGCCCCTGCCAAAGCAATTCCTAAACCATGGGTAAAATTTTAAGTTGTGTATCTCTGACTGATATACCTTTGACTCCAGCAAAGAAAGTATTTCATTGGGTTTTGGTGAATTCGCCGAAAACTCTGTTGCTTTCTGGGCAAGGGACGGTTCTGTTGGTCACGGAGGATGACCCAGAGTTTACCTGGTGGAGGGAACACAGCCATTGCCTACCTGGGAAGGCTGCTGTGGTCCTCTGTTCTGTGAGGAAGAAGGCCAGATAAGGTCAGACAATACCTACAGCCGTCGTCCAGCTCTTCTGGCACAGAAAGCGTCCATGCCTTCTCATCTTATTTGGGGCCTCACTCAGGTGCAGTAACCTCCTGTTGGTCCAGCCAGATCAAGACATTCCCCCCAGTCTCCATCCTGAGCCTCCCAGCCTCAGCTAGGCTCTGAACTCCTGGTCCCAGAGAGCAGGATGGATTAGTGCTCAAGGCTCCCACGCTGACTCTATCAAAGCTTTCCTCCACACATCTCCATTATGTGAATGGCTCTGTTAACCAAACCTATTATCATTCCCCCTTGGTTTTCAAGTTGAGAAAGGGAAAGCAACTTCTTTAATGGCCCACAGATTGATGATTAACATTTTACATGTCCCTGCTGCTAAGTAAAAGAACGGCTTTGTGGACAGTGAAAATGCCTAGGAGAAGGAAGCGGGAGTCAACTTGGTTTATTAAGTTGTGCTGCTTCATTAATCACAATCTTTTTTTATGGCAGTGCTTAAAGGCCCATCCATTGTACTTCTCGGGAATGGGGTAGATCAAAAACAAGTGCTTTTAGTGCACCTTTGACATCTGGCATAGCAGCCGGCTATCTGCGATATTGCTCTCAAGCAGTGTGGGGAACTGCATTTACTGTGACTGTGCTGGCCCTTCTGATTTAAGCTACTGCAGAGGGCAATGAATTACCTTAAAGGAGCTCCAGTGCAGAACTCCAAGTTTTATGCCGGACCCCTGCCAGCTTCCCCACTTTATGAGTATGAACAATCAGACAATTGAACTGATTTGACTTTGCCGCTCCTGGAGTTTCATTGCCTCGAACCTGGGGATGTAATGATGGCAATGCCATGCTAAATGCTGCTCTGACTAGCAGCAGTACCCCTGCCCGTTCAAGTAGGGCACCCATTCTTGTTAGCTGAAAACTGCTCTGATTTGCAGCAAGGGGGAAAATAGATCCTATGCAATCAGATTAACTCAACTCTGAATGTTATTTTCATTTAACACTGTGGAACCAGGCAGTGTCCCATTTTTTTTTAATGGTAAACTCATTAAAAGGCAGGGTTCTTTTGCAAGGAGTCTTATAGCACTGGTGAGGAAGGAACCTGCCAAGTCCTAATACAGATTGCAGACACACATATTTGTATAAGCTTACATATAAGATACACCTATACTCCTACTCCACAGACAGGCTCTAGCTCAGCTAGTATCATCAATATACAAAAGGGCATCTGGTCCCGTCAAAATGACGTGAAATTGAGTTATTCATAATGTTTAAAACTCATGTCAGTACATACTCATTTTAGCTCTTTGTGTGAAACAGAAGACAAGTGCTAAGGTGTAGTTATTGTATACTTTCTGTGTTGGAGGACATATTCACTTTTGGGATTTATTATATGTAAAATAAATTTCCTCTAACATCCTTTGAAAATCGTGTTACTGTATTTGGAAGGACAATCCAATGTTCACTGTAAAAAATTCAAAAAATGCAGTGAAGAACCCAAAATACATGCCACACACCATCTTACCACTTAGAGATCCCTATTATTAAAACTTTATCCAGACATCTCTCTTTGTAAGTGTACACTGATTGATTGCTTCATTCATTCATTTTGTATCTATAAGCAAATCTGTGTTGTTAAGACAGTATGTGAAGTGTGATCCCATTTATATGAAAGGAAAACACACACACACACACACACACACACACACACACACACACACACACA